CGATAAGTAACAAGTCCAATTACAAATAAAAATGAGTTGGCTATTGATTATTACAAATTTAAATCAGAAAGCTGATATTTGGACAGTTAAAATCTTTGTAAGGGTATCCGGAAAACTCGATTCAATGTTCTTATTTTAAACGTAACATCTTAGAGATTATTGCAATTTTATTAACTCGGAAAATTCCAATCAAATGATATCTATGAATAAAACTAATCTATTCGTTCACAGAATTACATAGAATTGCCATATGTACTTAGCAATTCAAATCAGAAAGTTGAGATTTGGATGTCGAACTTCCATTGTCTTTATTTTTAACTTACACTTGTATCACTACCCGTTATCAAGTGTATACTGTGATTTGAAATTACACTATAGTAGTAATTACATTAAGCAATTTTAGTAATTATTAATACAGTTTGATATAAAATTGAAAAATTAGAAAAACTTTCGGAAATATTTTTCCCCAAATCGAAACATTCCGTTTTTATAATCTTAAATCATTTATAAAACTAGTACATCATCACCTGGGCTCGAAATGGAAACTTTTGTCCCAAGATACGCCTGCATTTTACAAATATGAACCAAAATCAATTCTCGAAAATAGGTCACATCTGCTATACTGGGGCCGTCCTGTACTAACAGATATAACGATCGCTCATAAAAAATTGTCAATCTGAGGTCTACGGAAGCTGAGAAAGTTCGAATATATGAAGACCTGGCTATCCACCTAAAACAAATCTGCCATCTTAACGAAGTAACGTCTATTGTTTATGTCAACGGAGGGAATAGTTACAAAAAATTTCAAGAAAAACCTGGAGAAACTAGGCATGTAGAATAACATTCTCGATGCATCACAAAAAGCTATAATATTTTTTGAGTTTAGGTGAAGTAGGAAAGAAGGAAGCTCCTCTCTACCAATATCTGCAAAGCAGAGAAACTGAGACCGATAATAATAATAAAATTAATAATAATAATAATAATAATAAACGCACCTCACGGCTGCAAACAAAATTAAAGCGATCAACACCGACACTGATATTCAAAGCAGGATCCGTGATATTAGAGTACAATTCACAAAAAATAGAGCCAGGCACCCCAAAAGCTCCATAGAAAGATTCTATCTACCAAGAAAGAAAGCAAGAAGAAGTGTACTAGACCTAAAAGATGCCCACCAAGAACGAGTTGACGAATTAAGAAGGTTCTTTTATAAAAAAAGCACAACATCCACGTACCACCGCACCACACCTCTTAATATGGCGGATAAATGTCCACCATTGCTAGAAATAACCACTGTTGAAGATAAGATGCAGACATGGAAATCAAAGGAACTACATGGACGGTACCCCGCTACAATTGAACTCGACCAAAGAGACACCAATGCCTCCAACGCCTGGTTAGAATGGCTGATGGCGGAAACTGAAGGCTCCATTCAAGATCAGGTAATAGATAGACGTACAAGATGACAAGTGCAGAATGTGCCACAACAAATTAGAAAACAACAGAATACCTCAGAAGGCACGATACCTAAAGTAATACACCAGCCCAAAAAATTGGTGTTTTGATAGAGACCGCTAGTTACTATGCCTACATACTAGAACCTATTACTGAAACTGACTGAAACCCACATACTGGAACAGAACCATACTAACAGATCACACCATGGAACACAATAGGCCAGACATTGTGGTACAAGATAAACTCAACAAAATTAGGTACCTGCTAGATATTGCTGTGCCGGCTGACCATGAAAACAATCTGGAACCAACTAAGAGTGGTTATTGTGCCAATAATTGTGGGAGCAACTGGTGAAATACCTCTAAAACTACACCCGAGCCTCCTAACTCTGCAACTACCACCGAAACTGTCTTGAATGTCAATTCCTGAAAACAAAACAGATTTAACATCGCAAAACTATTTGGGCACTTGCTGAAAGCCTTGTCCAAAGTACTTACCTGTGGAAATGGAAAAATAGCAAAAAATAATATTAACAGATTAAGAAATGAAACAGTATAAGATAGGAGTGTGGCCAGATCTAGCAAAGCTACTCAACTAAGAGAGGTTATAAAAATACAAGTATACTCATTTTTATTTATTTCTATTTTTTATTTTATTTTTATTTATTGTTGTATAACGCAACGCTTGGTCGAAACAACTAGCACATTTGCATTTAAACTGTCTGATCAGAAATTAACGAATACTTTGAGTTTTATCTCCTATAAATTTTCTTGTAGTATTTGAACATGGAAAAATGGAAAAATCCGTCAACAATTACTGAAATAATTTAATCGCCGTGTACTGTGAGATGACCTCGTTTAATCCATAGCTTGATTAAACGGATCCCTGGTAATTCCTTCCGCAAGTATAAATAAAAATAGCGAGAGTGTATGAGACCGCAAGACCAGAGGGCAGCGGATAGGCGTGTCCCCAAGACCAGAGGTAAAGAATTACATGTGTTTTTGTCATATAATAGATAGTATATCTTCCCGGGGCGGCAACTCCATTTGTCACGAACATTCTGTCAACTCTGCCCGTATGAATTACTACTTCTCATTCTTATCGTTCATACACTTGCGTTATTTTCGGTTCCGACACTACTATTATTTATTGCTTCGATTCGTTGAACCCTACTGCTGCGGCGCTTTTCGCAACAAATGTATTTGTTGCAATTCAATTAGCTGTAAGTTCGTTAACCTTGGCCGAAAACTAATTATGGACCATTAACCATTTTCCGATAGGAAACCACATGGCAAATATGCATAATCTTTCATCATAAGCGCAAACCATACTGACAGCACTTGTTTTGTTCAAACGCCGTCATAGCCACCTCACACTGACTCAACTAATATGGCAACAGCATATTATTTGTGATTGACAAATATTTAAAGGGAAATATTTCATATCAGGCATATACAATCTTCAATTTATTTGAAAATTTGTATATGGTGTTTCATTGGTCGCGGGCAAGTATATTGTATTGTATTACTGTATTTTTGAATTCTGTATAATGTCCTATACCTAAGTCTAACCGGTTTTGACATTTTCAATTTTTTATGAGAAAAATGACGTTTGCAAGACATAAAATATCAGCAAATTTCTTCATTCGGAAGAATTTATTGTTTCACTTGAGTAAGTTTTGTTGTAACCAAAAGACTAGAATAACGAATTTCACAAGAAATTTCGATACGTATTAATACAGGGTACGCGAAAAATAAGATTGAAAATGAAATTAAGAAAACTGCCAAAAATGTTTTTTTTTATATAAACTACCTATTTTTATAATCTTGTCATGCTTAGCTTTAAAAATCCTTTTAAACGTTTGTCTATCACAAATAATATAATATAATAATATAGAATACTACTAATAATAATACTATAATACTAATAATATATAATACGTCTTTTTGTAGTTTTTTTAACTTCATTTTTAATCTTATTTTTCACGTACCCTGCATTCGAGTCCATTGTCTACAACAAAACTCACTCAACTGAAACAATAAATGCTTCCGAATGAAGAGATTTTTAACGGTTTTTCATTTATCGATAAAACCCTTAAACACAGAAAAACACAGTTTTGACGACAATTTTGATATTTTACATACAGCCACAAAAAGCACAAAATTAAACTTATTGGAAGCCACGGAGATTAACAAAATGGGATATTAACGATCAATTAGATCCATTATTAAACTTAAATTCTCACAACAACATTAATTAAGGTTTTATTGTCATTTTTCGGTAGTAGGTAGTTTGTAAATATTACATTTGATAAAGACACGGTGTTGTCTGAACTTTTAGTTCTTATTTACTGTGCTTCGAGGTTGCCAAATTTAAGTGCTAATCGAACGCGGCAAATTACATTAAACGATTTCACGATATGCTATGCTTTGGGATTTATACATCTGTGATGAACAACAATGCGGAGATTGAGTGCACAATCCCATGGGCGCGTGGAAACTCTCGGCCCGTCGCATTTACATAATTTGACAGAGAAATTTACTCCCCAACTAATTTATGACACTCGAGGGTAAGTTTATACAAAGATACGGCATTTATGCCGTGTGACTTTAACGTGCGCGATGTTGTACGCGTTTGAATTCACGCTAGTGATTAATTGTAAAATGATGTAGACTGTAGACGATTTTCCACTTGATCGAGCATGGATAATCCACAGTGTTCTGAAGTACTTTGGAAGAATTAACAAGAAGACAGTTGCTGTGGGTTAGATCATTTCTTGTCGGGTCACTGAACCAGAGCACTTTGCTTGTCAATCTAGTCAGTATAGTTGACCAGAACTATGTCGTTAACAAGTTAAGAAGAAGAGAATTTGAACTTAAAACCAATCGTTTTTCGAATTCCAGCTGTAATATGCCGGTTGCAACTCCAACTGCTGCTACATTTGTATCAATAAATTGAAACTGGAATATTAAGATTTCATAAATTTAAAACCTACGAATTCGGTAGCCAGATTCTACTTTAGCATTGCCTCGCGCGCACCCTCTATTGGTGCATGCCTGAACTTTCATGATTTGACGAGAGATGTTGCCATTTATTGGTGCAATCAAGTGGTTCCATACATAGATGGCGTCCCACAGAAAACAATCAATTCTCTATTTCTTTTATGTATAACGTGTAAAAATTGCCGCGGTCTGACGAACATAAGAAATATAATGGGAAGAAATTAAGCTTTCCATGAAGCGCAAAATTAAAAAGAGTCGCTATATAAGTAAAATTGTGGATAGTGAACATTTGAAGCTCTGAATTAAATCCTTTCTATTAATTGTATGAATTTTTGCATGTATTTGCAATTTCTGTATTATTCTTGCACAGTTATGACTAATTTTTGTTACTTTGAAATACATTTCCTTTTCTGTAAATGAACTTAGTCATAAAATTTTGTTTTGTTTGTGGGTTATCCGCTAACATAAAGTCCGGCAAAACTGACGATTTCAGGTTCTCTGAAGGGAAACATATCACTACGTCACGTATCAACCTATGACGTCAACAAAATAAACAATTTGGAATGTTGGGTTAGAGGAAAGATAAGGGCTATCGCCGCAATTCAGAGACGTGTCGAAAATATTATTGCTGCGATATCCGAGTCGCACGAGCACGATACTGTCTGAGAAGAGCATAGTTAATGCGGTAATGTCGGCGATTTTAAGTAAGTGTAAATTGAGTGACCTATATTAATTTTGCATTGTTTTTTAATTTATTTACATGACATCCCCCAGTAATATAGTCTGTTTATTTTAGATTTAAAACATCGAGTTGATGCAAAATTAAGGGAGGACAGAATGTTCTAAAAATATTATATACAACTAGAATGGACCAACAATGCATTCATGTAACGGAAAATGAAGATCATTTCATGTTAGATGATGAAAATGTAATGAAGCATAGGTGCTCAAAATGCGTGTCTCATAAGCAGATGTGGATACATGGTAATGGCAATGGAAATGTATCAACAAAAAGTACTGCAAGATATTGTAGCCTAACAAATGAAGCAATCAAAGATGATCAATCAGAAATTTCAGAAGATTCCCCGCTGCTTATTAACATAAATGTAAGTGGAAGCAAAAAAAAAACATTTTTTGCACATTATTTTTGTATTTTCTTAGGTACATAGCTGCAGATTAAATGAAATTTTAGCTTTTAACTATCCAGTAAATAAAGGAAAACAGAAATATACGGCTGAACCTTGTTTTAGGAGGGCATGCAAGAACATGAGGATTCTTATTTTCATTGCCATGATTCATTGAGCACATCATATGACGATCCTAAAGCATGGAGAAAACTGGTTGCTGCATCAGCTTTTTGCTTTTTATTTATGGTAAAGTACATCATTTTCATTAAAAGGTAAACGCATCATTTCAATTTTTTTTTCTCAGATTACCGAATTAATTGGAGGATATTTCGCTCAGAGTTTAGCGGTTATGACAGATGCAGCACATCTATTTTCAGATTTCATTGGATTTCTTATTTCTATATTGGCCATTTCTATGGGGAAAAAGTCTCGAACCCCACACATGACTTTTGGATATCACAGGGCTGAAGTAGTAGGTGCTTTTCTGAGGTTTGTTGTACATTATTATTTTGCTTCTAAATTTAATGAAATTTTTTTTTGTGAAAATTATCTCTGGCTTGGAGATTATTCCTTTTTATCTTGATTGAAATTGGAATTTGGCTAAGACCAACACAAATAGAGATATTTTATTAATATGTATGTCAAATACTGATGGATTAAGGTGATCAGATAAATGTAATATTTGAGTCTAATTAATGTTATTAGCTAATATAGGAAATCCTGGAGAATATTAAATATTAAAAATGCCAAAAATTGAAATAGTAATTGGGTGGTTTTATAATTTTAAAATAATATTTTTTTTTAGTACTATGACAATATGGCTGCTGGCTGCAGTTTTTCTTGTATTAGCCCTTAGAAGGCTTTACAAGGAAGAATATGATATTCAAGCAGATACCATGATTTTAGTTGCAACTCTGGGGCTAATTGTAAATATGGTGTAAGTGTAATTATATATGTTTTATTTTGTAAGTTGCTTGGCAATTATTTTACAAATTAAATTCTATTTTTTATTTTTTTTTAAAACTTACTGTTTTTTGTAATATTTACTTACTTACTACAATCATTTTTTATTGTTTGTAAACTCTCTAAAATGTGATATCAAGTTGTCAGTATTAAAATTATTTATCTTTAGAGTGGCACAATTTCGTCTGTAGTCTTTTTAATGTTTTGCAAATTCTCTAAAATCTGATAAGACTTAAAGTAACATATATAAAATACATATTTATTATCAAGTTATCAGTCTTAAAATTATTTGTCTTTAGCGTCGAAGCGATTCTCCATGGACTGTGTCATGGAAACAGTCGTGGCACAATCTCCTCTGTAGTTCTTTTTTATGTTTTGTAAATTCTCTAAAATCTGATAAGACTTAAAGAAACATATATAAAATATATATGTATAATCAAGTTGTCAGTGTTAAAATTATTTATCTTTAGCATGGGAGCGATTCTCCATGGAATGTGTCATGGACACAGTCGTGGCACGCTGTAGTCCCTTTTTATGTTTTGAAATTCTCTAAAATCTGATAAGACTTAAATTAACATATATAAAATTATTATCTTTAAATTAAAATTATTTATCTTTAGCAAGGGAGCGATTCTCCATGGAATGTGTCATGGACACAGTCGTGGCACACTGTAGGCCCTTTTTATGTTTTGCAAATTCTCTAAAATCTGATAAGACTTAAATTAATATATATAAAATTATTATCTTTAAATTAAAATTATTTATCTTTAGCATGGGAGTGATTCTTCATGGAATGTGTCATGGACACAGTCGGGGCACAATTTCCTCTGTAGTCCTTTTTTATATTTTGCAAATTCTCTAAAATCTGATAAGACTTAAAGAAACATATATAAAATATATATGTATAATCAAGTTGTCAGTGTTAAAATTATTTATCTTTAGCATGGGAGCGATTCTCCATGGAATGTGTCACGGGCACAGTCATGGCACAATTTCCTCTGTAGTTCCGCAGAGTTCAGGAAACATTAATATTAGGGCTGCAGCAGCTCACGTGTTGGGTGACCTGTTGCAAAGTGTAGGCGTGCTGCTAGCCGCTGCAATAATAAAAGTGAGTTAATGGGTTAAATGATATTCCCCATTTCTGTACGTGAATGGTAACCATAATAAACTAAAAAATGATTTTCAGATATTTCCTCAGGCTCAAGCCGCAGATCCAATATGCACATTAATATTTTCTGTGATAGTAATATTTACAACGGCCAAAGTAGGTAAGGATTCTATATGGATTCTTATGGAGGGTAGTCCGATTAATCGTGATCGAATTTTATTGGAACTAAAGAAATTACCAAACGTTAAACACGTCCATGACTTGTACATATGGTCATTGGCGCCTGGACGGAACATCGTTTCTGTCCATTTAGCTGTCGGTGAGTATTTTAGTTTTAAAAAAAGTTATTTAATTTATAATGATAAATATTGCGGTTGAGATGGGTTGAAAGGTTTTTGATAAATATTAGAGACATTTTTCCTTCAAGTTCTATTTTTTCACAGAAATAATGTGCTCAATATACTCAGAATTATTAATGGAGGAACTTTAACAGTGTATTCAGCAGATGAGCATAAGTTAATAGTACTTCATTTTGGAATATTGCGAAAAAAATCGTTTAAACTTAGCAGGTAGTAGTAGTCAGTAATTAATAGTAAATCATCTATTGTAATTTTTATTCTATTTTATTTTTAATGAAGAGCTTGTAGCTCTGTTTGTAAAATCAAATCAAAAAGTTTAGTCCTTTGAGAATCGTGACTGGCGCAGTCAGTAGGATACTTCATCGAACACATAAACTTTTCCCAAAAACTAAAGGATTTTCATTTTTAAAAAGGAGGGCAGAATAGTATCCGTAAACGTTTTTATATAGTGCAGTTTATACCTTGTGCAGTTGGCGATTTTGTAATTAACTTGATTATTCTCTAATTTATTTTTGTACGAAATTTAATAAATTAAAGAACTCAATTGTCAACAAACTAAAAAAAAATTAACTGTGACAAGTATTTATTAATAATTGTAATAATGGATTTAACAAAAAAAATTTTGTTTTCCGAGACACAACTTGACTCATCGTTGGTCTTTTTCGCATAAAATTTTGTATTTGTTTTATATAACATTTTTAAACGACCAAACTTTTAAACTTTCCGGTCCATCTATTCGACCCCAGATCATAATAATGAGAGCCCAGCCAGACGGACATCCCCATCACATAATCGCAATTTCATTAGCAAAGAAAAAGGACGGTCGCAAAACTGTTTAGTCAGTCCTACCAAAATAATATTTTGAAATCTAGCAATGTTGACTATCTGAATACGATAATCATATGAATAATAGATTTAAAAAAATGTTTATATTATATGACACAATTCGGGTTTTTGTTTGTTGGTCGTTTTCACGTAAAATTTTGGGTATTTATTTTATATCACATTTTGTTCTTTTTAAATTTTAAAACGACTTAACTTTGTTATATTGGTATTAGTGAATAATTGGCTACCCTACTACTTTACTCTTTTAGAAATTTAATATCAGAATTTAATTAAAAATCCTAAAATTATTCCCACTGACCTAACTTACTAATTAAATGTTAAAAAAAAATGGTGTGCCAATGGTTTATCCACAATGTTGTGAATAAATTGAGATATCCCGATCAAATTTTTTTTGCACCCAAACGAACAGTTTTCGAGAAAAAAAATTTGTTCGCATCGAAAATTATAATAGTAACTTAACAATAATTAATTTTATTATAGTTATTATAACACAAAAACAAATTTTTTCGTAATATTTCGACACCTGTATCTCCGAAATTAAGTATTAAGAACTTTTTTACTTATTTTTATCTACCGAATATGGGCCTAAAGTTTCACCATTATAATTTCGGATCATCCTGTATACCAAATTTTATTAATATCAAAGCATTTCGAGGTTTTAACCTGAACACTTAATATGAAATATGCATCGCCCGACAAATTGTTAAACAAGATTTATTTTTCACTATAGAATAAGCTGTTACATTTAAGTCAATAAAAACTGAAACGAGACGTCTCTTACATCGAACAGAGTACTTATTCAGGACATTTTTGAATTTGAATTGTTTTTGAATTTGAATTTATTTACTGTTCTACTGTGTCAATAAGCCTATCATTATTTTCCCTGCAAAATAAGAGTTTATTATAGGGGCCGTCGGCGGATCGCTTAAATGATCACGGATCGCATTTCTGTTATTTAACATACATAACATAACAGGAACTTTTTAAGCAATGAATAAATACGGTCGTAACATTCTGTGGTCAGTCCCACCAACATAATATTTTTAAATCTAACAATATAATATAGTGATAAAAAATGGTGGGGTAGACTTTTATTTGACGTTTAAGATCGCATTTTCTCTTTTATTGTTATCTTCATCCAATTTTGTCTTGTCTTTTCAGATAGTCACTGTGATAAAAGTTTAATAACAGAACAAGCAACAATGTCAATAAAAAGCCAGATACCCATATTTAACTGCACCATCCAAGTGGAAATGTACAATCCGGTAACAATAAATAGTTGTGGCCTATGTCGAGTCTAAAACCGTTTTTCCTTAAATAAAAGTGCGTTAATGATCTCAAGTCAATGAATTTAATTTTGATGAGGTTAATTTACAACCTTGCTCTTTTATTATTACTACTTGAAATATAACATTACATTGAAGCTCCCTAGGTAACCAAAAATGATGTTAAAATATATTGCAAGTATTTTTTAATTTCCTACTTTATTAATTCCATTTTTCACTGTACTTATTTATTCCTTTACTTGTTTCCTTAAGAAAGGGCTGATAATATTTTTTCGCCCTTTAGAAAATTGAGAGTTCGTTGTTATTGGTTTTTTTCTACGCGCGCTTTCATACATGTTAAATAGTATTTGTATACAGGGTTTCCAGAATAAGTGTTATTAAAACGAAACGGACAATATAGTTATATAGATTGTAGCTTTATTGATATTATATGATGCATCAGTATTTTATAATTTATAGAAAAAAAAACATAGAAATAACCTATTTGTTGATATAATTAAATCACTCTTCTGAAAGTTGTTTTATTTTTCCTGAAATATTGTGCAGATAAAATGGTCGGACATTGACGTCATAAAGTGTACGAGACGTAAAAGCGAAATAGACAAGTTCGTACATACCATAGCATAAGGCACTTTTACCAGTGTTTTGTGGGTAAGTTTTACTGTTTAACCTAACATTTATTAATTATATTTACATTTTTTGGCCAAAGGTAGTTAAAACATGGTACAATATAACGCAAACCTAAGTGAGTACAAAATCATTACAATCCTTGGACAATGTTTCGATGGCAGGGCCGCAGTCCATCTAGCAAAACACCTTCCCACGGGGCAAATGGTTGCCGTTAAAAAAATAAATATGGATAAAATTAAATGCGACGCCAGTTTGGTCGAAGTCAGTATGTTTTAAATGTGTTATTACCTTTAACATTTGTTTTAATGACAGGTTGAGATTGTTTTAACTAAGCAGCTTCAGCATCAGAATATTATAACTTATCACATTTCTTTCATCAGCGGTCAAGATTTGTGTATTGTAAGCCCATTATTCTCCTATGGATCTTGTCGAGATTTAATTAACCAACACTTTAACGAAGGTGAGCTATCATTCATGTTTGAACAATAGTTGTATTACTGTACGGCTACTGCAAATTTATATTAACTAAAGTGTTTTATCTTAAGGTTTACCGGAACAAGCTATAATCACAATACTTAGAGACCTATTAGATGCACTAAACTATCTTCACAGGAAAGGTTTTATACATAGGTAAGTTCCTGATTCTGAGAGATGAATTAATTCGCATTTTGGTTGGTTCGAATTTGTTGTTTTGGCTTGCTTATTTTTTGTGAATGTAAAAAAAATAATACATATGCCATCATTATTTTTAGAGCAATTAGAGCTAGTCACATTTTAGTTTCATCTTCAGGCAAAGCCTGTTTGGCGGGTCTACGATATTCATGCCCTTTAATTAACAACGGCAGGTGGCAGAAAACGATTCATTCTTTTCCATCAAATACAGAGAAAAATCTCAATTGGTTGAGTCCTGAACTTTTAGAACAAAATTTAGTGGGTTAGTATGTCAGGAGAAGAGAAATTTTTCCAATTGGGTGCAACCGTAGAGCATAAAATAATTGTTTTAGGTTACAATGAAAAGTCAGATCTTTATAGTGTCGGCATGGTGATATGTGAACTGGCAAATGGGTGTGAACCCTTTGCAGGAATGCCAAAAACTCTAATGCTGACTGAAAAGGTTCGAGGTTGCACTCCTCAATTACTAGATTGTTCCACAGTGCCCAGAGATGAAAACGGAGATTGTAGCGGAGGTCAGTACCCAATCCTTATTAAAATTACACCGATACTAAATTTCTCCTAGGTGACTGCGATATAAGTCCAAAAATCGTCAATAGGAGATTTAGCGATGATTTGCACGAGATGGCAGCTTTGTGTTTAAATCGAGACCCATTTGAACGACCTTCCGCTTCTCAGTTGCTGAGCCATCCTATCTTTAAAACGATCAAAAAATCTCTCCCTCTTAGAGACCTGTTAAAACCAGCTCTGCCCCTGAGTGATAAAGTGGCGTTCAACTCAGGTAATTTATGGAATTCATTCAAAAGGTTCTATTAAATTTGGAAATTTGTTTCAGACGATGTCGAAGATCTAGACACTGATTTTTCTCAATTAGAAATTTATTCCTGCGAGTGGGATTTCGAATGAAAATATGTTCCGCTCTGGCAGTGGGTGCAAATATCCTTATTTATAAAAAATCACAAAATATATAAAATAAAAGTTGTATAAAATCCCTGAAATCCAGTTTAGGAATTTTTTTTGTCCAATCGCACCATCCTGATTAGATTTCGCGATGGGTGCAAATGTTATTATTTATTGTCAAACAAAAAATATTAAATAAAAGTTGTGTAAAATCCCTGAAATTTAATTTAGGAATTTCCTTTTTTCAAATCACACCGTCCTGATCAGGTTTATAACAACACTATGGGTGCAAATGTTATTATTTATTATCACACACAAAAATATAAAATAAAAGTTGTATAAAATCCCTGAAATCCAATTTAGGAATTTTCTTCACCGTCCTAATCAGATTTATAACAACATGATGGGTGCAAATAATATTTATTATCAAACACAAAAAATATAAAATAAAATTTTTACAAAATACCTGAAATTCAATTTAAGAATTTTCTTTTTTCAAATCACACCGTCCTGATCAGATTTATAACAACACAATCGGTGCCAATGTTATTATTTATTATCAAACAAAAAATATAAAATAAAAGTTGTATAAAATCCCTGAAATTCAATTTAAGAATTTTCTTTTTTCAAATCACACCGTCCTGATCAGATTTAGAACAACACAATCGGTGCCAATGTTATTATTTATTATCAAACAAAAAATATAAAATAAAAGTTGTATAAAATCCCTGAAATTCAATTTAAGAATTTTCTTTTTCCAAATCATACCGTCCTCATCAGATTTATAACAACACAATCGGTGCCAATGTTATTATTTATTATCAAACAAAAAATATAAAAGTTGTATAAAATCCCTGAAATTCAATTTAGGAATTTTTTTTTTTCAAATCACACCGTCCGGATCAGATTTATAACAACACAATTGGTACCAATGTTATTATTTATGTATTATCAAACACACAAAATATAAAATAAAAGTTGTATAAAATCCCTGAAATCCAGTTTAGGAATTTTCTTTTTTCATGTGACACCATCCTGGCCAGATTTATAACAACACAATGGGTGCAAATGTTATTATTTATTATCAAACACAAAAAATATCAAATAAAAAGTTGTATAAAATGCCTGAAGTTCAATTTAAGAATTTTCTTTTTTCAAATCACACCTGATGAGATTTATAACAACACAATGGGTGCAAATGTTATTATTTATTACCAAACACCAAACATATAAAATTAAAGTTGTATAAAATCCGATTTCGATTTTTTTTCCAAATCGAGCCGCCCTGATGAGATTTATAACAACACACTCTGTGCAAATATCCATATTTATTAAAAAACAAAAAGTATAAATTAAAAATTGTATGTATAATATAACGCCGTCCAGATAAGACTTATAACAACACTGGGTGCAAATGTCGTTATTTATTATAAGACACAAAAAGTATAAATTAAAATTTGTATATCTATAAAATCCAGTTCAGTTTTTTTTTATAAAACCGTCCTGATAAGATTTATAACAACACAATGGGGGCAAATGTTATTTAATATAAAAAAATATAACTTAAAAGTTGTATAAAATTCCTGAAAACTATAATCAAGTTACTAGACACTCACCAAAAATACATTCGTTCCCTAGAGTTTTGTCCCAACAGTAAGTGTAAATATAAAAATCACCTACAATTGACTCCTATCCCTATCTTTGTTTGAGCAATCCCTAGTTAAAAGGTTACTATTCTTCATTATACACCAACCTCTTGAGATTTATAGTAATTAATTAAAAAACAAGAAGTATGAAATTCCTGAACTCCAATTTTGGAAGTTTTTTTTTCAAAACAAGATGCTAGATACCTTGAAAGCCCCTCTAGTTCGCTTCCAAAAGTCACCAAAATTTTTGAAATGGCAAGAAATAAATACCCGCAACTAGAATTTTGTGTTTAAACTTATAATAAATGCAATATTGGTGTATAAAATATATTTATTAACATAACATATGCATTTATAATAATTTAAAATTCCCAACTTATTGAACAATACTGTGGATCACAATTCACTTTTGGCAGGTTTATTTTTTTTGGGACACAGCCCCGATTCTTGCACACAAAATTTTTGGGCAACATCTTCGACCTCATTTTGAAAGTATTTTATAATGTCCTCCTCAAATTCTTCCATTATTCCCTCACACTAGAATAAAAACAATCAAACAACTAACCACAAAGCCTTAAAAATAAAAAAGTATATTCTTACATAATATTTAAGGCTTTTATTCAAATCATCGTCCTGAACGAAATCAACCTCACCCATGAGAGGATTTAGCCCGCCAGTTGATGTTATCATATTGATAAGCGTCAAAGTTCCATTGGATTTCCACAAAGCTCTAACATAATCGTCCATTCTGTTGCACACCGCATCGATTGTGTCTGAAAGGAACAGCTCAGATTTGGCAGCTGGTATGGTCTTTGGGGCATCATAGTTCCCATCAGCGTCCAAACGGTGTCCTCCTATTTTAACAGTTCTCGATTGATCGTGTTTTTTAACTTCCTGCGTTAATTCTTTTAGGCTCGCTTGGCACACTATAACAATAAACATTTTTGCTTGTCCATATTCTCACCAACTGCAAAAATTACCTAAGCATTTGAGCTCCTTATTGTCCAGTTTAGCATCGTTAACAACCGTCTGGCTATTTCCCCAGGAAAGGAATACTAAAATGCCTACAAGCACCAAGAGCTTCTCCATACTATCTTGTTGAAAATAAATACAGGAGCTATAGAAATAAAAACAACTTAAAAGCGCTTTTTACTTCCATTTAAATAAATTTCGATGGCACATGCTTGACACGTAAGTTTGATTTGATTGGTTGTTTTTTATCAGTGAAAAAATATCAAAATACATTAAAATATAACCATAAAATTCACAACTTTATAATGGCAGCGCTACTTGTATGGTATCATTTTAAACCTAGGTTTAACAGTTTTTCGTTTTCATTAGCTTTTTAAAACCGGGTCCCAAATAATAACCTATTTAAAGAAATTTACGACGTCATGCATGGAACGTACATCTACGGAACATTTGATTATGGCGGTAAATGAGGCGTCTGCGTTCCGTAATTGGAAATATACGAAAAAAAAACACTAATTTGCAGACATCACGGATATTACAAAGGTTTTCTTTCCAATTCATGGACAATTTTGTCTTAATAATTTTTTGAAACTGGCGCTTATTATCATGAACGGGTCGTTCGGAAACAATCTCGTCTAAACAAGCTTCCAAGGTCCAAGATTCTCACAAGCTGCCAGTCGCCAATCGGACACCGTTGTGGGAGGTTGCCGACAGAATGTGTCAAAGTTTTTCATTGATGAATTCGCCTGAAAAAACGCAGTTTTTCTCAAAATATTCTGTATTGCCGTCGAAGGAGAAAATTGTGTCAGTGTACAAGGTGTTTTTTTCGATTTTGTTTGAGAAAGAGGCTTCGTTAAGGTAAGTGACATATTTTTTCTACTTGTAATACCCATCAATTTTTTTCGGCTCTATGTTGCCCAATATGGGAAACGGTAGTTTTTTGCTGTTTAATTTACATCATCTTCCTATTTCTCTATTTTTAAGTCCATTATTTAACCTAATAAATTTTTTACATCTCAGAAGTTGGGTTAATATAAGGTCACAAATTTTGTTAAACCGCCACAAGATTCGCTAAATCAGTTGTAAATACCCGACAAGTTAGGTTTTTTAACTTAATCATATTTTTATTCCAAATATAGTTCGTGTTTGTTGTTCGCGATGTTGCGGCACTTGACCTGGCAACCGCGTAAAGCGTGTTATAACAGATAAAATAATCTTTTTTGCGTCTGCCGCTAAAATATGGATATACGTCACGATATACCTGCAGCGAGTGCTAATGCTATGTGGCCGTGCTAAAATCGGAAAATTTCTCGGGTTTCGTTTGTCGGTTTAATGACAAAGACCAGTTGTTACATACAAATTTCCTTCTGTAACAACTTTGTGTTTAGGTTGGGGCTGTGGCAATCGCGCTTTGTACGTCCGGTTCCCTACCCTTCCACTCTCCTATCGATTGCAGCGAGGCCCAATGAAGAGCTCGTTCCACAGCTCGCGGGAGCGAATTTATCTTTTTTACGTTGCCAGTTCCTCCTCGATCACAAAACCCACGCTGCACGAAATCGTATCGTCGTCCTTTTCTACGTAAGCTGGCATCATCGCTTTGTTATTGGAAGTGTGCTGTGTTGCCAGTTGTACGTTACATGGATATGCACACGAAAATAAAACGAAAAGCAAGCCAGTGGGATTATACCAACCGTTTTAACTTGGTCATCTCGCGAAATGAAGTTAAATTGTGACGTATCGCTTGGGAGTGCTAGTTGTATTTACAGGCAGTTGTCTAAATGGACTTATCATTTGACTGGGACCTAAAAGTAGCGCGAACGTAAGTTTCCTAAAAGTTTTGCACGTTTTAATAACCCGATTTTCGAGTCGTTTTCGGTTACGGACCACACGATTTTTTCGGTTTTTTAATTCCTAGCACCGGCATGCTTTCAACGTTGACGACAACGCTCAGTTTTCCACGATGAAAATGGTGCATTTTTTTGTTGCGCAATCCGAAATATTTTTGTTGTTTATGCCAATAGCATGGAGGTTGCGCGCGCACGCCCAGAGTTTGGCTTGGTGTAATTTATAAATAAATAAGCCCCATAACGTAGTATTGCGTAAGTTAACACGAGTGGGATCTGGAAATTTTCAAAGGCTCGCACGGGGTGTACATTTTTCCATTTTTCGGTGCGTTAAACGTCCTCGTTGTTTTCGATGTGGTGTTGTGCGTAATTCGTCGGTCAAAGTAGGCAGAAATCGACCTGTGCCTTTATTCGAGGCATGTCTTCACACTCGCAGCTACCGGTCGTGTTTATGTTAGAAAATAAATAAATGGGCGTGACGTTTGATCAGCTGAACTTGGCGTTTTCCGCGACCGTGTGGTGTATTAAAGATGGTTATTAGAATATTGTTCGGAACTATGAAGGTCGTAATAAGAAAATTAAGGTGAGTTTGTGTCAAGTTCTTCGGAAATGGTTACGCTGGCAACAATAACATGTTTAATAAACGCGAATCTCTGTTTACATCGGCAATATACCAGAATTTTAGTTTTAATTTAGTTCTTACCTAAATTGAATATTTATAAGAGCAAATAGATTTTTTTTAGAATAAGGTTATTGGCTAAGCAGGAAAAAAATGCAAAGCAATTGGTAACTAAGCGTTGCCGCTTTTTTTTCTAATTCACCGCTTCTCACCTGTATTGCAAAAAAAATTGTCAAATTCTATTTCCCGGTGGGCGTCGATTAATTTCATATAGTTTTCTATTTAATTGCATAAATTCTCTTTGGACAGGAATGGCGTCACTTTTGTGTAGATCCGTCCGAAGCCGACATCTAAATATGCCGGCTCCAGACCAAGCAAGACATCCAATCATTTTGAAGTGAATTTTTAGTCATTTTCTTATTGTTTCTTTTTTATACGTGCATTGGCTGTTTCTAGTTTTTGTTTCTGTTACTTTTGGATTGGCGAAAGTTAGCAAGTTCGAGTCAAAAAAACCGACGCAGGAGGAATCCAGAAGTTTTATATAAAATATTACAGAAGCCTGTGGAAGTTTCTTAAAAAAAAATTGGCAGTTCTTTATTTGCTTTGCAGCCACTGAGTTTATATTCAATGCTCAATAAATCTTATTCAATATATCGACTTTCTTGTAACGATTTTTGTAGTTTTTTTTTGGGTCTATAATAATGGATGACTAGTACTAACTAATACAACACAACGGAATACAATTTTTGTGATTTTTTAATGATTCCTTGACTCCTACTTTTGTCAGCACACACCGTCCACAACTTGTAAAATATTCAGACAAAAGAGAGAAACCTGAACTTGCAAAAATCTCTGTATTTTTAAATAAAGCAAAAGAAACTTCTAGAATGTTAATATAATTGATTTTTATAGCACATAACTATTTACATTAGCTATTAGAATTTCCATAACAAATTACATACCATCTAAATACAATATAATCAAATATTCTGCCAAAAGCTGTTAATGCGTCAACACAAAAATAGATATAGGAACATATATACAAGGAACAAACTCAACAAATATGAATTCTCGTTGCCTGAAGATACAAATCCTTTAAATTAAAAAAAAAAAAATAAATTTAGGATAACTAAAAAACCACGTAAACTTATGCACGATTTCATAGATTCTCGTTTTAAGTATTTATCAGTGAGTATATTAAAAAAATGAATAAAATAATAGGTATAAAAAAGCAATTAATGTATTTTTTAAATAGATTTTTTTAATAATTCATTAAATTGATGATTTTATCTTGTTGGTTCAAGTATTATATTGTTTGTATCAACTGGAAATTAAGACAATCTTGGTTAGTTAAGTAGTAATTTTAATTCTATCGTTCACTATTGGAGGTGCTAATGACATTTAATTGGGTTACAAGATTTTTTTAGTGGCATTATGTTTGCCGTATTATAAAAAAGTTGAATAACAGTATATTAATGTTTTGGTATATATCTTATTATTATTATTATTATGATTAAAATATTTGGGATGTTACATGTATCCTGTTAACTTCTTCAGAACTTGCCTGCAACTGGCTGGCAATTTACTCTGTAGTCAATAACTGATGCAAGATAAATCCAGAAGATTTGCAAATAATAAAACAAAATAATAATAATATTTATTTCAGCAATTTGATAATACATTGAAAAAATATGTAACAATGAATTCGATAAATTTGTAGGTACATTTGTTCAGTCTCATGCAAGTTATTTTACTAGTTATGGGTAAGTTCATATTAATATTCGAAATTGAAAACATATTAAAATTATGAATTGTTATTAAATTATTTTTTGTATATTCCCTATTATGCAAATACACAATTCTTTAGTAGGATGTAGTTCGTTTTTGAATAATATAATTTTCAAAACACGCTACTGGATAATTGAAGAGCCTTGGTGACACAAGAAAGTGGGAACACTCTATAACTTTTAAATGCCTTGAGATAGCGACTTGAAAGATTTGAAATTTGGAAGGGTTAATATATGCTGAATGTCCAATTTTTTGACAATATGTAGTCAGTGGTTGCACTTCCGGTTTGCAACTTTTTTGGATTTTTCGATTCAGGATATCATTCTACATAGGATAGAATGATTTTTTTCTTTTTTTTTTTAATTATTATTTAATTTTTGAAAATTCTGTCTCGGGGGCTGTGATCATCATAAATACCTGATCATGAGATAAATTGTAAATGAAACTTTTCTTTACTTGTCTAATGGCACATAACGTAGATAACGTAGTTTTTTTTTTTAGTGGGGACTAAAACTTTTAAAAACCGGTACTTTTTTTGCAACATTTTGATACCAAAATTTTCAAAATCCGTTAAACAATAAGCTCGTAGGAAAGACAAAAAACAGATAAGTGAATACATTTTTATAAAAACAAAATCTTACTTAGGTGGCATTGTCAAGAAACAAATAAATTAATATTAAAAAACAATTAAAATTCAATATGTACAACTATCAGATTTTTTTTTCAATCATGTCGACTTGTTTTTTCCTTCCTGTGGACTTATTTTTTTACGGATTTTGAAAATTGACTGCATATTGTCAAAAAATTGGACATTCAGCTTATATTAAGCCTTCAAAATTTCAAATCGCTATCTCAAGCCCTTTAAAAGTTATAGTGTACCCACTTTCTTGTGTCACCCGGTATATATAGGAAGACATATTGTTTTGTTTGTTTGGTTCGGACCTGGCATTACCTTCGGTTCGTTTCGTCAACGTCCACGACTGATTCGTGTCTTTTTGTTTCTTCTTCTTGCAGTAGAATTAATGTGATTTGAGATGAAACGCTTGAGGGTGGACGAGACCACTAAAGAAGGAAGCGGCGGGTCCCCGTTGCCGGGCGGATTGTTCCGGCAGTCTCTTCCGAACGCGGCACCGTCGTTGGGCTTTCCCGGCAACGGCGGAGGCGGTGCGGGTGGAACGGTCAAAGTGTTAAGTGAAGGCATGCAGTCGGGACTTTATACGACGGCAGCGCCGGTCAGTTACAGTGCTATGCCGGTGGCCGCGGCCCCGCATTCCGCGAAACCGCAGTCGATGCCGCTCTCGGCGAATAGTCACAACGCGATGCGCAGCATCGGGGCTTCACCTCCGAGCGCCAACCTGCAGGAGTCGCCGCAGCAGCAGCAGCAGCAGCAGTCGCCGAGCAGTTTCCAGAGGTTGAAGGTCGAGGACGCCCTCTCCTACCTCGATCTCGTCAAGTTCAAGTTCGGTTCGAAGCCCCAAGTGTACAACGACTTCCTGGACATCATGAAAGAGTTCAAGAGTCAGAGTATCGACACGCCGGGCGTCATTCAACGGGTGTCGAACCTGTTCAAAGGGTTCCCCGATCTGATCGTCGGTTTCAACACGTTCCTGCCGCCCGGCTACAAGATCGAGGTGCAGAAAAGCGACCAGGGCGGTTACGCGTTCTCGGTGTCGGTCAGTATGCCCAGCCCGACGGGCACGGTGTCGTCGGATCCGCAAAAATCGGCGATGATATTGAGCGGCACCGGGAGGATCAATATGTCCGCCCCCGGTCAGCCGGTCGGTCAACCGACACCGCCCCAACCGATGCCGCTGACGCAGCAACAGCAGCACGTCGCGCCCGCGACGCCCCAGATCGTCCCGGCGGCGCCCCAGGTCGTCCAGCACTCGTCCGGTTTCGGATTGCCCGCCCCCAATTACAATCTGTCCCTGACCGCCGCGCAGGCGGCCGTAAATCACGCCCTCCAAGGCCATACCGACACACCCCAGAATCAGCCCGTCGAGTTTAACCACGCCATTAATTACGTCAACAAAATAAAGGTAAGCGTTTGCCATATTTATTTATTTATGCGCAAAAAAAATTGCATACAAAACTTCCCTAAACGACTGAAATTACCAAAAGTATTATTACACCCAGGTCGCGGACAATCTAAGCTTCTCTAAATTGATTACTAAATTTAGCTTTTTTATTTTTACACAAAAAACATCTATATGAAACTCCCCAAAATACTAGAAATAACCAAAAATTGAGCTACTTCTAAGCTGCTACATTGATTTCTGACTTTAGCTTTAGAAATTGGGTATTTTTTTTATTTTTACGCAAAAAATCTATCCAAGACTTCCATAAATCCCAGAAATAACAAAAAGTGACCTACTTAAATTATTATTGCACATAGGTCGCAGACAATCTGAGTCGGTAAATTGATTTCTAAATTTAGCTTTGGAAATTTTATATTTTATTTATTATTTTTACACAAAAAACATCTATACCAAACTCTCCTAAATAACAGAAATAACAACAATTGAGCTACTTAAATTATTATTGCACCAAGCTCGCAATCTTAGCTGGTAAATTGATTTCTAAATTTTTACTTAAAAAAATGAATATAATGAATATGAAATGAATATAATATTGTATTATATAAACCATTAAATAAATAATTATTGTAAAATAATATAAATTATTATTATAAAATAAAGGTAAGCTTTTAATGTCGTTTCCATGTTATCAAAGCGGTGCCCAGTGCAAAATTGCAAAAGCTTTTGGCATTTTTTCTTCGAAAAACATCTCGAAATACCAGAAATAACAAAAAATGTGCCACTTTATTTACTATCGCACCTAGATTGCAGACAATTCCTAGCTGGTAAAATGATTTCTACATTTTTATTTTAAAAAAATACTTTACTTACGAAATAAATTCATGTAAAATTAAATTTATTAAATTTATAAATATATTACAAAATAAGCTTTTGGTGCCCGTTTCCATATTGTCGTAGCGATGCTCGGAGTTAAATTGTAATAAGAACAAAAATATACAGGGGGTGCCATTTAAAATAACATAGTTCATGTCGGGGGACATTTTTGATAATTTTTAAATCTTCAGGGGAGTCCAAAGAATTTTGGTACTAACACTTTATTCCGTATCACCTATGGGTGTTTCCATATCGCATAGTGGACAGTTTCATTTGGCACACGGTGTACGTACTGTTTCCCGAATGAAAAGTTTTTTTATATGATCGAGTGCGCAGAAAAATTTAATTTCGTTTGATATACAGCTAAGTTTTACTTGTTGCTTAACACATTCACTGCCCGCCCCGAATTTTACGTCTGGTGGCCCTTTAGTTTTTCTTGTGCAAGAAGTGTAGTATGACAAAAAAGTACTACAAATATATCCAACTAAAGTTTTTTTATATTAAAAAAAAAAAACAAAAACGCGTGGGCACCCGGCAAGCATGAAGCTATGGCATTGTAAATACCAGAAGCCATTTTTTTACAAAGTTGTACATTTTTGTTACAAAAGTGTAATGTAAAACATAATCTAAAACATGGAGTTAGACAAAGACCTGGGCTGCCTGGACATTGCGGACAATAGTAGACAGAATCCTTTCTCTGGCCATTGCCCCAACAAACACAGCATCTTCTTTTCGCCTTTCCATTCTCTCCTTTTGGACAGTACTCTGGGAGGTGCTGGAGGATTATCTTAGGCACTGGATCTGGATATCCCATTGGTATCAAACTGCATCACTAGCTCACCTTTTTTTAACTTTTTGGTCAAAAAAGGTTCCCTTTTCTGTTTGCTCTGAGAATTCCGATGACATAAGTTTTCTTTTCCAGTAAGTCTTTCATTAACTTCACGCTATTATAAAAGTTGTCCATAAAGACTGAATATCCAAATCCCAAGTATTTTTCTAGCAGAGACAGTACGCCTTTTTCGGTTTGCAGGTATCCAGATAACTGGCAATCAGCGGCTCCTGAGTACACAATTATTTTGAGAGACATGCCCTTTGGTTCACACAATATAACTTTATCCCGAACTTGTGTCGTTTTCCCTTAATGTACTGGCGAAATTCAAATCGCCCACGCCATAAGACCATAGACTCTATTGATAATTATCCATCTGTGTATGAGGTGTTTGGGTATCGATTTCTTCAAAATCAGTAAAAACCGATTACGACTCATAAATGCTGAAAATGTTGGAAGATCAAACAAATAGTGTCTTTTATCCAGTAGTCGTTATTCCTATTCATCCGAATTGTTCCCATATGAAATAAAGTCCCAAAATAATGAATTGGCTCTGTTCCTTCTATACCAGATTCAGCGGTAAATGGAATACGTTGTTTACGGACTTTTTGGTTTGACCACTGCTCGTTGGGAGCATCAGTAGTAACTGGTGTATCTGGTATATATGGGGAACCCGATGAAGCTTCATTTAGATCCTCTTTTGAACTGCAAGGAGTGTCAATAAGTTGCAAAGTGGGATTATCAGGAATACCTACAGCTGACATAGCTGGAGAGCCCGATCGTGAAGGTAGTTCCTCTTTTTCACCATCGGACTCATCAGTGCTGGACGGTATATACTCGGGATCGTCTTCACTGTCATTTAGAAATGGATCATCTTCATGTTCTTCATCTTCATCTAATTCTGAGTCACTTTCCGGAACTTCCTCACATCACCTGATGGGTTTTCCAAAATTTGACGAATTTCCTCATCTGTTAACGTTTTTTCTTTATACGGATTATATTTATTCCGTTTTTTGGCAGGCTGAGCAGGCTTTGGAAGTTCCAGGATTTTGATCCATATCACACTGTAACAGAACGAGGTATATAATAACGTTTTCAACTGTGTGCGCGCCATGTGCCCAGCAACGCACCTGGCGGGCAGCGAAAAAAAATTTCCCGGCCCGAATATGAAAGAAACAAAGTAGAGTAACAATTTTTCATTATTTTTCAATATAATCCCCTTTAACTTGATTACATCTCTTTATTAACAACTCAATCCCTTTAAAAAAATACTCATTTGGTTTGTCTGCAAAATGAGCTAAAACAGCCTCTTTTAACTCAACTTCGTCGTTAAACCGCCGTCCAGGTAAGTCCTTTTTCAAATATCTCTCTGTGGGAACCCACACTCTAAAATGGACAGGTGCATTGTCGTGCAAAAGACGCAAAGACTGGTCAGTTTTCGACGTTCTACACGTCTCGCAATTTATGTAATACTGTTTCCTTCACAATCCCTAAAGATCGTTGCCATCACCTTTTTTGTTGACTGACAGACTCTGAATTTTCTTGGAGGTCCTTCACCCTTACGACGCCACTCCATTGATTCTGTTTTCGATAGAGGGTCATAATAGAGAACCATAGTTTCATCTCCCGTCACAATAGTCTCTATCACAGGCTTCGGTTCCGACCCACAGAGTTCCAAAAAAGACCGCGCACACTCGACACGGCGTTGTTTTTGAATAACCGAAAGGTTTTTGGGAACCCATCTTGCACTAACCTTATGCACACCTAAATGATCATGCTGGATTCGACGAACACTTGTATCAGAAAGCTTAGTAATTTCTGAGATTTTCTTGACCTTTAAACGTCGATCACTCAATACCACCTCTTCTGCAATCGCAACAATATGTTCCGTTATGACCTCCACCTTCAAGGGACTCCTGCCCCATTCGAAAACATTTTGCCCATTCTTTCACTACGGAATACGAAGGAGAACTTTGGCCGTACACACCATACAACCTTTCTTTAATAATTTTAGGTGCTAAACCTACTTTTGTCAAAAACTTTTTGACTGCTCTATACTTAATTTGCGTTATTTGCGACATTTTTTCGGACACGTCTTGTTCAAAATGCTGTCAATAAAAAACTATTTGACGCAAGACTGATAATGGAGCTGCACCTATGTCAGGCCGGGAAATTTTGGCGCTAACCTCGTATACTATTAACATATCAGTTCTAAATACCGCACCACACGTTTAGACAAATCCAGCCATGCCCTGCGAAATTAGCTGACTTTGGATAAAACAAGCGGGTATAGAACATGGATGAACGCGCCTGGCGCGTTTTGGTCGGCGAATGTGTTAATAATAAGCATGGATCGCGTACTAAAAAACCGCGCAACAATCGAAAAACGTATTTAAATTGTTGCACGTTTTGCGTGTCAGTCGCACGTCACTTTTATACATTGTTTCGGTCGCTTCGTTTTTAGAATCGCTTTCAAGGCCAGCCGGAAAAGTACAAGAGGTTCCTCGAGATCCTGCACACGTACCAGAAGGAACAGCGCACGCTGAAAGAATCGAGCATCGGTTCGAGCGGCAAACACCTGACGGAACAGGAGGTTTATAGTCAGGTAGCGAAGCTGTTCGAGAATCAGAGCGATCTGCTCGCCGAGTTCGGTCAATTTCTCCCGGACGCCACCAGCCATATTAATCAGGCACCCGTTTCCGAGCACTCCAATTCGCTCAACAAAAAGTCGCTCGGCAAACCCTACCACAGGGATCACATGCCCGACCGTCACGTGTCTCACAAATCCGGTCACGTGTCGGGACCGGTCAAACGCTCGCCTCCCTACTCCAACTACCACCATCGGGACGCCCCGCCCCCCAAGAAACACAAGATGGCGTCGTCGTGTCGCGACGTCAGCCTGAGCGAGGCCGGGAAGTACGGGACTTTGAACGATTACGCGTTTTTCGACAAAGTGAGTACGCGGTTAATAACAATTAAACGTTTATTGTAACTCAATAAAGAAAAAGCGGTTCCAATACGTATGCCTCAGGAATTAAAAGATTTAGATTTATGAAATTTAGGCCGGTAGTGACATAAGCAACGTTGCCGCATTTATGTGTTTTCCCTAATCTTCCGTTTTTGGTTTTCTCTTAAAAATTGACCCTTATGTTATCATTGCGGCAGATTGTCCGATCTGTCAGCCCCCAAGCTCATTTCTAATATCTCTAAATGGCTTTCTTGAACCTTCGTTGAGGACATGCTTAGTTATATATATAGTATATTTGTTCATGTATACGTTTCAGCCACTTCAAAAAATTTCAAAAGAACTTTTTACGATATGAAATTGAAAATGAATTGCAAAGTAGAGACGAATGTTAGTGACTCTAGTAGTGGTAGTGATATAGGTACTAAAAGACAGAGAACCAAACCTTGACCATCAAGTTCAAGCAGCAGTGAAGAAAACGAGAATATAACAGAACCTGGTAATTTTAGGTACCAGACAGGATTCCGTTTACTTCTGGGAATGAAATGGTACGACCAGAAATTCCATAGATTTTTTCAAGCTCTTTTTTACCGATGAGCTAATAATAAAAATAGTGGAACAAACAAATAACTACGCTAGACCTAAAATAGCCCTGAAGAGGTTGTCCTAAATATGGTACGATAATCTTATCTAATATCCCAACAGAGATATCTAGGTCCCAACAAAATACATTTTTTTAGTAGAATATTTAGAAGAGGTCAAGCACTTCATAGAACATTTTGTTCCATCAAGAGAGATATCGCTAGACGAATCTCTTGTTGCATTTAAGGGTAAAATTCGTTTTTCTAACTTACTATCTTAACAATCCTACGAAATGGGAGATGGGAATTTATGTAATGGCGGATGCTAACACCGTATATGTTTATTCAGTTTTGCCGTACTAAGGAAGATTGACGTCGGAAGATTTAGTGAGACCTGATTTACCTGTAAGTACAAGGATAGCGTGAGAAATTATTAGACAATAACCCATAATGTAGGGAATATCATTTTTACACCGATAGATACTGTACGACAAATTTTTACGTGATTCTATCAAAAAACCCACATTTGTAGATCGGGTAATTTGTTGTTATTGGCGTGGAAAGATAGAAGGGTCGTCACCACACTTACTTTGTGGGATATTTGAGGAACACCGCCTATCAACACAGGAGTACGTGGAGGTAACTTACAAGTTGTAAATAAGCCAAATGTAGCTTTCAATTCCAATAAATATATGGGAGGTGTTGACCGCTCAGACTCTTATTCTGCGTCATACTGTTTCCTTGAATTATATAAAATTTCCAAAACAAAAGACCAATGACACATGTGAAGTGTGTTCGGGAATTGGTTGACGAGATGGCGGGGGTACAAAATTTCTGAAGATCTGTAAATACAGAAGAGCTGCTAAATGGTAAATTACATATTTTACGGCAAAATGATGGAAGGAAAAAAGACTGCGCGGTATGTTCTAACCGTAAAGTATAAGGCGGTAGGCGGGAAAATACGTATATTTGTGGCCCTTGCACACTTGGTGACTACAACATTATAGGATGTAATTTTTTTATATTGTGTATAAATTTATTAATTGATAATGGTAGTGATTTTGATAATGTTAGGTTTTTATGTGTTTCTTTATACTCAAGATTTGTTATTTTTGTAAGCCATTACTTTTTATTTAGTGTTTTTATTTTTTTTTATTTAATTATTTTTCATGTTATAATTGTAATAAATTATCAATAAAATATTTTTAAATTGATGCCATAGTTAATATTAAGCGATTTTTTTTTTTTCAAATTATTTTTAATTAAAAAAAAGTAAAATAATAAATGGTCCGAGTACAGTGTACTCTCGAAAGGACATATATACGAGTGCCAAGGGTCTCAACCAATTGGTAAGGAAAAAAGTTATTTATTTTGATAAACGCGTTATCGGTCACATCGAGAGCTACAATTTTTGTCACATACGTTGTTCGAGATATTTAAAAAATCGAAATGAAAATCACTATTTCTCGCCGTCAATCTAGACGCTGTGACGTCATTTATTATTACGGCGTACTGCATGGTTTTAGAAAACAAGTCTTTTCTCGAAAACTCTTCACTCTATTCGAAAAATTCATATACTAGGAAACGTGTACAGGTTTTTGTTGGTAAATTATTGGTGATAAATAAATGTTAAAGATGGGATAATTTCATTTGAACAGTATCGGAAACTGTGCCCAATTGCAATTGCCACTAGAAATTTTAAAATTTGCCCGAAGGTGTATGCACAATAAAATTACATCGATTTTGCGAAAGTTCCATAGTGGTCCGCAGGAGCACGATAGAAAACCAATGCGTTCATCTAAGACAAGAAACCGCGAAGCGGCTTTGTTTTGGAAATGATTCGCGCCACTTGCGACGAACTTGTACCGATCAGTGACGATTTTTCGAAAGCAATCTTGTTGTTTATCCAAATATCATTAAAGGCGATTTATTAATTTAGTAAATTTAGTAAAATACGAGACCACCACCCTTAACACGCACATAATAAAATATTTTACGATTTTTCTTTAAACATAATGAAAATAGTAGACTAGATGATTAGGCCTCGAATTATTTTGATCCCGAAGCACGGTTGCTCTCATTAATTATAAATGTATTTATTTGAATTTGCAGGTGCGCAAGGCGGTGCGTTCTCACGAAGTGTACAACAATTTCCTAAGATGCCTGATCCTGTTTAACCAGGAGATCGTCTCCAAGAGCGAGCTCATTCAAATCGTCACCCCGTTCTTGGGCAAATTTCCGGAACTGTTGCGATGGTTCCGGGAATTCATGGGCCAAAACGATACGGAACCGATCCCGTACAACGTGACGCGAACGGAACGCCCTCAGGGCGACCACGCCCTCGAAATCGATCTGGCCACTGCCAAACGTTTGGGCGCTAGCTACTGCATCATTCCCAAAGCGCAGGAGGGTCAGAAATGTTCGGGTCGTACGCAGCTCTGCAAAGAGGTGCTGAACGACCAGTGGGTCTCGTTTCCGACGTGGTCCGAGGACAGTACGTTTGTCAGCTCGCGAAAGACCCAATATGAGGAGTATATGTATAGGTGCGAGGACGAGAGGTTCGAACTGGACGTGGTTATCGAGACTAACGCGTCTACGATAAGGGTCCTCGAGTCCGTCAATAAGAAGTTGAGCAGGATGAGCACGGACGAGGTACGCATATGCCATTCTGATTAATTAATTAATGATTTTCTAGACGCCTATATGTATTACGTGAAAATTAAACGTCACTCTGTACAAAACAAGTACCAAGTGAACAAGTACAAGTAAACAATATCTAAAAACAATAAACTAAAAAAAATACGTGTATTCGCCTACTCTTGGTTAAACAAGTCGGATGCTTTGGTTTGTACGAGTCGAAATACTAAAAGGATGTCAAACTTCCATTGTGTTTATTTTTAACTTCACAACGTTTCGGACAGTTGGATTATTTGTCTTATGAGATTTTCTGAATATATTTCATAAAGTGTTCATTATAATCGAGTGTTCACAATAAACAGGTTTACTATATTCGCACTCCACTGTATTGAAATTGCCAGATGAATATTAAGTTTATAAACAACAGTGGAATAAATAAAGCGGATGGAGTTAAAAATAATTTAGAGTTTCAAAACTTGACGTACAATTTAATGAATTAAAAGTCATCGATATATTTATTTAATTAATAATGAATAAAAGTCTGGAACTTATCTTTGTCATGATTATCAAATCAATAAGTGCATTAGTGATCATGAGAAATTCGTGCAAAGACGTTACAAATCGCATAATAATGGAGGATGTTATACTTCGACCAGAAATATAGTGCTTTACAACCGACCCCGTGATTACCGTCCTAGGAATTTATCTACTTACACTGACAAGCGGGATATAAGTATGTTTTCGATCTTTTTCTGCTGCTCCTATTTACCCTTCTGAATTTCTTATAAAATTATAAACATTTAAAACAATTTGTTTAGCATCCGAATACAAATGGATCCGTTTTTCTTTCATTTGCCGAGGTTGTTCGTCTTCTAAATTGTCATTCGGTTCGACTACCACCTTCACTTCGTCTTCAAATTCTTGGTTATTTTTCATTTCTTCTAACAATAAATATTTATCTGTATTCTTATGACTTACCTTTATCTATAGTCTTAAAAAACTGTTGTTGTTTACAAATCGAAGAACTATATAGAAGATACAAAAATATAAGATGAAGAATGTTGTTAATCGACAGACACAAAAGACAAAAATGATTATTTTCAAACTTACCTGTAAGATAAGTAGAGTACTTACTTACCCTTACCCTTTGAACTATCGAGTGAAAGCAGTCTCATAGGGTTAAAGCTCAAGAATCAGGTACGTAAATACGTACTTACTGGAAGGATCACAGTCAAATACCTTCGCAATATATATGAACATATTGCAATTTAGAGTCAACTCTTAATGCTTAATCAAATCAAAAAATAAAAATTTCAAGTTTCTATATGCATTTGTTACAATTCTTATTAGGTAATACTTAATGCAGAATAAACATCTGTCGGGATGGGTTTTACCACGGTCCTGCAAAGGTCTGCGGTTAAGGTACCGTAAAATACTTAAAACCTCAAAGCAATAAATGCACTATATTTTTGGTCGCCCAATATCTTGGATATTTGTGAGTTTAATAACAAACTGGGAAATACTTCGACTACCTATTGCAAAATGGTTATGAATCTATGATGAATATGTTTACATATCCCATTAGGAATTGTGGAGAACTAACTAAAAAATTGATCTTTGACATTCCAATTGCTGACGTCACAGCTGACTCAAGATACAGTCAGCGAAAAAAATGTTATCTCGCGTGATAGGTTAGGGCAAGTTTTTTTTTTGAATTGCGGTCCTATTCGCTTTTTTCTTTCTGTTTAATTTTTGAATTAATTTTAATTTTAAATTCAAATTTTAATCAAGTTTCATACCTTTGACAAACAAAATTTGTGGACCGGGAAAAAAAACAGGTCAGAAATTTTCTTGCAAAAGCCGCGTTCTGTTATTGTTTATATATATATATTGTTTAAAATATTTTGTAATTGCTACAAAAAAAAACTGGAAATACATATTCTAATGAGAATTTAAAAACATCAATTAAAATTAAAAAAAAATCAAAGTTTGCCCAACACTTGATGGAATATGACTGAAGTAAACCAAATGATCGCAACGGATTATCATTGTATTGTGTTGTATTGTGTATTGTAAGTCGAATTGATGTTTCCGTAAATTTAGAAGAGTGCATAGAAAAATCAGAAAATCGTTCGTTTCACTTTTTTTTCGCTTGTTTAAAGTCGATTAATTAAGATGATCCTTTGATCATGTTACAGGTTGCCAAATTCAAATTGGACGACTGTTTGGGCGGTACGTCACCGACGTTGCACCAGAGGGCGCTGAAACGCATCTACGGCGACAAGGCGCCCGAGATTATCGAGGGTTTGAAACGTAACCCGTCGGTGGCGGTGCCGGTCGTCCTCAAACGTTTGAAAGCGAAAGAAGACGAATGGCGGGAGGCGCAGAAAGGTTTCAACAAGATCTGGCGCGAGCAAAACGAAAAGTATTACTTGAAGAGCCTCGACCATCAGGGTATCAATTTCAAACAGACCGACGTGAAAGCGATAAGGACGAAGAGTCTCTTCAACGACATCGAGACGATTTTCGACGAGGTGAGCCGATTTTTATTTAACCCGATCTGGCACTTATTAGAGATATCATGGCAACTTTTTTGCCAAGTGACGTATAAAACAAAACACTATCAATTTATTTTTCAAAGAAACTTCTACAGGCCACTGTAATACTTTTTTACAAAACGTCTGGATTCCTCCCGAGTCGCGGTTAAGATTGCTGGGTTGCTTATAGATTTCTATAGACTCTCGGATTTTTCTTTGGTTAAGACTAACAGTATCATCGCACCAACTTTCGGAAACGGAAAAATCAGTTCTTTCAAAAGAGTCCAACTTTATCCTTGCCCCACGTATTTATCCCAAAAGAGGAAATCATTTCAAATGTCGAGTCTATCCAGATAAACTATCATCTCAAACAGCTAATGAAATTCGATTTGCAACCGCAAAACTCCTTAAAAAATCAAAACCCCTTAAATCAAATATTGCAAAACCTGAACTGAACTGAAAATCTAATCCCAACATCGAAATCCTAAAAGCAGATAAAGGAAATGCTACGGTGGTCATGAACACAAATGAATATCAGGAAAAGGTTCAAGATATTCAAGAGCGCGACTTTAAATCTATCATTGAGGCTTCTTCGCTATCAGATTCCGTGAAAAAATCTGTCACCCCTCATGACTCTAAAATTCCTCGTCTCTACGAACTCCGAAAGATTCACAAACCAGGATTATCCGTTCGACCTATTGTCAGCACCGTTGGTTCTCCAACATATTATCTAGCAAAATATCTAGCTTCATTATTAAAACCCTTTACAGGGAAAACTTATAATTTCGTACTTAATTCTGATTAGTTTCGACGTTGAATCCCTGCTTTTCAAAGCCTTTATTCCTGTAACTCAACATCATTTCAGATATATTAAAATCCGAGAATCTGTAATCAAACCTTCTCACCTTAATTGAAAAATGCTTATTGGGAACATATTTTTCTTATAAAGGTCAAATTTTTGAACAAATGCTATGGGTTTTCCATTTTCACCAGTCATCGCGAATATATTCACGAAAGCCTTTGAAAAGAAAGTTCTCGACACCTTCCATCTAAAACCAAAATTATGGAAACGCTACGTCGCGATATCTTAATGCATTGTCACATCACCATCCAGCCCAAACATCATCGGTTATCTACTCTCTTGTTTACAGAGCTGTAAAACTGTCTTGAGTCACTGAATCCAGAATTAAATCACCTAACCACTGCTCTTCTCTCTAATAATTTCCACATTAAAGATATTAAACGTTCCATCAAAAAATACGCTTCACCACAACCTTCCAATAGCAATGAGACCGAAAGCAATCCTACACTTGCCAATTGCTCCGCCCCCCTCAGACCGTATATAAGCAGGTACAGAGTACAATGCGAGCCAGTTTTGTGACGTCAACAATTCTTTTTATTAATGGAATACATGTTAGCAGGTTTATATCAATAATTGCACTTATTTTTGTAATCAAATTGAATGTTACAACTGAGCAATGGGAATTACAATTAAATGAATATTTTAAATAGCTCCCCTGAAAAGTGGAGTTATTTTAGTTATGCCACTCTTCTTCCATATATGTTATACATAGCTGTTTGATACAGTTCAAATTTCTAAATCCCCTACAGTGTCTTACAACGAATCCGTACATGATTTTTTCGTTATACAATCTACACGAGAATTGTAAATAACGCGAAAGGGGAAAAAGAATAAAACAATCCCCATCCCTTGCCCTCAATTCGAGTCACAACAATTTACATATTTTCTAGAGACTACTAAGGGCAGATCACAGGGGGGTTGCAGTCGCACTCACGCTTTTGGAAAGTTGTGGTGAACATGCCCTTCCTTTAGCTCCGTTTCCCTTCAAACCATATATAAGCGGGTACAGAGTAGAAAACTAAATCTTAATGGCAACTACCTGTCACCAATTGGAATTGGTGAGACGATGGTTAGGCCGATCATTTAGCTCCGCCCCCCTCGAACTATATATAAGCACGTACAGAGTAAAATGCGGGCCAGTTTCAGTCAAGCTCTGAAGAAGCCAACAGGATGCGAACTTTAGCAGATGTTAAAGACTATTGTAAATTTTTTCTTACATAAGCGGCACTATTTTCAAGTGTTTGGAAGTGATTTTTTTAAAATAGGAAAAACGACTTTTTTCACAATATTTCACCACGTATCTTCGAAATGAACTATTTTAGTTCATTTGAACCTTTTTCCTGATTTTAGTACTCTAAAAGTTTTTCAGTATGCCATCCTTCTAGAGATCCGAAAAAGGTAAGTTTTTATTTTTAAATTTGTCTGCATCTGAAAAACCAAACAACAACATTTTCTTATATTTGGCAACATCGCCCACACGAACCTACGGCTGCTACTGGACTTTTAACAGGAATGACCTGAATAATAAAAAACTATAATTATGTTAATAACCTTAGATCAGCAATAATAACATACTCAATTTACAATTTTATTTATATGGACAAAATTTCGATTTCGTGAATTACAATTTATCTGAGGCATATGCTTGTGATTCTGAATTGCTAAGATTTACATAAATTTTTTAACTGCTGCTTTGTTCGAAAGTTTTAGTAAATTTTGAATTTTTTTTTATGATGAAATTTTTTATGTGAAAAGAACGAGTCACCGTTGACATATTGTAAAATATTTGTAAAATATTCAGACACCGGAATAATTTTTTTTGCTCTCATCTAAAAGGAGTAAAAAGTAGCAGTCAGTTTTTTCTCCATAAAAAGTATATAACGGAATAACCAGTTTATTATAGAAACTTTTCTGAATGCTAAAAAATAATAAACTAAACTTTATTGTGAAAGTGATCCTTTGTTTTTGACATTACTACATTTTTAATAGAGACCCAGTTTACATATAAATTATGTATTTCCACGTAAAAATTCAGAATTGATTTGAAAATTCAGAATAGATGGACATAACAAATAACGCGCATATAAAATTCAACTTCCCAATTCTTCTTCCAAGCAAAACTTTGCTTTTGTCTGTCTATTCTTTTCATGCCTTCTTTGTCTTCTATGTCAACCTTCAAATCTGCTTTGTTTTACTTAATGCCCAAAAGGGGCAGGGGAATAGACTAGTGACAGTTTGTAGGGAGCGCGTTTTCTATTTTTTCTTTTTGTATTGACTGCTCACTCGATGTTTGTTTTTTCTCTAATTTAATTTATTTAGGAGAATCTATTCTACGTAAACGAAAAATAAATAAATAAATGATAATAAAGCAGAGTAAACAAAGTATTGTTTTGTTTTGTTTTTGTTTTTTTTTTGAGCAACTTCCACAGGCTACTGTAATACTGTAGCAAATGCCAGAGAGAACCATAGAACAAAAGAAAACTATTCGTTTCGTATAACAAATGTCGTGGAAAATGGCGTAGACTACGTCATAATGACGCAGCAAATGTCATAAGGATATCCTTGGTGTTATTGCTAAAGTAATCGTCATCTTTCCACAATACTATTATATGAAACAGAAACTTCAATCATTCTGTTGGCTTCTTCAGAGCTTGACTGAAACTGGCTCGTATTTTACTCTGTTTCAGGGGGCGGAGCTAAAAAAAATTGTTCTGACTTGTTACTTTCGAAAATCGATAAAATAGAATTTTTCGAAAGTATCTACGCTCTTATAAAAATTTCATATCTCGGTGACGGTAGGTTCCATGGGATCGACGTTGGTACAGAATTGATTAGGGTCGAAAAAAAAATTTTTTGCTCGATGTTTTCCTTTCTCGTCTTTTGGTTTTTCCGAAATAACCGTTTGGGCTACTAACCCTCCACGAGTCCGCAGCCATCTTTTTTTCGCGATGTTCGATTGTTTTTTGGAAACTATAAGTGTCCGAAGTTTGAAGCAATCGACTTCATATTTGGCACATATATGCAGCTTTGCCCCGTGACGGGACCTATTGAAAATGGAAGGGGTGGGGAGGAGTTGGGAAGTATTTTAAGAAAATTAAAAATTTTACCAAATGTTTTTTAATTTTTTTTTTTTGTTTTTTTGGTAATTTTAGCTTACGGAAAAATATATTTTCCTCCATATTCGTTCACCTGGTCAGCAAAATTCTTTAAACAGCAGACGCGGAAAACCCGGTGCAATAACATTTATTTCAGGCATTTTTTCAATTATATACAGGGTTTTCAAATTATAGGCAAAAATCTCGAATCTCGAAAACCATTTACTATTTTTAAAAAATTCTTATACCGGGAAACGTGGAAGATCCTGGGCTATAATCTCTACTTCGAACATTGTTTGCATCATATACAGGGTGTGTCGTTTATGTACAAAAAATCAAAAAGAATACAAATTTCCGTTTTGTGGGTAAATTAGTTTCGATAAATTAATAAATGTTAGAGATTTGATTTGAACAGTATCGTAAACTGTGTCGAAAGAAAGATCCAGTTTTCCTCTATAATACAGGGTGCGCGAGATATTTGAAAAAATATAAGTTTAATTCGCAATTACCAATACAAATTTTAATATTTACCGAAGTTTGCCGTAACAAGAAACCGCAAAGCGCCTTCTTTTTAAAATAAAAGGCTGATTCGCGCTACAAACTTGCCCCGTCCAGTGACGATTTTTCGAAAGCAATCCCGTTTTTAATGCGATTGTCAGCGCTCATTTTTCATATTGTAATTCGCTTTTGATTTCTTGTAGAAACAGTGTGGCAGTAAAGCCATGCGAGCTATTCTGGGTTTTACACGTTACACTCCCATTCGTGTAACCCAAGCGGGTGGTTGTCGGTGTCTCAGAGTATTGAGTTAAAAAATAAATTACTTATAATGTTAGGGGTAAAAATGATTTTGATATTCAGTTTGTTGAAACTCTACAAATGCAAAAAAGCCTCTTTAGAGATGGGCTTCGATTGTTCAATGCTCTGCCGACAGACACCAAAAATTTACCGAATATAAAAAGTTTCCAAAAAATATTAGTGTGAATTAGCTTTTACTTTTGTATAAACGTAATTTACTACGATTCGAATATATATCATACATTGCAGTCTTGTTGTTGATTAGTTTTATGTCGCCAATACCCCAGTGTGTGTCGTAAGTTTTGTGAAAATGTTTCATTCGGTTCGATATAATTTTAGCGGCACGAACAAAACGAAGAAGGATCTGAGCCCGTCGTCGGACCCCATCTCGTCTTGCCTTATCGCGACAAAACGATACTGGACGACGCTTCGAATTTGCTGATTCACCTCGCGAAACGTCAAGCCGGCATCCAGAAGGGCGAGAAGAGGAAGATCAAGCACGTGCTGAAGCAGTTCCTGCCCGATTTGTTCTTCCACCCGCGGCAGCCGCTCACCGACGACGAAAGGGAAGAAGACGGTAAGCGAAATCGATAAACAAAGAGATTTAGACCCAAAAGGTGATAAAGTTGAATGATTATTTGTTGAAAGTGCTCGGAGATTGTGTACATTATCCCTTCTTCATCTGGTGCCGCTCCTAGTGGAGATTGAACATCATCATTTCTGATATCACTCTGTGGACTAGTCTACTAAATCATTCACTGAAACTGCAGTCACATCGCTCCATCAATGCCCCTTGTTTTACATGTAGTGAATGTGCCTCAAATACTGAATTTTTCCATCTCTTCTGGAAGCTCATTCTCAACTTTAACTCTTGCTGTCTGATTCCAGCACAAGTTGTAGATTATTGAGCATTTGTCATTATTTAGGAATAGTTTCTTGACCTCATGTCATCGATACTCGAGAAATTTTTGAAAATCAGTGTTTCTTTAATTTTCGGTATTGAAATCTGTGCATATATCCTCTCCTAAAATAAGTGGAAAAAATGCCACAATATACTAGCATTTTTCTAGATATGTATATGTATTATGTAATGTTGGAAAAGTGAAAATTAAATATCGTTCTGCACAAAACAAGTAACAAGTTAACAAAAACATGTAAACAATATCTAAAAAAAAATAAACTAAAAAAATACATTTATCCACTTACTCTTGGATAAGCAAGTCGGATTTTTTGTTTTGGACGAGTCTGTTAGAAAAGTTAATATTATTTATATAGCTTTCAAGGTTACAAAAAGAATTCCAAATTTTCTCATTTCTATTATTTTTTACTTAAAGAATATTGATCATGGCCACTTCCTCAATAGTCTCCTCGATCAGGTCATCTTCACTCAACTCTGCATTTGTTTCTGAAAAAAATAACATAAATCAGTCATGATTTTAATGTTATGTTTCATTTTATAGACGCTAACTGGATAATTTTGTCTTCTGTCTAAGATTGGGTAGGAACATTTTCTTTTTTGGGCAATCCACTGTAAAAGTTCCTTATTGATGCCTTCATGGGCTGATTTTCTGAATCTTTTACAACTAGCATTCACTTGACCATAGGACAAGAGAATCCTATCTTTTTTTCCAGGTAATGGAGACAGTTGCTTTAAGCATATTTATTTCACGACAAATATCACTTTGTTTCATACCACTTTTAATTTTTTGAATATCTTATTTTTCTTTCAAAGTTGATGCTTCTCGTTCTTGCTTCTCCATTTGAAGGTCTGTCATCAATATTCTCCACCAAATCTAAATCACAACTGAGATCAAAACAAACGTGCTATGTATTTTAACCTTTACCGGATGAACCCTCGAAAAAGTTCATCAACAACGGAAAATGTATCTTAATCTTGACGAAATTTAATTCACTGTATCCGAAACTTCACTATATACCGAGTGTTCACAATAAACGGTTTTACTATATCCGAACTCCACTGTAACTCCCACATAATTGAACCAACCATTTAAACTGAAGGGCAAATCTGTTTCGATCCCAAACTTTGACAGACCGACGTCACACTATTATTATTGAATAATTAAATAAGAAAACTCGTGCTTTGTTCGGTGTTGCTAGGTTTCATGGATTAATTTGGAATCGAGATTTCAAATAAATGCGCATGATGATAGCATTTGTTCCATGGTGGGTACAAAAGCGTAATATTCGGCATGTGCAGTGCGGCGTCTATGTAGATAAAAGCCTTTCGGAGAACTTTTGATATTTGGTTAAAAAAATCGAAGGTTTGGTTTTAGAAGAAATAAAAACACTGTTTCAGGCATTCTCAATTTAGTTTCAGACATTCTCAATTTAGTTTCAGACATTACAGATGCATTCCAGAATTATTTTGTGATCTCACTAAGGCCTTCGACTGTGTCGATCATGGAATTCTACTGCGCAAGTTTGATGCTTATAATCTTTTCAAATAGCAGTGAACATTGGGTACCCCAAGGCTCATTTTTGAGCCCCATGTGAACACTGGTTTAGTGCAAATAAATTAGTTTTAAATAATGATAAAACAGAGAGTTGTTTTTTTTTTTCATGCGAAATTTAAGTACAGTTAATTTTAATAAAATAAATACCAGATTTCTTGGCATCCATATTGACCCAAGAGTTCAGTGGGACTCTGGCTCAGAAACGGACCAAAAATTTTAGTTGCTTCGATGCTTGACCGAAAATGTCTCTCCTGGTGTGTTAAGGACTGCATATTTTGCACTTTTTCATTCACACCTCCTATATGCGATCTTTGTTCAGATTACAACGAAAAGCAATTCGAATTATTAGCGGACTTTGTTATCGGGAGGACTGTAAAAATGCCGTTCGAGAAATCTACTATTATTTACAAAGAAAAATACGCATCTATTTACCGCTTGTAAGGAATTGCATGACGATCAGTGGTTATTATCAGTTGCCCCTTAGAGAGGTGTCAGACTGGTCGAAGTTATTGGTCCGTTAAGTTTTTTATTGGGCTTCCAAATGCTGTTCGTAATTAATTTTTAATTGATCAGCAATTTTTATTCTTTTTTATTCTTTTTTGCCTTTTACGTATATGTTATTTTATTCCTTTTTGTTTGACGTATGTAAATCATCTGTGATAGTAACATTAATAAAGTATTCTTATTCATAATCGTCAGCTAAAATTGAAATCATTGTTTTTTCTTTCCTTTGCAGACGACAAAGAAGAATCTGAGAATAGCCCGCGCGGTTCGCCGAAAGGCGACAACGACAAGGGGAAAAGCGGATCCGCCAGTCCCGGAAAATCGCCCAACCGGACCGATGGAGACGGTGCGCCCGAAGTGAAAACCGAATCCGAAGTGAAGGAGGAAGAGGTTAAGGTACCTCTGCACGCGCAAACTTCCGATCCGGTAAGATGACATAATGTTACATAAACTCCTGTTCCTTTCTGACATGGAAGCTAAATTACGGCTCCGTCGCATTGCTTTCATTGTACCTTGTCAATAAAATTTGATGTTTGCGAGCCCTGATGAAAATCTTATGAAAACGGAAAATGCTTCACAGTCTTCAGAGTTGATTTCTAGAAAAATAATTCACGATTTGTTTCGACACTTTAAGACAAAACATCAGTATCTAGGAGAAACATTGTTCCCTAGCTTCAAGAATCTGCCAACCTCTTATTTTTTCTCATCAAATATTTTCATGCCTTAATTAAATGCATTCTTATTCGAACCTAATAACAGTGTTAACAAAAGATAAAAGTCCAAAAGAAGATAAGAAAATAATTTAAAAAAAATTCAAAAAATGAAAACGTTAACTTTAGTTAAAAATGGTTAATAACGGATATTTCCTCTTATATTTTGAATGCTGCGGCTTTGTTTGGTTTTGATCCATATTTCACAAATGTAAGGTCCAAAAGTATGTTCATGTAAGATACTCCCTTATGTGCCTATCTGCCGTTAAACTGTACATGCAGTCAAATAGATTACTGCCCAAAACCTAACGTACCCTCCACCAAATAATCCGGCCTTTTGGAAGTTACATTGGGTATATCGTTTACTTGATCTACGGTAAACACCTATACATCTATAAGAACTCTTTCTCATTCTTCGTGAGCCCAATCGATGAGTTTTTTAGCAAAGTTTATCTTTGTTCTATCACGCCCTGTGGTCAAAGCTGGTCCTCACGTTGGGTTTCTTGCTGTCAGCTGTGCCTACGGCAATCTTCTTTTCGCAAATCGTTGCCTTAAACCAGAGACTTGAAGCTGGCAGAAAACGCGACGAATTATCAAATTTTTATACGCAAACAGATTGCTGCAAAGTTTTCGTACCACAGGGCCGAGTAGTCCGTTTAACGGCTCCAGAAATGATAGAATATTGTTAGTTTAGGTAATTTCAAAGTTAGCAGTTTGGATGTAACGCGTTCGCATACTAACGCCAAAAGAAGGTTGAAACGAATGGTTTTGTCCTCTGTGAGGATGGAGTTTAACCGTTTTTTTGAAGTTTTGCATGTACTACGGGTGTCGCTACGATAGAGTATAGTCTGTCTTCATCGTGCTGACTTGGCTGACGTGAAAACTTCTATAGTCTTTAATTACTAGACTTTACTAAAATGGTTTCCATAGCAATGTAAATTTTAGGATTCGTAATAAGAAATTGTAGCTCAGCTACTGTTAAATTGTTATTTAACTGTTAACGTCGGGTCCAAGCTTGACTATGGCTCGCTGATATGGTCACCAATTTCTAATTGCCACACTCAGTCCATTGAGAGTATGCAGAGAAGGTTACTAAAATATCTAATGTTCAGGGAGGACGGTTCCTAGCCTGAGAGGGGAGTCAATTGCGATCTTCTGCTAAGAAGGTTCGCGATACTGCCCCTAAGCTTGCGCAGAGACTTGCGATCTGTTTCATTTCTATATAAGTTGTTCATTACGCAGTCGATTGTCCGTTTCTTCTGGAACAATTACGCTGGAAGGGAGACATCAATCAATTTTCTTAGCGCAGGTCCAATGTCCATTTTCAAAACCCTATTTGCAATATGTGTGCTACCTTCAACAAACAAACTATCACCGTACTGCGATTTATATTATGATGGTCTCCAGGCCATACTTCAGCAACTTCGATTGGCGTTGGGTCATCCGTACCGATAAGTCTTATCCTTTTCTTTCCCATTCTTTCCTTCTTTTTTTTTTAGTTATAAGATTAGTTTCTAGGTCCCCTGGCATATATATTGGGTGATTTATATTTTGTATTTTCTGTAATTGGGTCATGTTACCTGTTGGAAATAAAGTGCTATTATTATTATTATAAATAGCACACGATTCAACACACGCTGTATTACACACGAAATAAAAATAGTTACTAATAAACTTAAAGTAAGCATATTAGGTATAAAATTATTATCTATTTCGCATCACAATTTTACCTGAATTTAAATTCATTGCATTGTATGTTAACGACCACCCTCGGATAATCCCATTCAAACGCTATTGGTCACTTTCTTATATCTATGAACAGACCATAACGTTGTTTCAGGACGAGGCGTACACGTTATTTATAACGAACAACAATTGGTACATCTTCCTGAGGCTGCACCAGATCTTGTGCGAACGCCTGGCGAAAATTTACGAGAGAGCTTTAGCGATCGCGACCGAGGAGGAACGGTCGCGGACCAATCGCAAGGAGAGTACCGCGATAGCGTTGAGATTAAAGCCAAAGCCGCAGATTGAGGTAGAGGATTACTACCCGGCTTTCCTCGACATGGTAAAAAATCTCCTCGACGGTAATATGGAGGCGAACACTTACGAGGATACTTTAAGGGAGATGTTTGGCATTCACGCTTACATTGCTTTCACTTTGGATAAGGTGGTGTCGTACGCCGTAAGGCAGCTGCAGCATTGCATCGCGGAAAGGACCGCGATCGCTTGTACCGAACTGTTCCTGAAGGAACAGAAGCGGGGCGCGGCGGGCGGGCCCTGCCTCACCGCCCACAAAAGGGCCCACCTGGAATTCGCATACCAGAGGGCCGCGGAGAGGGCCGTCCAAGAGGAGAACTGCTTCAAGATATTTATTTATAAGCGCGATACGAAAATGACGATCGAACTGCTCGACACTGAGCCGGAGGACTCCAAGAAGGTGGAAGACGCCAACGTAAGTATTCTATTTTTGTCAAGGTGATCTGTTAACTTTGAATCAAAATGGCTTGTCATTGGATCGTTGAATACGAAATACATACTTTAAAAAAGAAAACGGCGCAAAAACGTCTGTAATAATTCTGTAATATTAACACATTACATTAAAAAAAGATTAATATAAATAATAGCTCGAGAAGAAAGAAACTGCGAATGGTTTTTTACCGCGTCATTCAATGCAACGTATACGATATAATACATACTTAGAGTGCGATGCAAATGCCACTAAGGGCGTGGGTCCTGTTAAATGTGATCTTTTCACAACTAACCTTAAAGCATTAAATTGAAAAACATTTAATGGAAATAACAGGCCATTTTTGCCGAGGGTAAATAAACTCTAGCAAAAAGTATTATTTATTAGATCTTTCAATTCAACGTATTTAAAAATTAAACAAAATGCACTACAAAAACCACTGTAACAATCATTCTGTAATATAATAACTTTATTATATTAAATTAAAAAACTTTTTGCAAAAATAAGGAAGCTCGTGCAAATACGTTATGCAATATGTTGTTATTTGGTTCAATTCGACATATGTAAAATACGTATTTAAAAATTAAGCAAAATGCAGTACAAAAACCACTGCAACAATCGTTCTGCAATAAACCAACCTTATCACATTAAATTACAAAAACTTTGTAAATTTTAGTTTGGAAAAAAAAAGAAACTCGTGCAAATACAAATAGTTCGTTATTTCGTTCAATTCAACAAAAACCACTGTAACAATAATTCTGTAATATACCAACCTTAACACACTAAATTTATTAAAAATTAAATTAATTGTAAGCAATAGATTGAAAAAAAGAAACTCATACGGGGACAAATAGTACGTTATTATTTAGTTTAATTCAATTTATATATAAAATATATATTTAAAAAATAAGTAAAATACAGTACAGTGTGTACAGTGTGACAATAATTCTGTAATATGAAAACCTTAACATTAAATTAAAAAAACTTTAATTGTAAATAGTTAGAAAAAAAACAAAGACAAATAGTACGTTATTTTGTTTAATTCGACATATACATAAAATATATATTTAAAAATTAAGCAAAATGCAGTACAAAGACCACGTGACAATAATTCTGTAATATGCCAACCTTAACACACTAAATCAAAAGACTTTAATTGTAAATAATAGTTTCACAAAAAAGAAACTCGTGCAAAAACAAATAGTTCGTTAGTATGTTGTTTCATTTGACGTATATAAAAATACATATTTAAAAATCAAGCAAAAAGCAGTACATAAACCACTGTGACAATAATTCTGTAATATGAAAACCTTAACATTAAATTAAAAAAACTTTAATTGTAAATAGTTAGAAAAAAAAACAAAGACAAATAGTACGTTATTTTGTTTAATTCGACATATACATAAAATATATATTTAAAAATTAAGCAAAATGCAGTACAAAAACCACGTGACAATAATTCTGTAATATGCCAACCTTAACACACTAAATCAAAAGACTTTAATTGTAAATAATAGTTTCACAAAGAAGAAACTCGTGCAAAAACAAATAGTTCGTTAGTATGTTGTTTCATTTGACATATATAAAAATACATATTTAAAAATCAAGCAAAAAGCAGTACATAAACCACTGTGACAATAATTCTGCAATACCAACCTTGACACCTGTAATTAAAAACCTTTAATTGTAAATAGTTAGATAAAAAGACACTCGGGCAAAGACAAATAGTTCGTTATTACTTTGTTTTCAAAAACCATTGTAATCATAATGTTTCTTCAATAATACAAGCGTTTCCTCAATCACTTAATATTTATTACATTTTTCCTTTCTATAAATGGACTGTATCTCACTTTGCGGCGACGTCGCGACCCATACCGTGAACGTCTACCCCGTAACGCTACAAAATTGTTACTAGCCTAGCAGAAACGTAGACCTTGCCGGTTTGGCGTACAACGCCCTGTTGTCACATTGACTGAAATGTCTGGCATGTTTAAGATACACAAAATTAAAAATAAATTTACATAATTTTGAACTCAACACATAATTCTGTAATATACCAACTTTAACGTATTAAATTAAAAAACAGTAATTGTAAAAAGACAAATAGTTCGTTTTTATTTTGTTTAATTCAACATATATAATAAAACATATTGTATAAAATACATATTTAAAAAATAAGCAAAATGAAGTACAAAAACCACTGTGATAATAATTCTGTAATATACCATTAACTTAACATTAAATTAACATTATCATTAAATTAATTAAATTAAATTAAAAAACTTTAATTGTAAATAGTTAGAAAAAAAGAAACTCGTGCAAAGAAAAATGTTGGTTATTATTTTGTTTAATTTGGCATATATGAAATGCATATTTAAAAATTAAGCAAAATTAATTAATTAATACATTAAATTAAATATCTTTTAATGTAAATAATAGGCAAAAAAGGAACTCGTGCAAATACAAAAAAAAATTACCTTACGAAATTAAAATGAAAAACTTCGGCAAAAAAAGAACAATGCAGTAATAAATAGTTTATTAGATCGATCAATATGCCAAAAAAGGTAATCGAAATTTAGGTAAAAGTACACATTTTTGATTCTTGAGTCGTTCTCGTATCTTGTCTCGTTTTAGAGAAGAAAAATATAAATAATAAAAATTGCCAAAAATCATTTTTGTAAACGAGTGTTTTTTTAATGCACTTTAAAATTAAGTAGGGCATAAATTGGGTAAAAATAAATAATTATAAAAATTCAATTGAATTGCAGAGGAATCAAATTCTGGTAAATGCGGGGGGAATCTTTAAGATATTCAGTTAAATTAACAAAAATAATTTTTTTGTTGCTCTAAAATAATTTTAGAATTTTAAAATTATATGGAAACAATTTACACAAAAAAAAAACTGTATTCAGGTTCTCCGAAGCGCCAAGGGATCGTATTCGGGTATTGTTGAAGAGAGAATAATTAATTTTAAAATACATGCAATTGCAAGATGTTATTTAAAACATTTTGGTAAAATTTGATTTGTCAATTAAGAAGTGGTCAATTGAGCAGCCCCAACACTACTTGTAATTCTATAAAATGCACTATAGTACACTCTCAGGATGCTATTTTCAACATAAACTTTCCCTAAAAGTAATTTTAACGGGTGTCTTTTGATTATGAGTCCATAACTGTAATGGGTTATTCATTATTTTATGTTATATATTAGGAACATCATTTTCTTTCATCTTTTTTTCCTGGTTTCATAAAAAATATCGTTTATTGACATTTCCTGTATCCGTATTTGAGATATTTCAGTTTAAAAAGAATTGTCATTCGATTTCTGGACAATAGCCATATTGTTTAAAAATGGTAAAGTCTCCCTTGATAGCAACCATATTGTCTATGTTTGCAATCAAAACTAAAGATCTGCAGCGTAAGTGAAATAATTTAAATTATTTTAAATGAGAAGAAGAAAAACGTCAAATAATAAAATTGTATTTTTCCAACGGACATAATCTTTCAAGGGTTAAAAGAGAATATTGACAGATATATCCGGGTAGAAAAGTTCCTTCAATAAATACAATTAAAAATGTAATTAAACAATTTGATTATCGAAATCATGTCACGCAGAAGACCAGGACTATAGAAAGAAATTTTGATGAATACCTCAATATATTAATTACTTTCAAACTAAATTATTATACTATTACCACACTTGACATTTATCAAAAGTAACTTGAGTTCTATTTTCTTAATTTTTATATTTCATATTTTTTAGAAAATCCTGAATATTCTATATCCCACGTAAATAAATTATCCGGAAAGCCCTATAGTAGAATTTAACGAACTCTAAAATGTCATTAACATAAAAGGCAGTAAACTAACCAAAACTAACCAAAATGGAGGCAGTGAAAAACCAAGGAGGAACGTCGGTTAATGTATAGTGTGGTATGTTGAACAATATGGTGGTCGAATCAATTATGAAACTATGAAATGGCCCGCCACCATCCCCGACCTGAATCCTTGTGACATTTTTTTGTGGGGATACTTAAAAAATAAAATTTATTGTAATAGGCCTGAGAGTTTACAAGGGATAAGAGAAAGACTTAATACAAAATCTAAACAGAGAAAACCTTGATTTTATCAACTCGTGTATTAATATTAAATTGGAAGAAAAAATTGTCCGATGTGTAGAAAATTATAGAGATTACGTGGAAAATGTTTAGCATTAATTATTGATATTTTTATTGTTCGAATACAATTGCAAACAGATATGGTTGCTATCGAGGCATACTTGACCATTTTTAAACAGTGAGGCAATTGTCCAGAAATCGAATAATAATTATTTTTAAACTCAAATATTTCAAAAACGGCCGAATGAAATGTCAATAAACTATTATGTTTTTGAAATCAGAAAAAAAGCTAATAATATATAGGGCATTTCATTGAAAAAAAAAGATGTTGCTGTCATTTTGACAGTTTGCTATCGTCGTTTGTTTTTTCTGACATTTGCATAGGTTAATGGAGCAAAAAATCTTTACAATTTTGTATTTACACTTTTTTTTCTATGTTTCAAAATTAACCCTGTAGGTGGGTGTCAAAATATAATGAATAACCCTGTACACTGTGTGCGAAATATAACTATCCGCTATACTATAGGGAAACCCATAGGAGATACGAAAAAAAGTTTCGTACAAAAGTTTTAAAATATTATAATTTTGTTGATACAGGGTGACCCAAAAGCCCCCCCCCCCCTCACATCAATTTTGTTATTTTAAATGGAGCAGCCTGTAATATTTCGACATTTTTGGAATCCTTGGTTAAAATAAAGGTCACTCTATATATTTTTGTATAGTTTAGGCAGAAATTGAGGTTATGTGATTTTTTTTCATATTTTAATTGCTTCATATAAAATTGTGTTGCGAGCTACTGCAAATATTGCAACAAAAATTTAACCACGGCTTATACAGAGTATCCCAATTAGGTGGTGCGGTTTTGGGGAATTCGAATAACAAAATTTCAAGATTTTCAAGTGGAACACCTTATATTTTTATTCAGATATCAATCCTAGGGCAAAAAATAAGGTAAGTTTTTAATTTATCTTATATTTAAATTTTATTGACTTTTTGAAATATTCGAGGTTTAACGTAACACCCGTATAATAATAATTCGTGTGGCACGCAGAATAAAAAAATTGGCACTATTATTTAACAGAGAATATGTTTTAATGAAGGAAATTAATAAGCAAGGCCATCGTAGTGTTAAAGTGTGGTTCAGTATTATAAGGGATAGAATCGTAGGCCACATTTTTTTTTTGAAAACTATTTAAACGGACAGAATTTTTGTAATTTTGCTTCAAAATACAATAATGCCAGAATTAAACAACCTGCCAGATAACTTGCGGGAGAACATTATAGTTCAGCAAGCTCTATTATTGTGGTCAAGTGATAAATTTTTTTTTAAGAGTAAATTTGCAAAATATAATTGGTAAAAATGGTGACATTGCGTGGCCACAACGAAGTTCCACACCCATGGACTCTATTTATTTATTCAAATTTGTTACCTCGTTTAGTTAGCCTCTAAACTTTAATTATTAATTTTTGTTATTAGGTACTTTCAATCGAGCTGGACAATTAACTATTAAATATTTCTTTAAATATGAATTCCGAAGTTTGTAAAGTGTGTAGTATAGAGTCGATTTTTTTCAACATTTCCACTTATTAATAGACACCCTGTATTGTTAGCAATAAATTTTATTCGTATATCTGGAGTATTATATCTTTAAAAGAACTAGTATCATGTTTTTGCTATTTAAAAAATACGTAATATTGCCAACAAGCAGCTTTAAAATCAACATGAATTTAGGTGTTTTTTTAATAGCGAAGACATGATACTACTCCTTTTAAAAATATAATACTCCATACCTTTTAAATAGAAATATGAAAAACAACAAAAACAGAAATGTCAAAGTTTGTTTATACCTTAATGCGTCAAAAAAAAAAGATTGTGATGTCATAGCCAACTACATTTTTAAATATTTTAATATTTCTTGGTTGGCTTGATGCCAGATGAAACCAGCATTTGAAAAGCAACGTTTTTAACTAAACCTTATGGATCGAATTAACGTACTCTTTTTAGTTCACTTTTTGTTTTATAGATTTATTTATTCAAATTTCTTACACTATTTAGTTAGCCTATAAACTTTAATTATTTACTTTTGTTATTTGGTATTTTCAGTGAAGCTGAATTTTTCTTTAAATGTGAATTCTAAAGATTTATTAAATCTGTTGAAGTGTGTAATATAAAGTCGATTTTTTCAAAATTCACCCTGTATTGTTAGCAATCGATTTTATTCGTATATCTAGAGTATTATATCTTTAAAAGAAGTAGTATCATGTCTTTGCTATTTAAACAATACCTTATATTGTCAACAAGTGACTTAATGTGGGCAGCTTTAAATTCAACAAGAATTTATACGGGTGTTATCTTAAATATAAAATAAATTACTAACTTACCTCATTTTTTGTACTAGAATTGATATCTGAATAAAAATATAGTGTGTTCCACTTGAAAATCTTGAGATTTTGTTAATTGAATTCGCCAAAACTATTTGGGACATCCTGTATAAATAGATAGATAGATGGTTTATTAATTACTTTACAATATCATTGTTTGTAGCAAGTCATACAAATTTTAAATTGAATATATGTAAGTATATACGTATATAACGTCATAATGTACTAAATCTAGATATACAATGTATATAACTTCACAATAAAACCTAACAGGACAACAAATAAAAAATAATTTTATATGTATATAGCACAGAACAATCATTATAATACAATCAATGCACAACAACGCACAACAAAATTCACCAACGCTATAATAGCCCTTACTTGGAAGAACTTTTAATTTTATATTTAAAATGTTTTTCGTTTAAAAGATTGTGGCAATGCGTTATAAAGTTTTATACAAGGAGAGTTTTGTTTTGATTTCTGCAACGTGTATCTCGGAATCACGAGATTATTTGCACTCTGGGTGTCATACCTATGAGAATCGGAACTCCTCGGCAAACTATCGGTCTTGGAGTGTATCGCAAGAACACTTTGAAATATAAATATACATGGAACCGTCATTATTTTATGTTTAAGAAACAATGGATTACAGTGTTCGTTTAAATTTGAATTTGTAATTATCCGTAGTGCCTTTTTTTGGCATAAGAGGAGTTACCCCATATGGTATGGTGGCATAGCTTATACGCGAGTGAAATATATAATATAAGCTGAGGCGCATCTGTCAAACGTATTGAGTAGTGCATCATTTCCTTAGTCTGTGGTCAAATTTTCGCCGCAATACCCGGATCACTAGCGTCACTACACAATTTTATGTGGGGCAATCAAAATATGAAAAAAAAAACTATGCAAAACTAACCAAGGATCGAGGTTGTATCAACAAAATTATAATATTTTAAATCTTCGGGAGAATCCACGAAAGTTTTGAAAGAACCTTTTTTTCTTTCCATCGTATAGTGGAGTGATGTCGGGCCATTTACTATATTACTCGAGGCGCACCCTTTTATTTATTTATTTTTTCCTTCTTTTGGCTAGAAATGGAACAGCTATAAGGAATGTTACGCGGACATCAATCATTCGGAACACGGGAAGCTACGCTCTCCCGTCTACCTCAATCGTAACCTAAGGTTGTATAAGCTCAAAGCGGGTAACAACAACGGCGTGGTGATCAGCGATCGTTCGGCTTCGGAAGCGCAGCAGGAGGATTTGGGCAAAGGGACGCCGCAGGAGACGACGAGGAACGATGGCAAAAACGCCGTCAGGCAGGAGGAGGCGGACAACAATTTCGACATTCTCGAAGCGCTGGAACGGAAACTGAACGAGAGGAACCCGCCCGAACGTCTGCAGACCGATCATCCCGGTTACAAAGCGTTGGACGATCAGCAGTGCAAATTCAATCTGCACGATTCGAAGATAACGTTCACTTTGGCGAAGGATTGTTACCTGTACAAAAATAGTGCCTTCCTTAGAGCTAAACGGGTAAGTCGATAGGTAATCTGTCTCGTTCACGCGGATCACTATTGTAAGTTTCGCAAATTGAACTGAGGCGGCTTTTACTTGATGAAAATCCATGTATCAAAATAAATAAGAACTAAAAGTTTATATTATATATTTTCACATGCAAACTACCTGCTACTATATATACCGAAAAATGACAACAAAACCTTAATTAATGATGTGAGAATTTAAGTTCAATAATGGAGGGGTATTTAAATCTAATTGATCGTTAAGCAATACATTCCAATGTCTCATTTTGTTAATCTCAATCCCTTCCAATAAATTTAATTTTCTACTTTTTGTGGCTGTACGTAAAATATCAAAATTGTCGTCAAAAATGTGTTTTCTGTGTAGCATAATTAGAATCTAGACTATTGTTTTTAAACGCTTTTTTATGTTCGTTAATGCGTTTCTTGAAAGATCTACGTGTGTGTCCAATATAAATTTTAGGACAAGATCCGCATTTCAAACTGTAAACACCGGATTGTTCGCTTGATTGCCGGTGCAGGTTATCTGGAGCACCGTCGACCAATTTTTAAGAAGTTGGAAATTATGACACTTCCATGTCTGTATATTTATTATCAATTATTACAAATATACAAAAACATAGACAGCTTTAGTCAGAACTCCTCATACCATGACGATTTAACGAGAAATAACAAGCTAATGCATGCTTCGAGGTTCAAATATACCAAAAGTCAAAAAAATTCACTAAAATTAAATTTGTACAATAAACTACCAACTAACTTGAAAGTTCTAAGTAATAGAAAACTAAAAAAAAACATCTTAACCTTTCTTAAAAGGCACTGCTTTTACTCGGTCGGGGAATTTATGGGTAAAGTCTGTTCATAGATATAAGAAAGTGACTAACTGATACGAATTAAGGAAAGACCCGGACAAGCTGTAAGAATGAAATATGGCCGAACAGGTCCGTGCTTTGCTTAGAATTTAATTATTTGGGGTTTTGTTAGGAAAGATACACTAAACAATTATTATTTATTTATGTATGTATTTATGTTTAAATCTATAATAGAATTACAAATTATTTTGATTACCTACTTAAATTACTTAAAATTATTCAAATAATATATCAGTATCACTATCATCGCCCGTTCTAATTATTATTTGCTCTATATTATTTGCAATATGGATATACGATTGTTCTGCTTTTTCTATATATTTAACAGAATTTGCCCAACTTTGTGGAGGGATCTTTAAAACTTCGGTTTCTATAAGTTTGAGGACATTGGAGTTAACACGCGGAAAAACATTGTTTTCGACGAATGGCAGATTTCAGTTGGTGCCGAACATGTTCAATGGGATTAAAGATACACAGTGGTAAGGTGAAAGCCTTAAAACTGTATGCCCTACATTTTTTGCATAATTATCACAGACGTATTCCTTTTGTAGGTTCAAGCTTAGTAGAACCTCAATTAATTCCTTTTTGGTATAATCGTCGTGAAAATAAATGTCGTTATTATACACGTAGTTTTGGATTGTTGCTTTTGTGTCACATAAGAAAGGAGTTTTAGTCAACTGTCTACTGTGATAACTTACATTGTCCGTTACAATGACGCTATTAGGAGGAATGTTTGGAACAAGTTTGTTTTTAAACCAACTTACAAATAAATCAGCGGTGGTGTCTTCATGGTAATCCAGAGAAGAATCTTTAATATTTTTCGCAGAGAGAAAAAGTAAATTTGGAATCTAACCTTCTTTAGAGCCAGCATGCAAAATAGTTATTCTTTTACCTCTGTTTGATGGCGCGTTTGTTTTACACTTATCAGTTGAGTCAACCCAACCCTTTTCCAGGGTATCATAAGTGTCGAACCCGGTTTCATCCAAGTAAATAATTGGCCTTTGTTGTTCTCTGTAAATCCTAATTTTTTCTAGATATTCCGCCATTTCAGAGTTCCAAAAGATTCCATTAAAACTTGCCTTTTGTCAATTTTTTTAAATCTAAAACCCATGTGTTGAATACAATTCCATAAGGTATTTCTGCCACATTTAACGCCGTTTTCATCTTTTTCAAGCCTCCTAATTAAGATATCTAATGTAGGCACGCTTTGTTCCTCGTATAACTAGTAACTTTTACGCCGTATTATATCTTGATCACTTTCATCTACAATCGAGAAAATTATTATTATTTTTTTCCTCGCTGAAATGGGATTATTCACAAATTTTCATACAGTTGATGTTGGAATTTTCGTCAATGTGGCCGTTTCTCCTAAAGATGCTTGCTTGCTGGCACCACGTTGAATGAGAGTCAAATAAACATTGTTTTTCTACTCCCGTCTGTAAAATATCGAATTACGCACCGATCTAGGCGGGAAGCGTCGCGTCGCCACCACGTCAGTTTCGTTTTCCACGAATACGAACCACTTCGGACATTTCCGGGATTTTACCGCACGGGTTTGGGAGCAATCGGATGTTTTCGGAGATATTTCCCACGCTTTGAATTTTGACGTTTGTCGATTCTGACAGTCATGTCAGTGAATGTATTCGTGATTTGCGAAAATGTACTCAAAAAGCAACGGTCGTAGGAAAAGTATTGTATGCAACACGTTCGGTAAACTTTTTAACTCGCTCGTGTCAAATAAACTCGTGAGTCAAATGACGTTTACCGCACTTGTTGCATAATATGCTATTATAACTTCGTTAGTATCAATATAATAGTGTTTTCCACATTTAGGCGCGAGCATCTCCTGAGATGCAGTAGACTCGCACATATTTTGCATAATTCGCACACGATTCAACACGCATTGTATTACACACGAAATAAGAATGATTACTAATAAACTTAAACCAAGTAGTATACCAAACCAAAGAATATTAAACACAGGTAGGTATAAAATTATTTTCTATTACGGACCACAATTTTACCTGAATTTAAATTTCGAAACTGTAGGTAATAATCTTGTTGCATTGTATGTTAATGACCACCCTTGGATAATCCCATTCAAAAGCAATTGTTCACTTTCTTATATCTATGAACAAACCATACTCCCGGCGTGATTGAAGTCAAAGAAGCGTCAGTGAACGGCGTGACTGGGCAATGACTTTCCATAGTTTTGTTGACGTTACTTCCTTTTATTTATTTATATATAACATCTTGTTCTTTGTTATATACACTGTCCTGTTCTTTTGTATTATACACTGTTTTATAAAATTTATACACTCTATATAATTTATTCATTGTCTTGTTTTTTATGTAAATATTTTCCTAAATATTGTATTTATGACTTGACATAATTTTATGAACAAAACGAGGTCAATAAATTCTATTCTATTCTACAGATTAGAAGGCGTGTCAATTTGTAGATTCTAGATTTAATCCGATTCCTTTCTTTGTGACTGTGCTGCGTTTGTGATGGATTGATTGTCTTTCCCTTTGCAGTGTCATCCGAGCGTGACGAAGCGGAAATCGGTGAAGTTCCGATGCTGGCTGAAAAAGTGGGCGGGTTCGAACGTAAGTGAGGTGCAATTCAAGCAGTGTACCGACTGGTTGATGGGCAGAGGTGAAGGTGTTGTGCCTAACAGGACGCGGGTGCTAACGGACAATGATCTCTCGCGGACACCTTACGTCCCATATAATCGGTATCGGGTGGAGAGGTTAACAGATAGCGGCTGCGCATAAACTTTGACGACGACGGCACTCGAGTCGATGTGAAAAATCGTTTTGTTCGAAAGCCGAGAGTGTTTTGAATACGCCAGTTCCTCGAAAAGGGTTTAGCGGTATGTGCGGGACGGCTCAGCCCCCTCCCCTTGATCTCTGCACTCGTTTACGTTTCGGCAATGCTACCTTAAGATCTGTTGACGTCATTTCGCGGCTCCGCCCCCTCACGATTGAAACATTTCGGACCCCATAGGCGGAACGAACCTCGACAGTTGTGAAGTACTTTGACAGTGGCCGATAACAAATTAATCGACTGATGGAAAGGTAAAATTGAGGCATATAGTTTTGGCTTAAGAATCTTTGCTGCAGAATATGTTGCCTAAAAAAAATTTGCGCCATAATTGATCTTAGATGGTGGACAAGTCCGTCTTCTTAGCAAGCGAAAATTTCACTTGATAATGGCCAGTAAACGCAATAACTAGCAAAAGTGAGGTTATGCAACTATTTATTTTTGTTTTGATGAACTGGAAAGTAGTTTTTCAAGTACCTTAAATTTTCAAAAAAATAATTCATACTCAAAAAAAAACTGAAAACCCGAAGAATGTTAGGATGGTATCTGCCTATGGAAAAACGTACCTCGTGGCGTAATATTTCAGTTATGGCAAAGGGGAATACTTTTTTGTAAGCCCTCGTTTAGTATTTTCATTCAATAAAAAAAAATTACTGCTTGATAAATACGAGAATTAGATATGAAACGAGTTAAGAGTATTTTAATGAAAATCAAAATATAACCCACAAAATCAGCCTTATTATTAGAGGGCGTAAGTGTTAGCACAAAATTGACGAAAAGTTGAGACTTTTTAATGGTAATGGTTTAGTCGAGTTGTCCTTTAGAAAGTTTTGCGTCTAAAACTCGATTTTCTCGTTACAACAATTTCCTGCAATTTAACGGTGAGACTTGCTGCCTTTTCTACCTGACAACCTTTGAAAAATAACTTCGTACATGACGAAACATCACTAACTGAAAAATGCCTTAGCCTCATTTCTATATTGCTTAGTGAAAATGGGTCTCGAATTTTAAATTAGTGCTAACGTTAGCGAACGCGCAAAACTTACTCCAAGCCAGCCCAAATTATTTTGGAGTAATTTTATTATTTAATATAAGTCGTTAAATCACATTGTATCTCAGTTTATATCCTAAACTAAGAAAAATTAAAATGTCAATCATCATCTGAGACATCATTTGTCCTCGAAATAATCTTTGTTGTCGTCTTTTATATCTTCATTGCTGAATTGTACATATTGTACACCAAGGTTTCTTTTGACTGATTGCTGTGTTACAGAAAGTTACAATTTCCGGTTTGCATTTGTCCCCCATCTCCATATTAATGCCCTTCTTGGAATATATGAGAATGACACCTGAATGGTAAAACATGCTGGGTCTGATAGATCTATACCCGTTCCGCAATACTCAGTGAATTTTTTAATGCATATGGTTCTTCTAAATGTTGCCCTCCAAATTTGGTACATACCATTTTTTGTCATCAACTAGGGCAAAATCACCAGGCTGGTTCAGGCTGGTCTTTCTCGCGCATAATTTTCCGAATATTTTGAAATAAATTTATTGGGACTCTCGATGATTATGTATGACGTTTCAATGGCGTTACAACCCTTATGATGGTTGTTTCAAGGTATTTGGATTCTATAACTCTTTCAAGGTTTTAGTCTCCGATAGTTATATTTTGTATTTGGAGCCCAATGTTTCCTGCTTCCCCTCATCATTATTCCATTCATTCCTAACTGACCAGTTTCTTGGGTAAACCAAATTCTTTGCTTCCTCCATACTGTTCAATCCTCAGCAGTGAAGGAAGGAATCGTACGATATCTGAAGTTCAGTGATATCTTCTTAAAAAATAAATGCCCTTCATCCTCTGCCAGTCTTGCTTGTTCTTCCTCAAAGTAAGCCATTGTGTTTCTAAACAAACCAAGCGTCACTGGCTCAAAAACTTTAAAATACCCTCAGACCACGCGGCTAAAAATTGATACGTTTTTTTTTTTCACCACATTACTTTCCATTACTATCTTCAGCACTGGTTTCCACGTAATCTTTGTTCTTGAAACTATCATCTGAGTCAAAATTCGATCGGCTAGAACTAGAATGGTAATAGATAAAAAAAAAGCATTTATGGCATTATTCTACAAAGTCGCTGAATAAAATTCTGTGCCTTGTTTCCCTTTTCATGCAACTATTTACATCATTAAAATGAAAATGTGGCTTGTTTACACCGTTCCGGAGAGCCCTGCAGCTACGCAGTGTTGCCAAACTGTTTTAAACATGGAATATATATAAGACGGTAAAATTGAATTGAGAAGTTTCGTAACGGTTTAAAAATCCAACAATTTTTATTTACAGCGTATAAATAAGGGACATAGCGACTACCACTCAAAGTGGAAAACCCAAAACACAGAAGTAGAAGTCCTTTAATCTCTGGTCTCTGATATTTTGAGAAACGCACACTGAAAAACCGACAATGTTTGACAATTGCCAACCAAAATGGCGTCACTTGTTGGTTTGTAATGTTTTCGATCGGTCCCGTCCCGCATTCGGGTGAATTTTGTTTCCCGTCGCCATTAAAACTTGATATCGCGTTCACTGTCAAAGTGCTTCGGCCACGTTGTTGTTTTTGCGGAACACTCCCTCAAAAGTGATTACTTCGTTTTAGTTATCGCGTAAGAATAAACGTGTTGTTTTGTGCAGGTATATTTTATTATTTTTCTCGTCGTAAGGTAATGAATGTTCCGACTTTCCGAATATCGCTGTATATTTCGTCGGTTGAAACGAGAGTTTTACTGTATCGTTTGTTTCCCCCTTCGTGTTTTTGTACGTCCTTGTTTTTTTTTTTTAATTATTTCTAAGTGCGACATGGTTTCAATTTTGCCGCTTTTTCGACTATTAAAACGGCGCTAAAGGATACACAGTGAATCACAAAAGTCGCTCTTAAAATATTCGTTATTCTGAAAGCGACGAAGTTTTAGTGGAATAAATTTTAAATGTGTAATATTTATATTTTAATTTTTGTGAGTTATCGTTTACAGTACATTTCAAAATTATTCTACCTGAACATCGACATTTCGCAAAATTAAATTTTTCCAAAAGGGAAACGCTTTATAATATATTTTTTTTTAAATATGCAGTACGTAGACTTTTGTGACTCACTGTAATTCGGCACCTATCTTGCTCTGGTGTCCTAAGGGTAATTGTTTTCTTTTTTTTTAATTAAATAGTCTAAATGCGCGTCTTTAGTTGTAATAGTCGAGAAAATTACAAGTTGCCGTTGACATATCCCCGCCGCATCAAGCAATTTTTCTCAATAATGTAGGAACGATGGCGGCGCTTTGTTTCCCGCTATTCGTATTTTTAAACTGCGATCGTTTTGAGCTAAATTTTAGAGCACACAAATCATATTTTTCGTCGCCTAAACTGAATTATCAGTTATTTGTGTATTTTTTTGTTATAAATTCGTTCTCACTGCTAAATAATGTACTTCTTGATTTGTTCGTTTCCGCTATTCTGATTTGTCCTAATTTGTGTACTGAAAATTGAAAATCCAGCTTTCTCGAAAACTATTAACCATAGACAAATATAATATAAATAATCTATTTCAAATTTCAATATTGAGAGTGGTAAATTTATATTTTTTGTAAAATTCAATCAAATCAAATAATTTTTATTCCACTTCTGATAATTTAGTACATTTATGACTCTAAATGCACAAATTTTTGTTATTTGTTCATTTCGCGAATTCTGAAAAAATTCTTTTCGAACCCGACAAATTCTGTAAATTTATATTTTTTGTAAAATTCAATTAAATCAAATCAAATAATTCTTCTGTTCACCTCTGATAATTTAGTACATTATGACTCTAAATGCACAAATTTTACGTAATTTATGCTAAATAATGTACTTTTTGATTTGTTTATTCCGGTTATTCTGATTTATCCAAAGTTGACCACTAATTGATTATGGGATATTATTGTAGATTGTTTCCTTAATGAAAATGCATAGTTTTCCCAAATCTCAAATGATTGAGATATGTTGATGAGAACGCAATCAATTTGAATCATTTGAACGTAATTTTTCGTGAAAAAGTATCGGGATTTCTTGCGCGACCTCCGGCATTAAAATCTACATAGCGAAAGGTACAAAGAACTATATATTTTTCTATTTATAGAGTCTGTATAGAGGTATGTCAGCATTCTGTGCAACTAATCATTGTAAATAGTACTAAAAGGAGACAAAATGAGAGAATAACCAAACATTTCCCCTTGTAGTATAAAACATTCCATTTTATACAAAGTCAATGTTTTTTTAAGCAAACGTACGGTTTTGGTTATTTTCTCATCGCCGGAGCCCACTCGGAGTTGTAAATAGGTACTGTATAGTAAAGTGGGAGCAATATGTACACGAAATTTTAAAAAATTGTACACAGTACGTTTATATATAAAAGAAAAAAATCATTAAAATATCTTTTATTTTTCTTTTGTACTCCCGTATAAAATAAATTATTTAAAAATTTGTCGAGGATTATAACTTGGTAGCGTTAGCACTTCCGCGCCGCCGCTGGTAACGAGTATGGTGTGTTCGAATTGGACCGTTCTGGCCGAATCCGCAGTGACCGCTGTCCAATCATCGTCCAGGATTTCTATAAGCTGCTCGCCTTGCGTCAGTATAGGTTCGATGGTGAACGTCATACCGGCTTCCATAGTGCCAGGATAGTCATTGCCTGCAAGACAAAAAACTTGCCTTTAACAGATCGTTTCCTTATTTAATATGCACAGTTTCCGCAAATCTTAAATTATTTGGCGATATTTTAACCCAAAATGGCGAAAATTCCGATTTTCCTACAACCTAGGGGAAAAAATATTTATTGGTAAGTGGACGAAGAGAAAAGGCTGGAAATTACTTTCAAGTTCATAAAATGGCCGCTAGGGGGCGTAACCTCTACTGTAAAATAGAAAAAAACTGGTTTCCTCAAAAATATTCCAAATTAACCTGTAACGTAACGTAATCCACTCTAGATAAGGAAACTTTTTTTCAACAATTTTTTTTCCTATCTCGTCAAATTAAGAGTGAGGAGAGGGTCAAATATTGGTTTAGGAAAAGTTGAATAATTTTTGTTAAGTTGTAGAGACCATAACGTCATCCCCAATTTTCTTAAAATATTCCATCATGTCAAAACCTCGCCCGCTTACAAAATTCTTCGAAAATCTAGTTTCGCTTTACTTCGAGAAAGAATTCATAAGACCCGTAATACATCTTGAAATTGCTTCGATCTTGCCCCCATACGAATTCGATAATCTTTCAGACATGTTTCATGACAAAGGTTTAAATCTTAGTTTACCTTCTACCCAGAATCACATTCAGAAATTTGAAAAACTGGGGAAATCATGAAACTCTTCTTAACTACCAAACACTGCGATAAATGTATAATCGAACCAACTTTCGGAAACTGAAAAATCGGTTCTTTCAAAAGGTTTCAACTTTGCCCTTGCCCCACGTATTATCCCAAAAGAAGAAATCATTTCAAATGTCGAGCCTATCTTAAACAAACTGCCAACTCAAACAGCTAATGAAATTCGATTTGGAACCGCAAAAATCCTCAAAAAAGCAAAACCCCCTCTCTCTAAAATGTAATCCAGACATCGTAATCCCAAAATCAAACTTGTTACCATTATCCGATACGTTTGTTAAAAGTGAATAGAAATAAACATTATTATTATTAAATAAATGAAGTGCTACGGTGGTCATGAATACAAATGAATATCAGAAAAAGTCAAAAGGTGTCAAACAATATAAAAACAGGTACAGAGTAAAATGCGAGCTAATTTCAGTCAAGCTCTGAAGAAGGCAACAGGATGATTGGCGAAACGTTAGCTAGTTCGAGTCAACAAAAACCGTCGCAGAAGGAATCGAAAAGTTTTAAAAAAGTAAAGTTGAATCACTTTTTTTGGTGAATTCAACGAATTTGGTTTAGTTTTAAAGAGTATTTATAGGAGCTTCGACTGGCATGTCAATATCACGATATTAATTCTTTTACGAGTCGATAGCAGGGGCTTCATGTCAAAAACAGCTATTTTTATTATTTTCTCGAAGATTTTAAATATAATGGCATAAATATTTTTAGCTATGATGAAAGAGCGTTAAAAAACACAGCAAGAAGTCGAAACGGCATCCACTTTGATAAATAAATGAAAAGGTGTTTAATAAACGTAACAATAGACAAAAAGCACTGACTATTAAATTAAATTAGTTGTTTTTTATAAATAATCTAAAAGCGCCTAGATACGGTATAGTATGTAGTCGGGGACCCTTAAATAACGGGAACAGTTATTTAAAACAGTTTATAACGTAAAATTGTACCATAAAGTCATCCCAAAAAAAAGCGAGATTCTTCTTCCCATCACAACATAACCTTTAATTTTAAAAATGGTTACTACAACTATTAGACAGAGACATCAACTTTAATATATCTGTTTATTAAAAATCCTTAGACCCAAACTGTAAGTAAGGTTTTAGATTGAAGCTGGTATAAACCAAAACTGCTATTGCCGCAAACAATTGAAAACTTTAGAACCAAAAGTATATTTATTAAAAAATGGAAAAAATGCGCACCCGGGAGTTTTAAAATCTAACTAATTACCTTGCGGCACTCAATAACCAACATGGCCGCTGACAGATCGTCAATAAATTTGGATGCGGCATTTTTACGGCGGTATTTTCTCAAAATATGAATGGTGCTTGTTAAATGCACAGGTCGAGTGTGTGGAAATCGCTGTTACGGAAGAAAATTGGCGCAAAATGCAGGTTAGTGTATTATTGTGTTCTGTTATCAAACATAGTATAGTAACAATAATAATAGTAAACACCATAACCAAAAAAACGTGAATTTAAGCCTCTTTTTGCTATCGTTTTTCACGGTCGAGTAGTTCAAAAAAGTTAGGTAGAGTTATGCGTACATAAAATATGTTTAGAGTTTTACACGTTTGAACTAAGTCAGTTGACGGAAACTTTCAGAATTAATAGGAGATTCGAAATATTTTAAAATACAAATACACTTGCCACATATCTTAACCCCAAAAATTTGAAGGCGTTCCTAAATTACATCTCAATAGACTTTTAACGAATGAAATTATTAGGTATCCACAATAAGAGTGTGTAAAACTTTTAAAATAGTTTTATGTAACTAAAATATTAAATCTTATTCCACCATTGGACCATCCTGTATGTAAGGATATCAAATAAAATTTCTATAAAATTAGCACCTTCTGTAGTATTCAAACTTTTGAAGTGACTCTGATCCACTGTGGGACATGCCTATTTTTTACCTACTTATGTGATAAATATCCGGAGGCCCGTGGAAGTAATCGCCAATTCCATGACCTATGAATGCAGGTATAACTTGAAAACCAAGATCGCCGGCTTTTTCTTCGATGCAGGCCCCGATACTTCTAAAATATTCTCCGGATTTGCATATACCGATAGCAGTGTTTAAGCAGGTTTCGGTGGCTTCAACTAGCTTTTTTCCTTGATAATCAACATTCCCTATAAGAAAAGTTCTGGAACAATCTCCATGGTATCCTTCAAGAAACACCTAAAAACTAAAAGAAATTAAAGTTATTTTGAAGAGCTTAGAAAGAAAGTGAATTACTGTAACATCAACGTTGACAACATCACCATCTTCTAGCTGTCTACTGTCGGGAATGCCGTGGCAGGCTACGTTGTTAACAGAAGTGCACACTGACTTGGGAAAGTGTTTGTAATTTAAGGGTGAGGGATAGGCGCCAGATTTAATTGTGAGCTCGTGGACCAGTTTATCAATTTCGTCCGTAGTTTGGCCAATCTAAAACCACCAAATGGCATCATCCTAAATCGAAGTTTTATAAGTGTATTTACGAAATCAAACTTAACCGACTTTTATATGCTCTCCCACTGTATGAAGGATATTAGCCGCCAAAATGCAAGACTTCTTCATTCGTTTAATTTGTTCATCGGTTTTTATCTCGACCATTGGGACGTTTTCCGAAGGATTGCCAGTTTGAAAGTAACTTGGTTTTTGTATATGATCGGGTACGTGATTTCTCGGGGAGATTTCCTTTGGGTAAACTAGCTCATAGTTCCCGAAATTTGTTCTGAGCACAAAAAAGCTGTAGGTTAGCATTCGGCACTTCGGTTTGCTGTCGTCAGCCATTACCTTTTATTGCGGAGTAAAATTTTTTTAAGCAGATTGTTGAATCTCATTTTGAAGGTAACCCCTCCTAAATATAAAAACAAAAATATTTGAAAATCATTGGGAAATGTTGGCGTAGGTTAATTTCATTGATTAGTAGGCACCTTAAATTGGTTGGTCAGATCACCCACCAATAGCCGTATGATCCTCCCAAACTTGGCCAATAATACTCAAAGAACACCAAATTTAGTTTCTTTTTCATTACGCTTAACTATGCTCATCTCAATTCGGATATGCACCCATTTTAATATGAAAATTGACCGATAATAATTTTTCACGCACACAACACCCAAAGCTCCTGGTGGGGACCGAACCCACAACCTCGGGCAAGTTCCATTTGGCAGGTCAACGCCTTACCAACCGAGGCATCCTCGGTCCTTACCAAAGTTAGTCAAGTCAAGTCAATTATGCGTTTCACAAAAAATGTTGGGCACGACTGCTAGGATCATTTGCCCATTGCCGACTTCCGTCGAGGATTTTCGCTTCTGGTCAATTGACCACCACGTACAAAGAAGAAAAATAACCAATAATTTGCTCAACTAGCAAAAAACGATTCTGACCGATACCAACAAAAATCGGCTTCCCCCGCTTCCACCGCGGACCATCCGGGCCCATCCGGCCTCCATACCGGCGTGAACGGAGAAAAACGACGGGGCCGACGACGATTATCACTTTAAGACGTACACTGAACACTCAGAACACTAAATCCACACCGTGGAAACCGATATCAAACTTTTTGGGACGAATACATGGGATTCTGTCGGGAGTGAACGGAGGTTAAACCGCCGCGTGCAATGCTCCACCACAGAATCCACCAAAGTTAGTGTTATAGCGTTACCAAATATTTATATTTCTTTTGACTATAAGTAATTTTTGTGGTCTGTGATCGTACGAACTCGTTATTCTCATGAATTTTCGATGATTGTGGCAACAATGTGAGGCCGGTGCAAGATTGGTGCTTTGCTTTGGTCTTGGGAGGGACTGGAGGGAGCAGACGGCGGTCTGGCGACTGTCTGGCGGAATTGTTTGTTGTTGGTGTGAGATTCATTTTACGTACTTATTTGACTTGTCTGTGCATATTACTTGCATTACTAAAATCGCAGTTTCTGTGTGTGCCTAAATTAAGTTGGTTCAGTTTAGAAAAGTCTGTCGACTATTGGCCCAGAGTACAAAATTGTTTATAAAGCATTCCAAATATTTCCTTTAAGTGAAATTTATCGTTTTGAAAATAATTAAAGTTTATTTTTAAACGCACAATTAAAAATGCATGCTGTGTTGATATCTACGGCCAAGTATTAAATGGTAATAATTAGCATAATAAGAACAGAATACAGCGAAATAACGTAGATTACTTTATTTCAGCCGTCATTGGTATCTACGATTATGTATCTAGCGAGTTTACTGATTCTGGGTACAGCAGGTTTTTCTGCAGCAGTGGGGCCCACGAAAGACTACATTTTGTGTGCCCACTCTAAGACACGTATTGAGGATGATAGTCCACTAGATAGTGCCGGTGTTGAAGAACAGTTTATAAAATGTAATGATAGCTATTGTTACACCCTGTGGCAAGATGATGGTAATAATAGGTCGGTTGTTATGGGACAAGGTAATGATTTTCTTTAAATCTTTTTTAACATTCATAAAGCAATTAATATGATGTGATAGCTATTTATGGTGGTATGTGATAGTTTTGGAATATTAAATTTTAAAAAATAGCCATTTTAAATTGAAAAAATTAACACTCACTGGGGTAGCATTAAACGCATGTAGCGACCACATAATGATTTGGGTACTGGTGTTTGATTAATTGGTTGCTTTGCAATACATCATATCCAGTTAAGAATCAATATAAGTTTAATTAGACAAGTGTGATCTCTCACACATGGCCCCGCACATTGACAAAACATTCTTAGTAAAAATCTACCAGTACTTAATGGCCACTTGAGAAATTAATCTGGAATATGTTTAAATGGTTTGTGTCACATGTCTCAACTGTCGCGGCTGAAACGCACTTAAAAGGAAAAAACGTTTCAAATCTACTCATGTTTAACCAAGAATAATTAATTACTATGTTTAATACGTATAGGGAATATGAGGGGCCTAAAAAGTACCTTAGTTTTACAAGTGACGCTCTGACTTTTTATATCGATTAAGAGGCACTCTATTAAAATAAAGTAGGTATGGGAAAATAAGAATTTCATTATCTTGAATTATAGTTAGTGATATTAATGACACACTAGAAGTATTAAATATAAAAACGCTTATAATTAATCTTTCAGTAATTTTGCTATTTTAGTTTCTTCAAAGGAAGTACATCCTTTTTTAGTAATTTACACCTTCTGCATGGAATGTTGGTTTAATAAATTGAGACCCGGTTATAACTTTTGTATTCGTTTCTTTCGGATTTCAGGCTGTTGGGTTCAGTCTGGTCAACCCAACGATTGTGATAAATCGGAATGCCTTGCCGACCGCAGACCTCCGCGGGCCATAAATAACACCAAATTTTGTTGCTGTTCTAAAGACATGTGCAACATTAATTTCACAGATACTTATGTTCCCGTAGAAGAACCACCTTCGAGCGATTCAGAAAGCACCAAAAAAGAAAACGTGAACCCCCTTATCTATACAGCACTGGGCATGTTCTTTTTTATTGTGATCCTTATAACCGGTACCATGTCTTATTACTTTTGGAAAAGGAGACCGAAAAAGAGTGATATTGAAAACAATCAACCGTTGCCTCCGCCACCTGATTACAGTCTCGATAAATTGAAGCTTCTCAATGTTATTGGTAAGAATTTTTTTCCTTTAACCGTTATATTTATATTAAGTAATAAAGTTAAGTGTACTTCAAAATAGTAACCACTCTATTACTATTTGTGTTGTAATCGACCTTATCTTAATGAAATTATCGGAAAGGCAGAGAAAAAACATTGATACAAAACAAAAAATATCGCGCATCCCTTTCGGAATCCGGCTCGAAGGACCACTTTAAGCTAGGAAAATAATAACAGGCAGTAATCAACGACATAGCTACTTGACATTTAACGTTTTCCTAGGGCAGGGCAAGTACGGATGTGTGTGGCACGGCCAAATAGAGCAGGAAGAGGTCGCGGTGAAAATATTCCCGGCCCATAATCGAACATATTTCTACAACGAACACGAAATATACAAAATGGCGGGCGAGCATCCGTCGATCGTCAAATGTTTCGGTGGCGGCGAATACGTTCGAATACCCGGCCATCCAGATTATCTACTGCTGCTCGGTTTAGAGCGGGAGAGTTTGCAGGAATATCTGAAAAATAATACTCCGGATCTATTGGTTTTGTCAAAAATGGGGTTAGACATAGCCAAGGGCTTGGCCCATTTGCATAGCGATCTGGGCAAACCTTGTATCGCCCACAGGGACTTGAACACGAAAAATATACTAGTTAGGGCGGACTTGTCGTGTTGCATATGTGATCTGGGACTTGCCGTTATACCGAAAAGAAGCGAGAACAAAGCCTTGAGCGAAGCAGGTAAGATTTAAAAAAATTAATTATTTTAAAGAAAAGTGAGCTTCTTGAAACTACTACCCCTAGGGGCGCGGAGTTTTGGCTGAACTTTTCGGCCATATTGTCATGATTGCAAGTTGCATTTTTATTAATTCTCTCATTCTAAATACACTAAAATGAAAGCTTCTACTTATTCGAAAATACCCCCGCAGTATCAATGCTTAATCAAATTTAAAATTATTACGTTTCAAATAAAAGACCTATTTAATGCATAATAAACATCAATTGGAATTGGTTCTACCACGGTCCTCCGAAGGTCCGCAGTTAAGGTACTGTAAAATACTTAACATGTCAATAAATGCACTATATTTTTGGTCGTATTATAATTATAATTACCCACAGAATCGAATATCTTATATGATTAGTTTAAAAAATAAAAAGCGTTGTGCTCTTATTTATGTTATCAGGATACCCTACCCAATTTGATTTCGTTTCTTTTTTCCTCGCTGAAATGGGATTATTCACAATTTTCCATACAGTTGATGTTGGAATTTTCGTCAATGTGGCCGTTTCTTCTAAAGATGCTTGCTTGCTGGCACCACGTTCAATGAGAGTCAAATAAACATTGTTTATACCTTCCTTAGTCTCAATAGAATAGTGTTTTCTACATTTGGGCGGGAGCATCTCCTGAGATACACTAGACTCGCACATATTTTGCATAATTCGCACACGATTCAACACACTCTGTATTACATACGAAATAAGAATGATTACTAATAAACTTAAACTAAGTAGTACACTAAACCAAAGAATATTAGGTATAAAGTGATTTTCTATTACGGACCACAATTTTACCTGAATTTAAATTCCGAAACTTTAGGTAATAAATAAGTGGTGTTATCCGTTACAAGCTACTGTAGTATTTTTAGTGTGACCCATTACTTTAAACCGCCATGACAGTACTTTAGTACTTGGACACAAATAATGGACAGTATACGCGATCTTCCCTTCTATCTTATACTCTTTGCTTTCTACGTAAAATATTTTTGACCATCCGGTGTTGCCAGATATACTCGTTTTTGGATTTAGCGGAACTTTTTTATTTTGATCACATAGTATGAGGATTAACTTATCGCGTACAGGGGGTTCATTTGATAAGGCCCAATTGGCAAGATATAAAAATCCAGCGGAACATTTTTTGCTATGTTAAATTTTCGTTCAGGCACGCTCCGCTACATGGCGCCGGAGGTATTGGAAGGGGCGGTAAACTTGTGCGATTGCGGCAGCGCCCTGAAACAGATCGACGTCTACGCGTTGGGTCTGGTCCTGTGGGAATTGGGTACGCGATGCGTGGACACCCAAAACGCGGAACCGTCCCCCTATTGCCCCCCGTTCTTCAAGGAAACGGGGGAGAATCCCACCTTGGAGCAAATGCAGACGCTCGTCAGCAGACGGAAAGTGCGACCCCTTTGGCCCGTCTCCTGGAAAGATACCGCCGCCGCTAGGTTGTTGTGCGAAACCGCCGAAGACTGTTGGGATCAGGTGCGTGCAATAGTCGAGATGGCAAAGGGTTTCCATGGAGAAAGAATTTTCCTCGATAGAGAATAATTGCGATTTGTTTACATTACAATGTTTTTAAATTGCATCCGATAATATTTACAGTGACTCAGCATAAAAGGTTCAGTTGCATTTTAATTAATCAAGGAGCCAAACCTAAACATAAAAAATGATGTATATAATAAAAAATACAACGAACTTAAATCCTATTACGACAAAAAATTTAAACACGCAAAGAGAACTCGCCACAATTTAAGGTTAATGAAATCTGATAACATAAGTAGGGAAAGTAAATCCTCTACTATAACTAACATAACGGTTGGTCGCGAAACACTTCAATATTTTGCTGATTTTGCTAACAATAGCAAGCAGCCTCGAAATCTAACGCCCGATATCCAAATACACTCGAGCTCTATGTTTCTCTACCCTACTACGACAGTAGAGATAACGCAAGATTGCTTTCGAAAAATCGTCGCTGGGCGGGGCAAGTTATATAAAAGGGGTATAAAAGGAAAGAACTTCACAAATTCAAAAACCGTAGCTCTTGATGCGGTCTATGACACTGTTTGAACCTATTAGTTATATTTTTTACGATTTTTTATTTGCGGCTAATAATTTACTTTCTAAATGAACAATTTTCTAGGCCGTTTAGATTTTTGCCTATAATTTGAAAACCCTGTATATAATCGAAAAAATGCCTAAAATCAAGCTTATTGTGCTGGATCTTCCGCGTCTGCTGGCTAAAGAATTTTGCCGATCTGGTGAACGGTTATGGAGGAAAACATATTTTTCTGGAAGCTAAAATTACCATAGTCTTTCAGTTATTACCAATTTTCAATAATAGGGGGACCCATTTTTCAGTTTTTTTTTAATTTGCGGCACACCCTGTATATTTTTGAAAAATTGTCAAGAATAAAGGTTTATGGAGCCGTATCTTCTGCGTCTTCTGGTTGAAGAATTTTTTTGGTCTTTTTTGTAGACCCTTGCACACGTGATTTTTAAGTTTTTTAAAATAGTTCCCGACCCCCCCCCCCCCCCTTTTTTTTCAATAGGTTCCGTCACGGGGCAAAGCTGCATAGATGTATCAAATATGAAGTCGATTGCGTCAAATTTCGAAAACTTATCGTGTTTCATAGCAAGGTCCAAAAAAACAGTCGAAAATCGCGAAAAAAAGATGGATACCGGAATCGAATCAGGGTCATTTCTTATAAGCTTATGTGCCTCGTGGAGGGTTAAAAAGGAGGTAAATTTCAATTTTGCAGCTCCAACGGTTCGAAAGTTATTCAGGAAAAACCAAAAGACGAGAACGGAGAATGGACAAACAGGCAAAATTTTTTTTTTCGATGGTGATCATTTCTGTACCATCGGCGAAATACTTTCGAAAAAAAATCGATTTTCGAAAGTAACAAGTAATCGGAAAAGTATGCCGTAAGAAATCGTCTGGAATCGATGAAATACCGGGCACTTTATTAATTTCTATTAAAGACTTTATAGCTCCTATTCTAACATATTTAGTCAATTGAAGCTTTCCCCAGGCCTTAAAGAAATTCAAAAATCGTACCTATTTTTAAAAATAAAGGCAATAAAACCAAAATAGTGAACTACCGCCCGGTAGCTCTTCAATGTGAAGTGGCAAAAATCTTTGAGTCCTGTTATAATGACAGACTGCAGAAATTCCTTGAAAAATATTCTTTGATTTCTAGTGCTCAGAACGGATTCAGAGCAACCGCTTCACAAGTACAGCTCTGGACTATGCTCTGGAACATATCTACGACAGCCTTAATAATAAAACAATCACACTAGACTTATTTTTTGATTTTATATACAAAGATATGAATCAAGCAATAAATCAAAAAAGAAAAAACGATAAAAAAACAATATTAAATAAAGAGAACTGATTGACAATCTGGGTAGTTCCCCGTAAGAGATATTTTTTAAATGAAATTTAAAAGCGCAATGAGAAACATTCTAATCTGCTAATCGGCTAATCTGAGGATGTTTATTTAATAATCTAATAGATGTGTACGAGAAGCAGCTTTTAGTCATGTACTTCTTAATTTTAGGTATTTTTATTACTATAAGCTTTTTGATGAATTTTGGAAACGTGTACGGAATCTGATTTCATTATCAAAGATGATACCCAAACTTTTACATTCGTCCACAGCGTAAATAGATCCAAGTTTTGGGCAACCCAATAGTTAGAGGGTCTAAAATACATTAAGGCAGACTTATTCCGATCATTTGAGTATTTAAAGACCGATTCCAAGCATTTATTTAGTCTCCCTGCCGCTTCCACTGCATCAGACTGGGAAAGAGAAATATGTCTTTGCGTGTCTTCAGCATACCTGTGACTATTGAACTCACCAAAGCAACCTGCTGTATAAATTATGAAAAAAAAAATGAACCTTGAGGGTCTGTCAGCTTCTAATCTTGTCAATCGAAGCTAGCTGATATCTGTGATCCAGATAATTACGAATCAATTAAATCGTCTTAAATTTAAACCCGTAGTATTTTAAAGCTTGTAAAAGTCCAAAACTCTGAGCAAAGCCATAGCCGTACCGCACCCTTTGCGAAATCCTGACTGTAATTTAGCGAAATAATGACAGATCTGCCTATAAATCAGTTTTTTAATTACTTTAGGAAACACCGGCAACAGACTAAGCTCTGCGACGGTGTTAGGCTTGGTAACGGTATAACCTCTGCTATCTTCCACTGCGCAGTAAATACAAAGCTGAAAAAGTTGTATTTAGGCATTTCTAGTGTAATTCCGTACGCGTTGGATCTCAAAGAATACCACTAAACGGTTTTCGTTCGGGCCAATACGGCCGACCGCAAAATAATCGCCGCGTTTTTACGCCCGTAGGACGCGGAGGCCCGTCTGACGTCGTTGTGCGTCGTCGAACGTTTCCTCGAGTTGCCCAACTTGCGGGGGCGCGTCCTTCACCCCGTGCACCCTCCCGCCAGTCCGACGCCTTTAATAAACAACAACCATCTGCGCGAGCATCCGATCGAAGTTTCGGCCGCCACCGTCGAGACGCTGCTCTCGCCCAGCGACGACAACCGCAAAAATTCGAACCAGTTGGCGGCGCTGCGCCGTCCCCACCACGGCAGGAACCCGTGCCTCGAGCGGAACCTGCTGTCCGATTCCTGCGACGATTTGCTGGTAGACAAATCGTCGAAACACGTGAACAGTTCGGAGTCCCGTAGCCTCGTCACCAACGAGGTGTTCAATTTCCAAATCAACAGCCGCGCCGCACCGATTCCTTACCTGCAGAACGCGGTGCTGATCCCGAAAAGGCAGAACGACGCGGGCCAAGCTGCGCAGACGGCGTCGCGCAAGCGGAAATTCAAATGGGGCGGCTTGAAGAACTTTTGGAACCCGAGAAAGTTCTCGGGCAGTTCGACGGCGCGAAAGGACACCCAGGTCAAGCTCAGGACGAAATCGATGAACGGGAACGGCGTCACCACCGCCCTGCTGGCCGACGAAGGTTCGAGACGGCGCCCGTCGACGCTGAGCCTGGCGAAATCGCCAGATAATAGCGGCGCGCAGTGCTCCGGTTATACGGTAAAAACGGCCACAACTACTTACTCGTACAGTCTCAATCTTTATCGTGTTGACTTCCGACGAACCCTCCGATGTTATTAAAGTCTGTTCGTAGATATAAGAAAGTGACTAACCGATACGAATTAAGGAAAGACCCGGACAAGCTGTAAGAATGAAATATGGCCGGACAGGTCCGTACTTTTTTTTTGTCAGGAAAGATACAAAACAATATTTATTTATTTATGTATGTATTTATGTTTAAATCTAAAATAAAATTACAAATTATTTTTATTACCTACTTAAATTACTTAAAATTATTCACATAATATATCAGTATCACTATCATCGCCCGTTCTAATTATTATTTGCTCTATATTATTTGCAATACGAATATACGATTTTCTGCTTTTTCTATATATTTAACAGAATTTGCCCAACTTTGTGGAGGGATGTTTAAAACTTCGGTTTCTATAAGTTTGAGGACATTGGAGTTAACACGGGGATAAACATTGTTACGACGAATGGCAGATTTCAGTTGGTGCCAAACATGTTCAATGGGATTAAATATACAATGGTAAGGTGGAAGCCTTATTAAAACTGTATGCCCTAGATTTTTTGCATAATTATCACAGACGTGTTCCTTCAAGCTTTGTAGAACCTCAATTAATTGCTTTTTGGTATAATCTTCGTGAAAATAAAAGTGGTTATTATACATGTAGTTTTGGATTGTTGCTTTTGTGTCACATGAGAAAGGGGTTTTAGTCAACTGTCTACCGTGATAACTTGCATTGTCCATTACAATGACGCTATTAGGAGGAATGTTTGGAAATCTTTTACAGAAAAAGCGAAGTTAAAGTAAAATAAGTAAATATGGGAGACGAATTAAGGAAAGACCCGGGCAAGCTGTAAGAATGAAATATGGCCGAACAGGTCCGTACTTGGTTTATAATTTAATTATTTGGGGTTTTATTAGGAGGAACGTTTGGAACTAGTTTGTTTTTAAACCAACTTTCAAATAAATCAGCGGTGGTGTCTTCATGGTAATCCAGAGAAGAATCTTTAATATTTTTCGCAGACAGAGAAAGTCCATTTGGAATCCAAATATCTTTAGAGCCAGCATGCAAAATAGTTATTCTCTTACCTCTTTTTGATGGCGCGTTTGTTTTACACTTATCAGTTGAGTCAACACAACCCTTTTCCAGGTTTCATCGAAGTAAATAATTGGCTTTTGTTGTTCTCTGTAAATCCTAATTTTTTCTAACTTGCTTTTTGTGATTTTTTTTTAATCTAAAACCCATGTGTTGAATACACTTTTATAAGGTAGTTCTGCCACATTTAACACCGATTTAATCTTTTTCATTAAGATATCTAATGTAGGCACGCTTGTTCCTCGTATAACTAATAAATTTTACGCCGTATTATATGGTGATCACTTTCACATCGCTTCTTTTTTTTCCTCGCTGAACAATTTTCCATACAGATGATGTTGGAATTTTCGTCAATGTGGCCGTTTCTTCTAAATGTGGTTGCTTGCTGGCACCACGTTCAATGATAGTCAAAAAAACATTGTTTATAACTTCCTTAGTCTCAATAGAATAGTGTTTTCTACATATGGGCGGGAGCATCTCCTGAGATACATTAGACTCGCACCTATTTTGCATAATTCGCACACGATTCAACAGACGCTGTATTACACACAAAATAAGAATGATTACTAATAAACTTAAACTAAGTAGTATACCAAACCAAAGAATATTTAACACAGGTAGGTATAAAATTATTTTCTATTACGGACCACAATTTGACCTGAATTTAGGTAATAATCTTGTTACATTGTATGTTAATGACCACCGTTGGATCATCCCATTAAAAAGCAATTGGTCACTTTCTTATATCTATGAACAGACCATACCTTTTATATTTCGAGATTTGTAATAAAAAACTAGAAGCTACCGACAAATATGACTTTGCTGTTTCTCGAAATATTCACCCTGACGATCAATACACTTTTGCATTCGATAAAAACAATCATCGAAGCACTTTTCCCGGACCGATTCGGGCACCTCCATCTTCTCCCACTTTCCTCTTGACCATCCCATTTGTAACAATTTTTCTTACCATATCTTCTTCTAATAGGGGAACATTTGCTTCATTCCACGGTCTCCACATTTTAAAGAGTTAAAGAAATGTTCAATTTTAAGATTCTAATAAATATTTATCTGTATTCTTATGACACTGTTGTTGTTCACACATTGAAGAACTACGGTGGAAACTCCCTATAGCAAAACTCTATATAACGTTAAACTCTGGCGAAGACCGTGTCGACAGAAACGTCACTGACGATTGGCTGGAGAAGACGTGGCCAAAACTCACAGAAAAGTACCCTGCTGACGACATTTTTAATGCCGACGAACCTGGTATTTTTTACAAAATGACGCCAGATAAAACTCTTAAATTTCGAAGCGAAAAGTGTATGGGTGGAAAACCTTCTAAAGAACGTATAACAGTGTTAGTAGCTGCCAATATGAGTGGGAGAGGAAAAAGAAAGCTAGTCGTGATTGGAACACCAACTAACCCACGATGTTTGACATCGCAAATTTTTTAAGAGGAGATACAGAATTAAAGGAGAGAAAAATATTACGTCTCTGAGATAACTGGCCTGCAAATCTCCATATTCCAAATCTACGCAATATTGAATTGGCATTTCTTCCAGTCAAAACAAGTGTATTACAGCCGATGGACCAGAGCGTAATAAAAAATCTTAAGAATCGATACAGGAAAAACATTTTAATGGAAATGATCGAGTCCGAAGACAAATTTTCCATTAATATACTAGATGCGGTCAACTTTAATAAAACTTGGAAAGAGGTGACAGCAGAAACAATTCAACACTCTTATCGTCGTGCAGGACTTATTACCGAGACAGAATGCGAACAGGACTTGGAAGAAGCCGCTTAGCAAGTGGATAAAGCAGTTTCAAACAACAATTACGTTTACAAGTGAGAAGTTGCAAGATTTTATGGTGATAGTTCAGGATTTTCCTACAACAGCAGACTTGAAGCCATATTGCAACAAGCAAAAAAGGCTGAGGAAGAGCACCAAGAGGAAGAAGATGAAGAAGTTGATCTGGTACCACCACCAAACATTCAACAAGCCCTATATATGGTGAAAAATACGAAAAATAAATGGTGAAAATACAAGCCAAAGTATGATACTAAAAAAATTCAAAAGAAAATGACCGAATATTTGAAACATTAAATGTAGTTCTTTAATATTTATATGAAATGTTCCTAAGTACATGTTAAATATGTATATAAAATAATTAAATATTACAGAACACATATGCGTATTGTTATTTTTCAAGTGTCCAGAATCAGGTCCATAAATAAGTGCTTACTGGAAGGATTTCAGGCAAATACCCACATAACATATACGAACATTTTGCAATATAGATTAAACTCTTAAGAACGATACACATCACCTGATGTTGAAATAAACGCTTCTACTTAATCGAAAATAACCCGCAGCATCAACATTTAATCGAATTTAAAACGATCCATTTACGTTTCAAATAAAAATTTTAAGATTCTATAAATATTCGTTACAGTCCATCTCAGGCTAGGCCTTGCAGAATAAACATATGCGGTTAAGGTACTGTAAAGTACTTAAAACGTCAAAGCAATAAATGCACTATATTTTTGGTCGTATTATACTTCCTGGCGATGAGGGTACGTGAGATTTCTCGAATTATGTCCGCAGATGTTGAAGAGGAAAGACAGTTTGTCGAGACAGAGTTCATTGGAGCAGTTTCGGGAGGTGTTTTCGTCCGCGACCGACCTGTCGAGATTGAAGGATCCGTCGCGACGTGTCAAGACGCCCGGCGACGTGCCGCCGTCGGTGCGCAGGACGCGGGGCAAAGCGGCCGCGAATTCCGCCAGGTTCTCGCTGTACGACGACAGCCTGATGGGGAAATGCCAGTGGGGCAGCGCCCCGGACTTGGAACCCCGTTCGAACGAGCAGCGAGACAAGGATAGCGTGAGCAGTTTTTGATTGTTTTTTTAACAAGGCGCGTGTTTTTTTTTTAGGTTAAGGCGACAAGTGGAAACAATAAATGACCCTTTTTCCAAAACTAACCAAAACGCGACCCCATAGATAACGAAACAAAATCGTTTGTCGTTGGCGTCGCAACAAATGAAGGTCGAAACCTTCGACAGGGGTAGAGAGGGGTCTATCGTGTGTAAATATGTACTTAACTAAAGTAGACATACAGTTCGTCCGCAGTTCTGTTCAAAAATATTCAACAATTTTTTTTTACTTTTTTGTGACCTATTTTTTTACGGCACTAATTTTTTAAATGGTATATTTAAAAATACACGGAAGTTTGAAATTCAAAAAAATTGAAATAATGAACCATAAATTTGAAATATTTTTTAAAATTTGAAAATAGGAAAACCCATTATTTTCGTTTTACTTTAAAAAAAAGTGTCAATATTATTACACTTTTAAACAGTGAAAGTAGGTTTTATTGGATCGAATCGATATTCAAAGTTAAATACCAAACAATTAAACTTATTAAGTGCTAAAAAGGGAAGAACATTTATTTGTCGCCCTTTAAACAAAACTAATTTTGTGAACTTACTTCTTACTGTGGAGATTCACATTTTACATTATTTAAGTAAGTTGTACAAATAGTTTTATGCTTTAAATTAATTTTTAAAATTATTTATTTGTTATATATACAGTGTGTCCCGTAAGTGCCGGACCGACATAAGTTTTAAAATTTTAAATGGAAGACGCTATATATTTTAATTTTTTCGGAATCCTTGCCAAAAATAAAGGTAACTTTGTGTAGGTTAGGCAGAAATTGAGATTATATATTTTTTGATGCAATATTATGTTGTTTAGTAGATATTGTCTTCCACGGCTGTCAGTAATGACTATTTGATCAAATTTTAAACACTTAAATACGTCCTTCTAACGATCTACGATAACTAGGTATTTTAAAATTATACAGGGTGTCCATGGTGTCCCATACCTAAATCTAATGGTTTTAGAAATATTGACACCTAATTATTTTAAAGAATTTTAAAAAAGCATGTCATTCTTATTTTTTAATTAATTTCAGGGATGTTTGCAATGGCCGGTGGGCCTTTTTTGTAGGTAAAGTAATACAGAGATTTGTAATTTTGTAAATTTGTATTCTGTAAATAATATGTATAATTATGATAGAAGTTTAAAAATTTATAACAAGTGACAGTAACAAGTAAAAGCAACAAACAACAGTAACTGTAATAATTGAAATAAAAACTAAGGTACAACGAAATAGCAAAATCTACATTAGGTTTAAAAAATGTCCTTTAATTTAAGACACCCTGTATAAATTTAAAATACCTAGTCATCGCAGATCGTTAGAAAGAAGTCTTCTGAAAATGTGTTTAAAATTTGATCAAGTAGTCATTACTGCCAGCCGTAGAACTAAGAACATAATTTTGCATAAAAAAACATATCTCAATGTCTGCCTGAACTACACAAAATTTGAATAAGTAATTTCTAGAAAAGTTACTTTTATTTTTGGCAAGGATTCTAAAAATATAAAACTATACTGGGTGTTCCGTTTAAAATTTTAAAACTAAATCGGTCCAGCACTTATCAGACAACCCTGTATATATAAAAAATAAATAATTTTAAAAGTTTATTTAAACCATTAAAACTTTTGTATAAACTTTTTTTTCTAAAATCAAATGATACTGGCCCCTAATAAAGTGCCCACCTTGTACAAAAATATTTAAAAGATATGGACCCAAATTCACTAATATTGCGAATATTTTAAACGTTTGACTGTGGAACACAAAAGTGAGTTATTAATTAATTATCTGTAAAACGTAACCCAGTTCATTTATATTAGTCATAAAAGACGTAAACTATCGTAGAAAAACTAAACCGGAACAAATGAACTGTTTTCTACCAAGCAGTCGATAATCTTCTTGGTATCGTCCCCTCTCTTACCTTACCAAAGGTTAAAACTGTCATGCGTGCCATATTGGCGTTAGTGGTTTCTGAATTTCGGCAGACTGCGAAAATGACAATAAATGTTAATATTAATTATTTTCTATTTTAAAGCGTCACTTTCATTTCATATAATACACTGGTTAACTCATATAACTATTGAAAATTCTAGTTACTTTATCATGTGATTGCAAAGTTATTAACAAAATGCGTTTTCATTAGTATGGGCTAAGTTTTCACGTTTCTATATACAGAATGACTACTACATATTATGGCGGGAAAATTTAGTTCACATTCCAATCGCGTTGGCAGCACAGGAGCACGATTTTTATTTATCTGTGCTTTACCAGCGTCGTTAATCACGAACGCAAAGTATTTCCCGACTTTGATTTTGAAGACGAAAGTAAAAGTCGTAACACCATAACAACGTGGACGTTTATTATTAATTGCAAGCCTTATTGCGCTATCTCAAACTCTTTTAAGTGATGGTTGACGTTTTACGAAATTTTACTTTCAGAGTGTACCGTAAACTTTTTCTTGGAGTATTTCGTTCAGAAGATGGTATTTGCTGCCGTTTCGCATTATATGGCCTCTTTTTTATAGTGCCCATAACTTCCTTTTCCTTGTTCATTCTCTCCAGCACTGACTCATTTAATACCCGGTCCACCCATGAGCGTAGCATCTTAAGAGTCTGATTTTAATGGTCAGGTCTAGATTGTGGCTTTTTAAAAAGCTTTGACATTTTGATAAAGGCTTGGCCTTTATCAAAATGTCACTGCACTTGATCTCACTTAATTTCTTGAGAGTGATCCCATTGTTCATTAATTGTCGTTCTGAGATTAGTGAACTTAGGAACCCGTTCGACTGATCTCTCTCTAATGAACAGTTGAACTTGGTTTTACTAATATTCATGCTTAGGCCGTATTTGTCACTGGCGTCGTTTATCCTCTTCATTAACTCTTGCAAGCCATTCAAGCTGGCTGTTGTTAATACGTTCTCCGTTCAGTAGAATTCAATTGTCGATATTTTCCAAGGCTGTAATGAATATTTCCTCCGAGAACAAGTGGAAGATCAAAGGAGAAAGAGTACATCCCTATCTAACGCCACGTTGTATAGCAGTGGCATTGACTTGCTTATCTGTATCAGACTTTATGAGGGCTGTTTGGTTCAAGTTTCCTATGATTCTAATATACTTGCATCATCCGCTCGTGTTGTACCTTATCAAACGTCACAGTTCACAATACGGCATCGCTCGAACAGCACTTGCAGATTAAACAAAGCATCTCTTGTACCAACTCCTTTTTTAAAGCCAAACTGCACCTTTTCTTCGCATATCCTGTATATTCTTCGGTGAATTATCTTAAGAAATAGTTCCCACACGAATTCAGTGATAAGCCATTCTCTTGGAATGTTTCCTGTGTCATAGATATCGTTAAAAATGTTCGTTAGTAGTTATACAGATTTGTCATCAAGAAGTTTGAAAAATTTTGATTGTATTCCGTCTGGCCCTGGAGCTTTTCCTTGTTTCAAGGACTTAATGGCGGCCCAGCTTCTGCTTGGGAGGTTGGGGAGTCTCCTCTTCTATAGTGGAATGAATGTTTCTTTAATGTCTGTGATTTAGCAGGATGTGATCGATCTGATTTCTTATGATGACGTCCTTTCCGTTATCTCTGGACGATTTTCACGTATATATTCGTCTCGGTGGTAGTTTATAGAATGTGTTTAGTATAACTAGGTTGTGTTCGGCTGCTCCAAGTCCGTAAGGCCCAATGTGTCCGCCCGGTCTTCCTCTGCCTACTTCAGCGTTAAAGTATCGCATTAGTATTAGGAGTTCATGTTTCGGCAATTTTCTTATCAGGTCGTGAGTCTTCGCATAACATAAGCAGATGAAAGATCAACCCAATTAGATTATAGTTATGACAATATTTTAAGGGTTCATAAGGATTGATTGATTATTTTTTCTCTCTCTTTTTTTTATATTTAGTAATAGTGAGAAGTGGGGTAAGGTGGGGCATAGAAAGGGAGAATATTTAGTTGATTTTTCATTAACTAATCACAAACGAATAGCAAAACATAAAAAAAAATGTAAAAATAGAAATTTATCCCAATTTCGGCATTAAATTAAAACGAAAATTTGTCAGATTTTCATAGTTATTTTTAAATAATTAAATTAAATTAAATAACTGCGTAGATCTAAACATTTTTTGTTCTAGTTTAATCGTGTTAAATGAATTTTCATCAAGTAAAGGCCACCAGAATCCAAGCAATATCGCCATCGCATTTAACCCAATCTTCGGCTGGAGGCTCGGTGTAAATTTCAGATTGTTTTAGGGCTTCTTTGATAGTTTGTTTTCCGGCTTTGAAAACGTTTCTTTTCTCTCAGATTTTCTTTATTGGGAGTTGAAGTCAGTTGCTTCTTTCTCTTTGCTTTCAGGACCGTACAAACCTTATTTTACGGCACAGTGTCATTATAACGATCATAGATAAAATGGTATACTACGCAATAAGTGCGGTAAACGGCATTTAACATAAAGAGTTTACCAAACGTGTCGCATATTATACTTTTTCTGTGGGAAACTTAGTACCACGTAATATTTAAAGTGTCTGATATATTGCATAACATTTTTCTGTATATTTTGGGTACATTTTTGCGAAACAACACCAATACATTCACTGACATCAGAATTGACAAACGTCAACATTTAAACCGAGCGGTAAAATCCCGGAAATGTCCGAAGTGGCTCGGATCCGTGGGAAACGAAACTGACGCATTAAAGTGACGCTTCCCGCACGCTAGACCGGTGGGTAATTAGGTATTTTACAGACGGGAGTAGAAAAACAAAATTTCAACTATTCAATTCGAACGTAGTTTTAAAGATTAAAACAGGAAACTCCGATAATATGGGTTTACCCTTTGGCAATATCCAAGCGTTTAAAGTTGGCGTCCGACTGCTTTACTTAAAATGCAAGTTCTTATCGGGCTCTCTTCGTATCATCAAATCCAGAATGAGCCGATTAAAGGTTCAAATGTTTGTTTACCGTCACCAGCGAAGAAAAAATTCGCGAATACTCTGTGCACCAATGAAATTCGCTGTCAGAACGCGGCAATTTTAAGAAGCTCCGCGTCAAGGCCGATATCGAACGATTTTGTTCTCGGAAAGTCTTCAGATTTTGCGGATATTTATTGGTTCCACCGACACTATTCATGAGACTAATTGTCAGAGTGATTATACTAAATGCCTATGTAATTACCCACTTCAGAGATTTCGATAATGATCAATCAGTATCCCAATTGGTCAGAACTGATAGTTAGGGTAGAAACGAATAGATCTTTTATAAAATACTCTACGCGTAAGATTAATTTCTCGTCACAATTGTACTGGTAGAAATTGTTGTGCAATACGTGTGTAATTGTGCATAAAATGCAAGATTAAGCGTAGTATTAGTACCGTTAATTTTTTTTTAAGATGATTCTTTAGTGTAGATTTGTGTTTGTAAAAATTTAATTATCTCCGCTACTAATATGGTTACAGAAATGTTTAAATTGAAAATTAGAATATACACAAACAGGACAAGAACGGTCACGCCCTGTCGCGTACGTCAGTATATATGCGAAATGGGGGCGGAGCTTGGAGTGCTGTTTATGACGCCGGCCCGTTATAGGGAGAAGACTGGCACAATCACATTGCTAGTCGACAAATCACTCAATAGCCTTGGTAGTGACGAATTATTTTGTTTTAACGCGATATTTATTTATGGAACTAATTGGGAAAAGAACAGTTTTTTTCTTTTTCTTTTTAAATCTGGTTGCCCCTTAGTTGTTACAGAAACCAGTCTTGTCAAATTTCATTTCAACAAGTTTTGAAAAGCTTCACTTTAAATCTCAAAATTTGAAAAAACTTTATTCGTGTAATTTCGCCTTAACCAACGAGGTGTGTTCAAAAAGTAAGGTGACTTTTAAGTTTTAACACTTTCTGGAATAGCCTTGATTTCTTCTAGCTATATTTTCTTTATCTCCTCAAAGCTCTTTTCTTTCATGGTTTCATGGTTCATAGTTAGAGACATGCAACGATAAATTTTTTCGTATTGCTTCTCGCAAAAGGCTTATAACCTCAACTGCTTTATTCCTTTACTCAATACTCTTTATTGACCGTACGACCTTGTGGTAAGAACTTCTCGATGTATTACGCCACAGTAATAAAGCAAAACGTGCTCTTTTCGGTCTTGGCGATCCTGGTTTCTTCCATAGGACTGACTGGGTTTTGGTTTCGACCTCATAACCATATACCTATGATTCGTCACCAGTTTATGACCTTTTTACAAAACTTCTGGTTTTTGCCGAGTCGAACTTGCTGACGCTCTGAAGAAGCCAACAGAATGATGGTCGGCCATCAAACATTTATTTTTATTTTTGCTCAAAGTAGACTCACCATATGCCGTTGTCAACATTTCAAGCGTTTTACAACACTCTATTCCATCTTTTTACACAAAATTTTATGCAAATACTTCGTACCATTTTTTTTTTGACAGCAGAGAATCGTCGAGCACACAAAACACACAAAAAATTAAACCTGCAAACTGGCTGAAACTGTGAACATATATCACAAGAAATCTATGAAGCCCGCATAATTACAAGAGTCGCCTTACTTTTTGAACGCACCTCGTATATTATTTTGATTAGTAAACACTTATTTCGGAGATAGCTGCGGTAGGAATAATAGTGAAATTACGAACAGCACAAACTAAAATACATTCAATTATTTTAGCATATATGATTGTACATAGTATTGGATTTTAAGTGTATCGGTTAACAGTTGCTTTTTGTCGCGAGAAACATGAAAATACTATTAAAAACTAGCTAAACTAAAAATATTTATAATTAATTGTTAGAATTTTACATTGTACATTGTGTACTAACCAAAACTACCAATAGCCTTGTTACGTAAAATTGGACAGTTGGACCACTGTATAACTCTTCGCTATTTACGAACAGTCCTTCGATAAATTTTTTTTCGGTCACAGACCAACAGTTAAAAAGTTATTTCGAATATTTATTCTCAACTTCCAATATAGGGCTTTGACCTATAACAAAAAAAAAACGGCTTCCCCCGCGGACCATCCGACCTTCATACTGGCGTTAACAGGAAATCGCAGCGGGGCCGACAATGACTATACCTTTAAAACACTCACTAGACTCTAAATCCGATTCCATAATTTTTGGGGACGGTTGCAAGGGATTCTGTCTGTAGCGGTTAACCGCCATGTGCAATGCTCACGACAGAATCACCACTGTATAAACTCGATGTCGAAACTGACATCTGTCCATTAATTTGACGCGTCAGTGTTGCCACCCTAAACCAGAAAACCATTTTAACCCGTATAAATCTTTCTCACGAAAAGCAACTATTAGCAGCGGTAATTATTTTTATTGATTTTTCTGGCTGTGTGATTGAGTTTACGCGCATTCCTGTTGTATTTAAGCTTTAAGCAATTTTGTATAGTTTGTAAGGCGTATGAAACCATTAATTTCGATCGTACAATAAGATTTCAAATCTTTAAGTTGAAGATTGAACAATATATTTCTTAAAACTACAGTTTGTTTTATTAGCGTTTGCAAGTAAATTGTTCGTACTGTTTCACACTATCCCAGGACACGGTCGGCTGGGTATTTTCGGTAGCTTCCAGAAAGTCGGCGAAAGTTGATGGTCTGGCTCGCACCGAACAACGGGGTAAATCTTCTAAATTGACTATATGTACGTTGGCATATATATCGTCGTCTGACACGTTGCTATCAAAGGCAAACGGTGTATAATATGCATCATCTGTATACTCCCATATTCTGGTATACTGTAACTCGGCTATGGGTATGTCCAAGGCGTTTTGAACCAAGGTTGCGATGTCGGATCCAGAAAATCCTTCAGTCTTTTGGACGAGCTGCTCTAGTTCGTTAGCATCAAGTACAGGCGTACCTCGCATAAATAACGTGAACAGTTGGGCCCTTTCTTGCGGTCCGGGCAGAGGTACATAGATTCGTTTTTGAAAGCGTCTTAATATAGCAGTGTCTAATTCCCATGGACAGTTGGTGACCGCTATTATAACCATATTTTTACAGTCTTCTACTCTGCTAATTTGGCACATCAATTCGGTTTTAATTCTAAAATGTATGTTAAAATACTTAGTCAAATGCAAATCCGATAACCGCCTAATACCTTCTAGTATATTCATGCTCCGAACTGGTCCTTTTTCTGCATAGACTGTCAATTTCATCCATAAAAAGTATTTTCAATTGGTCAGAATCATTTAAACTGTGAAATAAGTTATGTATATTCCTGAAATAAATAAATTATGTTAAATTCATACTATTTACAAAATTTCAACAACTGATGCAGGAAGAATCCAGAAATTTTGTAAATAGTAATACAGGGGCCTGTGAAAGTTTCTTTGAAAAAAAAACTGTAAAATTAATATAAGTTTAAAATAAATATATTAATTTGTTTGTACTGCAAAATAATTTTAAATTATTCACGGATAATACTCACTTTTCAGTCGCCCCAACATAAGAGGACATAACATCACTAATAGAAAGTGTGTGCAACACAGCTTCAGATTGTGCTGCCAACGCGTGTATCAATCTAGTTTTACCAGTGCCGGGAGGGCCAAAAAGCAAGAAACTGTTGCTGATTGATCGATTGGTAAAAAGCTGCGGCTGACTTCTAGGAAGCGTTATAAGTGCATATAATGTTTTCTTAATACCCGTCATACCAGCAATTTCATCCAATCCTTTTACTTTTGGTTGTTCTATGGTATTTTGCATGTTTGCGAGCTTGGCATTAGTTTTGTCGTTTTTGGAGGACCTTCGAATCTGAAAGGGTAGACTGTTCTCCACAACGTTTTTTAGTTGATCCACAAAATCATAAATGTACTTCAACAAAAACTTTAACTTTTCAATTATGGTATCAATTCTTTCAATTTTATCGTCCATGCTTACATCCATTATCTATATATTGTTTGGGTTGCGACACTAGTATATGATAGGATAGTATCGACAATTCAAAACTGTCCCAGAATTTTTAGTATTAGTTTATCGCGTTTAAAGATTTGAACGATCAAAGTAGTTCCACTTACCAATCGTGTTTAAATTCCCAGAGCGTATATTACCCAGGCTCGCCAATGTTGTAGACTGACCTCGCACAGATCCACATAAGATTAACCACGGTAACGTTTTAACTTGCGTTAGCGTATCGCTACGTGGTCTGTGACCGTCCCGCAGCGTGTTAACCAGATCTCCGTCTCTTTCTTACTCCCATTCTGTGACCAGCGTCTGTCAAAGCTGTCACATCGTGTTCATAATTTTTATTTCGTAGAGTAATGTTTTAAATGTGTGCTGTTAAAAATTTGGTTTTGTTATTTGTTAATTAAAATTATAATTAAAAGAGGAGTCGCGGAATAGTGAATCGCGCAAGGGTTGAAGTTTAAAGAATTCGTATCGGTAAGTAGATGTGCATTTTAAGGTTTATGTTAGATTATAAATGAATCATGTTTTTTATATGTAATGTTTTTTGCTTTAAATTTAGCCTTAGCGCACCTTTTTTCATCAAATAGAACGCATCTCTTTTTGTAAACGCGCGTTTGATACGGAGACTTAAAAAATTCTCATCAGCACTTTTACTAGTACCGTAATGGTATAAAGTAATTGTGTAGCTGCTTACCGTTTCAAAAAACGGTATTCCCAGACGTGATGAAATCTTAAAAACGTTTAGAATATTCTTTATTCTATATAATTACATCGATGTTATCGTATTGCTACTACGTTCGCATCCGTTAATTGTGTTAAATAGGTTTGTCGGTTGCCGCAATTATTGGGGCCCAGGTCACAACGGTCCTACAAATACATACGGTAATCCTAATTTTTATGCATATTTAAAGGATGCGGCATTTTTGGGTAACGTTTGAAATCGCCATTTGGCAATAACACGAAGTTAAGACGCCGACACCTACGTAAAAATCGCGACAAGTGGTTCATGTAGCGACATTTACACTTTATGATAGTATAATTTGCCGGTATCGGTTTTCCATTCGTTCTTTGCAGTTATCTTGGCTTTTAGTTCTCCATTCATCATAATCGAATAATCAAAATGGCCATTAGACCGGACGATGTATCTCGCAGCGTGTTATATTTGTTAATAATATATTTATTATCGGTTTTTAAGTCCATGCCATTTAATTCATTGCCTGCAGTAGCGGTCTCGACGGCAATCTGTTCAAAAGTCGGGTTTCTAAAAATAAATTTAGAATTGTGAAACTGTTTCCTTAATTTTATAAAGTGAAACTTTTTTTTATTTGCCGCTTAAACGAGAAGTAAACATTTAAAAGTAATTATTTCTTGTGCCCGAGAATCGTGCCCCCGTCATTTTACGACGTGTGCATCCTAGATCATTGGCGTATCGGACGAAACTTTAAACTATCGTTTCGATGACTACGATAAATTAAAATAAAAAAAATTGAAATCCTTTGGTAGCTTCAATTTCAATTTTTAATTTGTTATTTTGATTGGAATCGTTTCTCTTGAGGCAGTAAAGTAAAATAAATAAATAAGTCTTCGTATTATTGCGACTTCAGGTCGACGTCAAGTGGAAATGTGGCGATTGTTATACAACGCTTTTTTATTCAATCTTTCATTGGTTTTTATGTAATTAATTTTTTTTATTTTATTTTAAATTCGACGTATTCTGTGAAAATTGACAATATGTCAATCTATCTGTAATAGACAAATTAAACTAAAAAAATGCCAATATGTGATTGTTCAATATTTTAAGTTATTTGTAGATTGTCCTCTAGAGAATCACATTTGGTTAGTTTAGTTAGTTAGAATTTTATTTGGTTAGTTTTGGTTGCTTTAGTCAGAGTATTCAAACCAAATTCTTTACTAAACATCTTAAACATGTCCTTTTCTATAAGTAAAAATAAAGTTATAAAGGTGAACAATTTAATATACCAAGAGTTGTTTTTTAAAAGCAAAGTTTTTGTGTTTATTTCATTCAGGGTTGGGCTGATTTTAACGAAGTGATTTAAATCATGATTTTTTTAATCTCCTATTTTTTGAAATCTATTTTTTATTCAGACAAACCCTAAAAGCACAATGTAAAAATATTATCACAAATAAAAAGTAAAAGAAAATTCTTTAAAAAATAAAAAAGACAAATAACAATATACACTATGCTTCTGCATTTTCGTTGTATAGTTTGAACAAAAATACTAATCTATCCTCTTCGCCATATCTGAGTCTACAAAAGCAAAGTGGCCAAAGTTCTTTCTACTGATACAGAGGACACGCAGGAACTGTTTTATAATTGATAGCTGCTTCGCAATTTCTTGCTCATGCTTTTGTGATGTCAACCACTGTATTCCATTTACGTTTTTTATTATTTCGTCCGAAGACATATTTTTTAAACGGGCAACAATATAAATTATTAATTTTTTCTATAGCAATATTCTTGCTTTTGAGTGTTCAACATTAGGCTAGAAAATGATATGGCGGGATTGCCTGTTTATATCGATCCAGATTTTTTTTTTATTTTTGATAAGTGCAACTGATATTGGTTTTAAAATGCTTAACTATCCTTCTGCTGCACGTTTAAGCCCAAATATTTGACACCTTCGCTCTAGCTGCTCAACAATCTGGACTACGTGTTCATTGACATGTGGTGTTTGTAAGTCTTTGAATGGTAAATTCAAAATAAGTGCACGGCAGCCATGAGTTATAACTTTTGAGTCATTTTTTTCTTCCAAAGTTTTTCTCAAATTGTGAAGCGTGAGATTTTCTGGAAGTATCAATAGTTGCACATATAACTGGCTCATTGTAGACCCGTCAATGACATATTCACACATTGTCCTCACAGAGAAGGCAAACATGTTGCCTTTTCCTCCTATGTAAAAGGCTTGTTATTTTCGAAAAATCGAATTTTTAGAAAGTATCTACGCTCGTATAAAAATTTTATATCTCGGTAACGGTAGGTCCTACGGGATCGACATTGGTACAGAAATGATTAGCGTCGAAAAAAAATTTTTTTTTTGTCTATCCGTTCTCCGTTCTCGTCTTTTGGTTCTTCCTGAATAACTTTCGAACCGTTGAAGCTAGAAAAACTTATTTGAATTGGTCTTGATCTGACGTCGGTATCCATCTTTTTTTCGCGATTTTCGACTGCTTTTTGGACATTGCTATGAAACACGACAAGTGTCCGAAATTTGAAGCAACAATTTGAACCTACTGAAAATGGCGGTAGGGGGGCTGGGGGTCGACAAGTATTCTAAAAAAATTAAAAATCGCGTGTCAAGGATCTACAAAAAATATCATTTTTCAGAAACCGTTTACGAGACCAAAAAAAAATCTTGAACCAGATGACGCAGAAGATACGGTCCCATAAACTTTTATTCGTGATAATTTTTCAAAAATATATAGCGTGCGCCGCAAATTCAATAAAAAAATTTTTAGCAGAGGAGTAAAAGTCCATGTCCACATTTAAACGGTAGAAATTGGGTGCAATCAAAATCAAGGATTTTTTAAAAATTTTTGATTTTTTTTCGTTAGTTTTAGCTTTCAGAAAAATATGTTTTCCAGCAGACGCGGAAGATCCAGTTCAAGGCTTTCATCAGTTCAGGCTTTTTTTCGATTATATTCAGGGTTTTCAAATTATAGGCAAAAATCTAAAAGATCTAGAAAATTGTTCTTTTACAGCGTAAATTATTATCCGGAAATCAAAAATCGTAAAAAATATGGCTTTGTATTTTCGGTTTTCGTCTATCACATACGGTGCTCGAGATATTTGAAAAAAATCCATATTGGAATCGCTGTTTCGCGGGCTGTCAAGACGCGATGACGTCATTGATTATTATGGCGCAATGTTCGGTTTCAGAAAAAAAATATTTTCTTGAAATCATTTACTATTTGCAAAAAACTCTTGGAAGATCCAGGGCTATAACCTCTACTTCGAACATTGTTTGAATCATATACAGGGTGTGTCGTTTATGGCCAAAAAATCTAAGAGATCCTAAAAAAAAAGAGTTTTTCTCGTAATAAGCGATTATGTTAATGCCTTTATCGATATGTATAAAAGCACACCATTGTTTCAATAAGTTCTAATTTGACTTAGTGAATACGGCGAGCATGACGAGTAAGCAAAAAATTTTATCTCTAGATGATAAAGTTGCTTTAATTCGGGAAATATACCAGAGCTTAATAAAAAGTCTGAAGAGTCGATACAGGAACAACATTTTAATGGAAATAATCGAGTCCGAAGATAAATTTTCCATTAGTATGCTAAATGCAGTCAAATTTATTAGTAAAGCTTGGAAAGAGGTGACAGCAGAAACATTTCCTATCGTCATTCAGGACTTATTACCGAGACAGAATGCGAACAGGACTTGGAAGATGATCAGCCACTAGGCGAGTGGATAAAGCAGTTTCAAACAACAATTACTTTTACAAGTGAGGAGTTGCAAGATTTTATGGTGATAGTTCAGGATTTGCCTACAACAGCAGACTTGACAGAGGAAGCCATATTACAACAAGCAAGAGAGGGCGAGGAAGAGCACCAAGAGGAAGAAGAAAATGAAGAAGTTGGTCTGGGACCACCACCAACCATTCAACAAGTCCTATATTCAGTGCGTATTGACATACTAGAGAAATTCAAAAGAAAATGACCGATTATTTGAAAAATTAAATGTAGTAGTAAGTAGATGTTAAATATTGTATATAAAATAATTAAATATTACAGAACACATATGCCTATTATTATAATTCTTTATAACAATAGAAAGAACCTTCAATTTCGCTATATAGAGTTTCGACGTACTTTGTAATTGCTGCAAACAAAACACAGGAAATACGTATTCTTATGAAATTTAAGAAGATCAATTAAAGCAAAAAATCCATGATTTAAAAAAATCAATGATTTTTTAAATAAAAATTCCAACGATTCCAATACTGTGATACTGAGTGTAACTTGAAGTATTTGAAAAAGAAAGGTTTTAGTAGGTGTTTAAATAGCGTTTTTTTTTATATGTATTTTTAATTTATTGGTTATTTTTCAAGATCTGTCACATTCGTAGAAATTATTTGGAAATACCATTAAGTCTGTGTGAAATCTGCGAAATCCCATGGTTGCGTGAAATCTGGTGTACCAGTTTGAGATGGTGATTTGTTTGTCCCTCGAAATCAATATACTAGAACCAAGGACGTAATATTGATCCAACATTTAAAACGCTCGGTGGAGCGAATTTCGTAACATTTACGTTTTTGAGTTCGCCTCATTATGTTAAAAATACTACAATTGCGTTTTCACGAAGCTTTTCGGAAAACTCTCCTCTAATTTCCGGGGTAAATTTTAATATTTTGTACCGTGCGTTCAATTTATCTCGATAACATTTTAACTGGCTGTAACTTTTTCGTTTTTAGCGATATCGAGGTAAACAAAAAAAAAGTTTTTTTCCATGTGGCGTATAAAGCAAAACACTATCAATTTTCTCACATATAAGACTACATCATATTTTTTTAAATGGAACGCTCTGTATAGTTTAAATGTGTTTTTTTTTTTGACGAATCGGCAAAAGTAGGAAATTTTTATATAATTTCAAAGAGTGCCCTGACTAACAAATAAAAATATGTTTATGTTTGCTTCAAGAATACTTTCTGAATGAAGTGAAAATTGAACTGAGGTGGTTTTTACTTGATGAAAATCCATTTAACAAAGTAAATAAGAACTAAAAGTTCAGATTTTAACGAAATTATATATTTTTACATGATAATTGTTTCAACAACAACGTGTCTTCATCAAATGTAATATTTACAAACTACCTGCCACTATATATACCGAAAAAATGACAATAAAATTTTAATTAATGTTGTTATGAGAATTTAAGTTCAATAAAGGAGAGGTATTTAAATCTAATTGATCGTTAAGCAATACATTTGAATGTCTCAATAAATTTAATTTTCTACTTTTTGTGGCTGTATGTGAAATATCAAAATTGTCGTCAAAAATGTGTTTTTCCGTGTTTAAATGTATGTCATAATTAGAATCTAGACTATTGCTTTTAAACGCTCTTTTATGTTCGTTAATGCGTTTCTTGAAGAATCTATCTGTTTGTCCAATATAAATTTTAGAACCGCATTTCAACCTGTAGACACCTGATTTTTGAGATTTTGAACATTTCGTTTTATTGTTTTTTAAAAATTTTCCTATTGTGTTGTTAGTTCTGAAACCTATTTTGAAACCACATTTTGACAAATGTTGTTCACTGGGTCCTCCTATGTATGTAATTGTTTCGAATTGTTCGTGTTCTGTATTACGTTTCAGATAAATAGGGGTTTCTGTTGTCTGGATTTGTTTTTTATTTATAATTTTATCGGTAATGGACGGATTGTAGCAATTGTTCAGTACAATTTGTTTAATGAGATTAAGTTGTTTGTTGTAATTGTCTGTTGAGCGTGGGGTATTAAGAAGTCTGTCTATAAAAGAGTGAAATGCAGCCATTTTGTGTGTATAAGAGTGATTTCAGCTGAGTCGTGTGTGAAGGTTTATGGTAAATGGAAGAATCTAATTTGTTTAATAGTTAAGTCTAAAAAATTAACAGAGTTATACTGTTCAATCTCGATAGTGAATTTTATACGATTATGTAATGAGTTAATGTAATTTAAAAAAGAATGCAATTGTCTGTCCGTTCCAACAAAGCAAGTAAACACATCATCCACGTATCTATACCACCATAGAAAACTTTTACCTAAAGGATGTTCTAGTATGATATTTTCTAATTATCCGTAAAAATCTCGACTAACAAAGGACTAAGTGGGTTTCCCATAATCAAACCTTCCGTAAATCTGTCCATGAAATTCAAAATAATTTTGGTCTAAAGATACTATTAAGCAATCTAATAAATCTTGTTTCCGAGTTAGGGTGAAATCTACTAAATTTATCACATCCATAGGCGGAATACTGGGAAATAAGTTTTGTACATCAAAAGACAATAGTGTTGCGTTAGAGGGGATTTTGATATCTTTAATTTTGTTAATTAATTCAAAAGAATTTTTTATTGCAAATTTTGGTTCAAAATCTGTTCAAAAACTTTAAAATATTTACTAATTTTGTTGAGAGTTTAACTGCTGGAGCCGTTACATAAGACACAGACATATCTTTTTTATGTAATTTAACTAAAGAATATATTGGGTTGTTCGGAAAGTCATTTCGTTTTTTTTGGGGAACATGAAAGACAGTTTTCGTATAATGAATAAATATTTTATTAAATTATATATTGGCCATTCTGGTCCAACACCTTTTGCCATCTTTCTGGCAGTAACATAATTCCCCTCTCATAAAAGTTTTGGTCCTTGCTGGCAAAAAATTGGTTCAGGTGGTTTTTGACATCTTCATTTGAGGTAAAGGTTTTGCCATCCAAAAAATTTTGCAGGGACCGGAACAAATAGTAGTCAGAAGGCGCCAGATTTGGAGAATATGGTGGATGTTGCAGTACGTCCCATTCAAGCTGTAAAAGTTTTTGGCGAGTGACCAAACTTGTGTGAGGTCTCGCATTATCCTGGTGGAACACAACACCCTTCCTGTTGATTAATTCGGGCCTCTTCTCTTTAAGTGAATCATTCAATTTGTGCAGTTGATGACAATAGACTTCTGAATTAATCGTTGTATTGTCCGGCAAAAGCTCAAAAAAAAACGATTCCTTTGACATCCCACCAAACGGAGAGCATCACCTTTTTTTGGTGAATGTTGGTTTTTGATACGCTTTGAGCCGGTTCATCTTTTCTGCTCCATGACCTCTTGCGTTTAACATTGTTGTATACAACCCATTTTTCGTCCTCAGTAATAATCCTCTTCAAAAATGGATCATTTTCTTGACGTTTGAGGAGCGAATCACACACGTCAACGCGACGACACAAATTTCGCTCCGTAAGGACATGGGGCACCCACACATCGAGCTTCGAGGTTAAGCCCATACCTTTCAAATGGCCATAAACAGTCGAATTCGACAAATTTAATCTCTCACCGATCTCTCGTGTGGTTATTCGCCGATTTGCATCAACTAATGCCTTTATCGCATCTTTGTCAGCTTCGACCGGCCTTCCAGACCGTGGTGCATCTTCGACATCAAAATTGCCGGATCGAAATTTTGCAAACCAGTTCTGGCACTGGCGTACTGTTAACACGCCTTCTCCATACACATCCGTCAATTTTTTTCTCGCTTGGACAGCATTTTTACCTTTTCTGAAGTAAAAAAGTAAAGTATGACGAAAATGCTGCTTATTGCTCTCCATATTTAAAAGGGCACCAACCAAAAACTACTGCGTAGAATTAATAGAACTTTTTCACACACAAGCCTTGCAATATCAGCTCTCAAGACATATAATGGTTATGCGGCTTAAGTGTGAAGTTGGTTTCGAAAAAACGTAATTAAGTCCTCTGACGGGAAAAAACGAAATGACTTTCCGAACAACCTTATAATTTCGTGTGGATTCATAATTATTAAAAAATACTTGTCTTTGTCAGTAAACAGTGTGGAAAAGATCTAGCTTAAGAAAATTGTTAGTTTTTGAAATATATTCTGGGAGATCGATAGCTATGACTGTCTTCCCTTGATCTGCACGTGTAAATATTATGTTATTTTCGGAAGCTTTGTTTTTGATAGTTTTTACTAGCGACATTTGGTGTTGTCGAAACAATTGTGAAAATATATAATTTCGTGAAAATCTGAACTTTCAGTTCTTATTTATTTTGTAACGTATTAAATGCTAAAAAGGTATGCCGGAATCATAATGTTTTAAATGATGAAAGTAAGGCACAGCCAGAGTCCTCTATTACTAGAGAATATGAAGAGACAGGTATTTCTCTGGCATCAATCCACTCAGTGTAGTGCATTTAAATTTCGTAAAATTCAAAAACTAAGTACAGAACAATGACAAAGGAGGACGCAGTTTTGTTTGGATATTTTAAATAGACATAATGAGAATAATAAATTTTTGAAAAACGTTTTATGTACTGATGAAAGTTCGTTATTGGTCTTTAAATAATCCTAGACAAGTACACTTAATGAAAACTCATTGGCACCAATAAATTAATGTATGGTGCGGTGTCAAAAATGGACATATTTTGAGTCCGATATTTATGGATCAAAAGTTAACTGGAGATCATTATTTGCAACCCTTAGGGCACCATATAGAAGATATACGCCTAAATACATCAGAGCTGATTATATGGCAGCAATGTTGTGCAAGTTAAGAATTTTCTCAATATAGAATATCCAATTGGTTGGATAGGGAACGGCGGAACTACACATTGGCCAGCCAACAGGCCCGACTTAACTTTAATGAATTTTTTCTTTTGGGGACACATAAAAAATCACGTGCACAGAACTCCAGTTAAGAGACAATCCGGAAACGTTACTAATTGCATACAATTAGAGTGTTTGAAATATGTGTTCAGGAAAATAGTGCTCACATAGAGGAATCGTTAAAGAATTTTTTATTTTAGTGTGTCTTGCCATTTTTAGTGTTTTTGTTCGACTTCAATTTGTAAATAATTGTTGTTGGTATAGTCAGTCAAGGCACTCTTTGATATTATATAAAAATTTGATGTTTTGTGGAGTAAAATGTAAAGTGTGTTACATTTGATAGTGTTTCGTTTTATACGTCACTTGGAAAAAAACTTTGCTACTAACCCATAGACTTTGTTTTTTTGTTTACCTTCATATCTCTAAAAACAAAAAGTTACACCCAATTAAAATGTTATCAAGATAAATTGAACGCACGGGTGTACTGAGTGTGTCGATTATGAGCAAAAAAACAAACCAAAAGATCCTGAAAATTGCCGTTTATGTAAAAAAAAAAGTATAGTCAAAGTCGGAAGTTTTTTTTTTCAAATTTTCGTAGGTTTTAGATTGAAACTCTCCGCCGCTGCTCCCCGTGTCATCGTCTAGTAGAGAAACGAATTTTTGGCCACCGCAGCTAAGTCTGCTTATAGGGTGGCTAAAAATAAACCGAAAGGGAATTCCGAAAGTCCGACGCGTTCCGAATAGGTCGGCATTAAATCGCGGACTCGTGAGGTGACGTTTCTCTCGTGGTTCTCTTTGTACAAAATCGGCCCTGATATGGGCAAAAGCCGACGACTGAACAAACTCATATCGAAATGGATAAAGAGGTTCGGATTGTGTGCGTTTGATGTGTGCTATTTACATTTTTAAAATATTCCTTGCGTGTGTATGTGTGTGATTTTTTTAAATACATTTAAATTATCTTTAACACACATCACTAATTCGCTAAATAAATTTTGTATTTTGTCACAATTTACGAGGGTACACTAAAAGTAAGTACATTTATCTTAATCCAAAAGAGTAAAGAAAACTATTTCTAAGCCCAAATAAAATCAACAAAGAATATAGAAATAAATTTAATTTAATCCGAGCGAAACCCTGTTATTGCTTGATTGAAAGGAGGCGTTCTAGTCATTACCGCCATAGCGTTAAAGGATAATCTTTCCAACAGTTTTGGACAGAATACTCTGTTACTAACAATATCGTGCAAAAAAATGCCACCGTATATTATTCGTCTAACGGATAATTTCAACATATGATAGCCTTTTTTTGGATGCTTTGCCTTCTTTTAAATATATGTCTTAGTAGGCTGCGAAAAAAAAAATGAAGTCTTGCTTCAAATAGTTTTTTATTGACCGCATTTTAAACAGGACGTGTCCGAAAAAATATCGCAAATAACGCAAATTGAGTATAGAGCAGTCATAAATATAGTTTTTGACAAAAGAAGTGTTAGCACCTAAAATTATTAAAGAAAGGCTAGATAGTGTGTACGGCCAAACTTCTCCTTCGTATTCTGTAGTGAAAGGATGAGCAAAACGTTTTCGAATGGGTAGGAGTCCCTTGAAGATGATTCGAGAACTGGTCGACCAGTGGAGGTCGTAACGGAAGATATTGTTGCGATCGTGGAAGAGGTAGTGTTGAGTGATCGACGTTTAAAGGTCAAGGAAATCTCAGAAATTAATAAGCTTTCTAATACAAGTGTTCGTCGAATCCTGCGTGATCATTTAGGTATGCGTAAGGTTAGTGCAAGATGGATTCCTAGAAACTTTTCGGCTACTCAAAAACAACGCCGTGTCGAGTGTGCGCGGCCTTTTTTGGAACTCTGTGGGTCGGAACCGAGGCCTGTGATAGAAACTATTGTGACGGGAGATGAAACTATGGTTCTCTATTATGACCCTCTATCGAAAAAAGAATCAATGTTGTGTCGTCGTAAGGGTGAAGGACCTCCAAGAAAATTCAGAGTCTGCCAGTCAACAAAAAAGGTGATGGCCACGATCTTTTGGGATTGTGAAGGAATTCTTTTGATAGATTTTAAAGAAACTAATACCACTGTCAATGGTAAATATTACATAAACTGCTAGCCTGCATACGTGTAAAACGTCGAGGAAAACTGACCAGAGGCGTGCGTCTTTTACACGATAATGCACCTGTCCATACTGCTGCTGTTGCACAAGCTGCCATTTTAGAGTGTGGGTTCCACCAGATAGATCATCCTCCCTATAGTCCAGATATGACCCCCAGCGACTATTATTTGTTTTGATATTTGAAAAAGGACTTACGTGGATGGCGGTTTAACGACGAAGTTGAGTTAAAAGAGGCTGTTTTACCTCGTTTTGCAGACAAACCAAAAGAATATTTTTTTAAAGGGATTGAATTGTTAATAAAAAGATGTAATAAATATATTGAAGTTAAGGAGGATTATATTGAAAAATAATAAAAAAAAAAATTGTTTCTTTCATATTCAGGCCCGGAAATTTTGGCGCTGCCCTCGTACTTAAGATATATGGACTATCACACTAACCCTTGTAATGAAACTGAAAGCCTTCAAACTGGGTCCTACAGCACTAATGTATGGCGAGTTTCTTAAAGAGAACCGTGCACATTAAAGTTTTTAAGTTTTACCAACGTTGTAGGATGATTTACTTTTTCGAATGCCTCGGAGAAATCGGTGTATACATCATACTGTGTACTACTTATATTTTTAAAAAGGCGGCGTTCCGCTTCCCAATAACGTTAATCGTGTTGTTGCTTCAGTGATCGATTCGAGCAAATCATCACCTATTCCTTGCGTTTGTGTGTGTTTTTTTTTATATTTATTCATATTGTTTTTTAATACACGTCACTAGTTCGGTCATTTGTTTTTTGTGTCAGCGTCTAACCAAAACTAAATAGGATTCCCCGAATCGCTAAGTATCGTATTCGGATATTCCTCATAAATTGAACATCACGAACGCATGTAATGCTTTAAAAGTGAGCCAACTCAAAAAAAAAAAAAGAATTTTTGCCGATTTCTTCTGTAAAGTTATAACATTTTTGCAGAAAAAAAAATTAAAAATCCTGCCAGGTTTTTGGGTGTCATTAAAAGATTACTCCGTTTCAAGTTTTGTCTTAAAATTAAATTGTCGTTGGAAAATAATTCAAAAGACTGGGCTGCAGAAAGTGTTTAAAATTTAATGCTCCAAAAGTCAAATTGTTGTAAAGTTAAATGCTTAGGATACGTTATTTATTATTTCAATTGTTTAAACCGTTTAAAACATTTTAAACTTAAAAAAATGAAAAAATATAAAATTATTTTGGGACTTTTCTATAAAAAAAATTATAAGATTTTGTGATTATATTTTTATCGACTAACTCTTGTAATTTTTTTTTGTTTCACAAATAGTAAATTATATTGTATATTATAGCTAACTGAATATCTAATGTTGGTTAAACGTATTATCTTCAAAGAACTTTTTATGGAAAAATAACTTAGATTCATTTTTTTCAGCTCATAGTTTTATTGCCTTTTTTTTTTTTAAATTGCTGCCACCATAAGAAAGGCCATTTTTTTTGGCGATCTGAATTAAACTAACCTATTGTCCTGGGTCAGTTTTGATACATATTTTTATTTGTTATCTGTTATTATCGCTCGATACACTATATTCCGAATTAACGTGACAAACGTCTCTTCTAGCGCCTTCTAGAAGGTTAAGGGACACAAAAAATATTTTATTAGCAAGTTAACTAACTTACCTTAAGGTCCGGTATAAGATTCCCTTCACTGCTATTCTCGGGTTTCGTTAAAAGTTGAGACTTTTTTCCTAAAACGATTTAATAGGGTTTTCTGCCTTAGACAGTTGATCAGAAACTTGCAAAGAGTCAAGAGGTGGTAAATTCTCGTTGTTAACGTTGGTAATATCTAATAATACCATTTCTTCATTAAAATTCTCTATGGCCGTTTTTAGGATCTCGCCTATACGCTTTATAGGACTCCATGGTTTCTAAATGCCTGAAAGCAAACCTCTAACTTAAAAAGAGGATTTTATTAAAATTGCTAAAATTTTGACCCAACTAGACCACAAAAACTGTGTAGAGATTTCTTTAATTTGACGTGTTCAATAATACACAGGCATTTCAAACCCTTTTGCGTGCCACTGACAAAAGCCTTTTTGTTTATTTAATGATTTATGTCAAACAAATCAGTTCGTAAAATTTGAGAAAGAAACAAATATAAAGTGACATAACTTAAAAATTAAAAATATTGTAAATAAAGTTCAAACGATATTTCGTCAAAAGTGAATAATCTTAAATTACTTTTCACTGTTTTTCATAAGAAACTGTAATTTTCGAATTATATTGAATTGAAAGTAAAGGAGCGATATTATTATTAAATAACGATATATAACACTCTACAATTGCAATATGTTATTTAAAACATTTGAATTTGACTAGTCAATTAAGAAGCGCCAATCTTCTTATGTCATTTATTTGAAGACGGTTCCATAGGTTTCCTTAACTTTTCGAAATTAACATGGACCGAAACGATTAACTGGGACACCCTGTATATTATTTCGCAGAAAGATTGTTTTTAAAAATATTGCCTTTGCTTAACTTACCCGCACTGTATACTCAGTGTTACTTGGACTAGAAAAGTTTGTTTTTTATTAATAACACAGGTCTACAAAATTAAACTTTCTGACATATGTTTTTATTTTCAAAACTGATTTTATATAATTTTGATAGGCTGATTTCAAAAATTTTATGCAAAGCTGCAAAAAAAATCACATTTAATTTCATAAAAATAAATTTAAAAAAAAATGACACGATACATCAAAAATATGGCGTTTTTTGGAAAATAAGCAAAATCACAGTAGGCCTGTGTAATTTATAATAGATACACAATTAAGAAATGTGAGTTAAATAACCAGTGATCCCACACCAAACCTTAGTTTCAAGTCTAGTCTGTACAGGGTGGTCGTAATTAGAGTGTTTTAACAGGAAAACTAGGTAGAGCAAAACCGACTTACGTGTGCTCGATTTTTGAAAAAAATCTAACCACCAACCGAGGTATAGTAGGGCCTTCTTCGTTTTTCCGCCCTTTTGAAAATTGCTCATACCTTTTGTTATACGGAAAAAACATATTTTTTCAACGTTCTTATCTTATATGGCAATCATAGCTGGCTATGGTCTTAAAAAAATGCCCCCCCAGTCCGCTATTTAGAATTGTTGGTGTCTGTGATGAAAAAAGGCGGAAATATAGATAATTTTTTGTTTATGTATTACTAGGCCGTGCAGATATCTGTCAGATTCAGTTAAGAATATCACTTTTATTCTTTCCAAGTAGTACAAACTTTTAATATAACTTTTTTATTTTAAAAAGAACTGGCAACTTTTAATATGGCGCATATAAACATGGAAAAAGCGGAAGTTTTTAAAACCATTGTATCCCTATAGATGCTATATAATCACCGTCCATGATAATTATATAAGAATCTTTACCATTTTATGAAAACGTTAAAGTTTTTTGTTTGACAATACTCTAAAATTATTTTATAAGTATCGTTTCAAAAGGTTAGCTTATGAGATATATTTAAAAGCAAGATATGTCTGTTTTACAGCCCTTTTGGAAATAAAAACTACTACTACCATAATGACGTAATTTTATTAGCAGCAGAGCAAGTGTTTAATAAAATAATGATTGTCAGAACCGTGAATTTGCACTTCTGGCCTTTCCTATTTAACAACTAACCAGTTCCCTTTGGTTAATTTATGAAAAAATTGAGGTTATATTTGTGTTGCCCGCCTTTTTTTAAGTACTTTTTTTTTTAAAAAGGATCAACATCAATTAACAGTAATTACAGTCAACTTTTCGAAAATTTAAGAAAAATACGTCAACTTTAGTAATAAGGGGTAATTATGGGATAAATAGGACGGGGAAATGAATCTTACTATCCGACATAAAAGAACAATTGAAGTTTTAACAATACCTTGCAGATATATGTTGGATCTCTTGGTTTATATAAAACAACATTGGTGACAAAATGTATGCGAACTGTCGTTATTCTATTGAAAAATATTTTTTACAAAAGTATAAATATATTAGTTTATAGCATTGGCATCTAACATGGTCTTGCATCCATGGAATCGACCATTTTTTCGTAAAGTTTCTGTGGGAGTTTGCGACTCTCTGATTTAATTATACTAAATTGTTTCTGTTAATTTTAAATATTGGAACGCTCTCAAATACCCCGATCCAAGGCATTTCAAAGATATTCAATTTAACAACAGCGGCGAATACAGCAGCACGTCTACAAATATAACCAAATTGCCCATACGCAGGTTACAACGCTGTATGGACGCTTCTGCGGCAACTCTGCGGCTTTGCAGGGAAATCTAATGTTTTCCAGTGTTGCCAAATCACATTGAATTTCATAAAAATCATTTCAATGACGTGATTCAGCAAAAATTTGGCGTTTTTTTGGAAAAAGGGCACCCAAAAATATACAAATAAGCGAACAGTTTTCAAACACCAAAATCACTGTAGACCTGTGTAATTGATCAGCCTCGGCCGTTGCATGACTGCATTGGGTTTGTTTTGCTGCCCACACACCTTCAAATGCATTTTTGTTTTAAATAAACTTCCACAGTCTACTGCAATACTTTTTACAAAACTTCTGGATTCCTCCTCCGTCGGTTTTTGGTGAGTCTACCTTGCTGACGTTTCGCCGATCATCCTGTTGGCTTCTTCAGAGATTGACTGAAACTGACTCGCATCTTACTCTGTACCTGGTTATATATTGTTTGAGGGGGGCGGAGCTAAATGAGGGGGCATCGTCTCGGATGACTGATTTCCATATTGGCGGCGGGTAAAGATCTGAGTCGCGGTTAAGATTGTGAGGTTGCTTATAGATTTCTATAGACTCTCGAATGTTTCGTTGGTAGAGGAATTGATTATATGCAAGAATTTTACTTTTATCGAATACCGTAAGGCAATTTCGTGTTCTTTGAGCCTAGTTATAATGCTATAAACTCCTGGCATCTCAAATGAAATTTTTTATGTGACGGACCGAAGATTTTTGGACAAGTGGTGAATCTGGTTTTGACGTTATACTTCTTTAAAACTTTTGATATGTGGTGGAAACGCTACGTAAATGATACTCTTGTTATTTGGCCTCATGGTCAAGAAAACCCTGGTAGATTTTCGCAGACATTTAAAGTCTATACACCCTAACATACGTTTTACCATTGAAATAGAAACTAATAATAACCTTCCATTCTTATCAATAGAAAATCAGACCTAACGCACAGAGACCGATACCTTAATGCATTGTCACATCACCATCCGGCCCAAAAATCATCGGTTATCAACTCTCTGGTTTACAGAGCCGTAAAGCTATCTCAGCCCGAGTCACTGAACCCAGAACTAAAACACCTTACCTCTGCTCTTCCCTCTAATAATATCCACAGTAAAGATATTAAGCGTTCGATCAAAAAATACACTCCACCACCACCACCACCACCACTTGCAATAGCAATGAGGCCGAAATCAATCCGACACTTTACTACTGTGGTCCTTCCTTACATTCAAAATATCACTGACCACATATCAAAAGATCTAAACTTAAACTTAGATATTCAGTACAGTTTAAGACCGAATCTTAAAATAAAAATACCTACACGTCGACTGTCTCTTACAGCAAATAGTCCCTTTGTTTTGACCGTAAAAATTTATAATAAATTGCCTATCGAACTGAACGAGATAACTAGTCGAACAAAATGCAAACACACTCTTAAAGACAAATACAAATATTAAGGATTTCGTTTCTTGTGATACCTTTTAATACGTATTCCTTGTTTGTTATTTTTTATATATTTGTTATTTATCTATCAGTATTATTATTATTATTATTAATTTACTTATTAGACTAAGATAATTTTATACTTTTATATTCGTTTTATGCTGACAATATCCAACACTTGTAAATCAAGTTTTATGGAAATAAAGCTATCTTTATCTTTAACATCGTCGGTCCGTCAAAGATAAAATTCAATTTGAGATGCCAGGAGTTTACAGCATTCCATGCAATATCAACTAGGCTCAAAGAACACGAAAGAGTCTTACGACTAAGACAAATAAACTCATCGGCTGTTGCCGAAACCGGTCATAAAACATTATTCGATAAAACTAAAATTCTTGCATGTAATAAATTCATCTACCAACGAAAAATCCTAGAATCGATAGAAATTTATAAACAACCTAATAATCTTAACCGCGACTCAGGTCTCTACCTCTACCAATATGGAAATCAGGCATCCGAGACGGTGTTTTGTGCCCCTCAAACAATATATAAGCAGGTGCAAAGTAAAATGCACGCCAGTTTCAGTCAAGCTCTGAAGAAGCCAACAGGATGATCGGCGAAACGTCAGGAATTTCGACTCAGCAAGAACCGACGCAGGAGGAATCCAGAAGTTTTATAAAAAGTAATTTTGGTTAGGTTTTTTCTTACTGTGGTATTGTTGCGTGTAGCGATCTGCCAGAGGATCGCTCGCCGGTCATTCTTCTTGGAGTCACTAGGCTGTCACCCGCTTCATCTCCCCTACGGACGAGACGCCCCTTCTCTCTACCGTTAGCGCTGGGGGCCGTATCGAACTGCTCCAAAAACTCTCAGGTGGGCCAAGCGTGCTTGTTTAAATGCATCTTAGGTTTTCACAATGCCAGCTAGCTTTACACTGACCATTTCCTCGCGAATTAATTCCCGCCAGTTATCCACGAAATCGAGCTTGTCATATTTCGCGTCCATTCGTTAATGCCAATTGTTCTAATAAATAAATAAAAAAACAGGGTCATGTACTGGATTATTTATTATATTTTGATACCCACCTACAGGGATAATTTTGAAGAAAAGTGCAAATACAAAAGTTTGAACATTTTTGCTCTACTATCTTATGCAAATGTCAGAAAAAACAAACGACGATCGCAAGCTGTCAAAATGACAGCGACGTCTTTTTTTTATGCAACGCCCTATATTTTATTAGCTTAAATCGTAGATCTTTTTTTCCTGATTTCAAAAACATATAGTTTATCGACATTTCATTTAGTCGTTTTTGAAATATTCCAGTTTAAAAATAATTACCATTCGATTACTGGATAATAGCCATATTGTTTAAAAATAGTCAAGTCTCTGCCATATTGCAGTGGTTTTTACAGTGTTCTAGTTTTGACGACTGATCGAAACAAAAAATCAACAACGTAAATGGAATAACTGAAGATATTTCAAATTTAAAAGATAATATCGAATATATATCCGGGTAGAAGAGTTCCTTCAGTAAATACAATTAAAAATGTAATTAAACAATTTGAGGAAATTTTGATGAAGGCCACAATATATCATTTCAAGGTAAATTATTATACTTTTAAGACACTAGGATATCATGATTTTGAGTTCTACTTTCTTAATTTTTATATTTCATATTTTTTAGAAAATCCTGAATATTTTATACCTGACGTTAAAAAGTTCCTTCCGGGGCAAAATTTAAATATAATTTAAATAGAAGATATTAAATGGAACTAGTTTGTTTTTAAACCAACTTTCAAATAAATCAGCGGTGGCGTCGTCATGGTAATCCAGAGAAGAATCTTTAATATTTTTCGCAGACAGAGAAAGTCCATTTGAAATCCAACCATCTTTAAAGCCAGCATGCAACATAGTTATTCTTTTACCTCTTTTTGATGGCGCGTTTGTTTTACACTTATCAGTTGAGTCAACCCAACCCTTTTCCGGGGTATCATAAGGGTCGAACCAGGCCTTTGTTGTTCTCTGTAAATCCTGATTGTTTCTAGATATTCCAGTCGCCATTTCTGATTTCTAAAAGATTCCATTAAAACTTGCCTTTTGTCAATTTTTTTAAATCTAAAACAAAGTGTGTTGAATAGACTTCCATAAGGTAATTCTGCCACATTTAACACCGGTTTCATCTCATAATTAAGATATCTAATGTAAGCACGCTTTGTGCCTCGTGTAACTGGTGAATTTTACGCCGTATTATATCTTGATTACTTTCATCTACACTCGAGAAAATGTCAGCACCGCTTCTTTTTTTCCTCGCTGGAATGGGATTATTCACAATTTTTCATACAGTCGATGTTGGAATTTTCGTCAATGTGGCCGTTTCTTCTAAAGATGCTTGATTGCTGGCACCACGTTCAACGAGAGTCAAGTAAACATTGTTTATAACTTCCTTAGTCTCAATAGAATAGTGTTCTCCTGAGATACACTAGACTCGCACATATTTTACATAATTCGCACACGATTCAACACACGCTGTATTACACTGTATAAACTTAAACTAAGTAGTATACCAAACCAAAGAATATTAAACACAGGTAGGTATAAAATTATTTTCTATTACGGACCACAATTTTATTTGAATTTTAATTCCGAAACTTTAGGTAATAATATTGTTGCATTGTTATATTAATGACCTCCCTTCGATAATCCCATTCAAAAGCAATTGGCCACTTTCTTATATCTATGAACAGACCATACACTCTAATTCGAAATATTTAAAGACGTTCGTAAATTACATCTCATCAAATTGAAATCTTCTAAACGACTCGATCGATTGTCAATCCAATAAAAAAAAAATGTCAACATCAAGGTGCGACGCAACTCGTCCGTATCGTCTGACAACAGTCGCCGACGCCCTTACGTCAGCAAGCGACGCGCCAATAACAACGGCGATTGTCGACCCCGATCGGCGCCCCACCAGATCGTACCCGTCGAGACGCCCGAGCCGTCACCCGAAATTCGTCCTTCTGCGGCCGCGAAAAATGTTATCGGCACGCCACTGAACGTCGCAGCTACGTTTCCGGTTCCGGCGATGGACACGTCGGTCGACTCGATCGGCGCCTGTTCGCTGGACATGGAGGCCTCCGTCGAAATGTCAGGTAGCGTGTCCGAATTTTTTTAATCGAGGTGATCGAATCGTACCGCGCGTTCAATTTATCTTGGTAACGTTTTATTTGGCTGTTACTTTCGTGATATCGAGATAAGCAACAAAACAAAATGTAGGGTTAGCGGTCAGGTGACGTATTAAACAAAACGCTGTCAATTTTCTGACAGAAGCCTACGTCATATATTTTTTTAAGGGAACCCCGTGTATTATATATGTGTTTAACCCATATTATCCCGAGCATAGAATACATTACATGTGTAAAAATAAAAATAAAAACTCGAAACATACCAACGAACCACTGGGAAGAAACATTAAATAATGTTTTGGGGCACCTAAGATGTAATATATAATTTATACGTAAATATACAAAAGAAAGTTCAAATCCGACAGAAAACAAATTACCGCTGGTAACACCCGGTTTCATTTTTGGTGATATTTTACAATTGTATGGGTGTGGCAGATTCTACATTTCCTTCGGGCTTTATTAGAATGAACAATCATAAGGTGACCTTGATTATCATAACGCACTTCATCTATGGCAGTTTTTAAAAGTCGCAAAGCAATGCAAGATTTTGAATTCCAAGGTTTCATCATCTGATGAGTCCCATTCAGGTTCAGTACTTGATGAATTACAGGACTAGTGAAGGACATATCGGTCGGTTCCCCAAACTCTTGTCGGCTTAGTTATCGTTCATACCTTCTTCGTCTGTCAAGGTATCCACGTCGGGTGGAATATAGACCGCGTCAGTATGTTCTGTAAATATTTTTTCAAGTTATTTTAAGCATAAATTTACAAGGAATGGAATGCTACAACACATAAGAATACGTAAATCCAAATAATACTTACGACTTCCATTGTTATTGTCCTCATCCATCACGATCTCCTCCATAGCTGCCTCTAATTCCTTTTGAGTCAAATAGTTCGGAATTGCCATATTTTACGAACTGTGACGTTCCCTGCACAAGGCACAAACTAATACCAAAGATCACGCTATTTGTTGGATTGTTTATTCTACATGCGCTGACTTGTTTAGACTTGCAATAACAAAGTTTTGTTTCACAGATAAAACCAGTGGTGCATTCACGCGCCAGTAAATATTTTCAAAAAATAAAGCATATTCAGTATAGTATATCCAATGTATGTTTTCTGCGATATAATCTACATGCGGTAGACTTAACAAAAATGGCAATACAAATCCAAAATATTTTTTTTACCGCCTTTGTTAACTTTTGAAGTCATATATAAGATCTTTCCTTTGCACATAAATTAGCGCCGAGCTCCTTCAAAAGAGATATTTCCAAGGCTGGAAAAGAAATTCGCAGTAAACGGTAACGCTCGTACCTTCAGTGAAATCCTGGAAATTTCCAGTACTTTCGTCAGCCAGTCATTGGGGTCTGTTTTGTTAGTTTGAACCTGTTTAAGAACCACTAGATCTATCGAAAGCTGATGCGGCCGTTCTGCTCTTCCTAGATTACGTTGTTTCCTTATCTTTAGTACTGTGTATATTCGGTTGCTGAGAAGTGACTTGAGGAGTTTGTGTACTACTGACGGGCACGCGCTGGGTCTGTGGTTGGTGGTCTTTTGAATATTATTATTATTAACATTATTATGGACCCTACTTCTATTCAAACTATTTCCAAAGCATAGTGTATTATTTTGTTTAACTTTCTACGTAATTACTTACAATTTTCTCGCGAGTAAATAATAATTTCAAAGTCGAACAGATACCGTGGGACCGTAAGCTTAGCAAAACGTAATGAGATTATAATCGTCCCAATTTCTAATTCAAGGCTCTCGTTCGATCGATTATTTGCATAAATAATTGCATTTAATGGGGCCGCAGACAGTCGCGACACCCACATTCGCAATGAAAGCTTCGACGCCCATTGATTTAAAATAATATTTTCACTTTTTTTCATCGGAAAGGCCCCGGCAGGACATGAGACTGAAAATACTTAGTTTAGGTCGGAGTTTACGGAATCGTCGATTAGATTGGATACTTTTCCTGCGTTTTTCTTTTTTTACTAAATAAATAATGGTTTTCCAAAGTCAGATTAATAAACAAAGTGTCCCGTTTGTTATGTAAATGTTAAAATAATTTATCGCGACGTCACTGTGTCCCATTTTGGCAGTAAAAATATAAAAATATATAAAAATATAAAAAAAGAGACAAAACTTGTTTGTATCCATTTATATTTTTAAAATAATTTATCGCTATGTCACTGTATCCCATTTTGGTAGTAAGAATATTAAAAAAAAAGTAAAAATATAATATAAAACAGACAAAACTTGTTTATATCCATTTATATTTTTAAAATAATTTATCGCTACGTCACTGTGTCCCATTTTGACATTGAAAATATAAAAATATATAAACATATAAAAAAAGAGACAAAACTTGTTTGTATCCATTGATATGTTTAAAATAATTTATCGCTCATTTTGGCAATAGAAATATTTAAAAAATTGTAAAAATATAAAAAAAGAGACAAATTTTGGCAGTAAAAATATAAAATATATATAAAAATATAAAAAAATTGACAAAACTTGTTTGTACCTATTTATACTTTTAAAATAATTTATTGCTATGTCACTGTGTCCCATTTTGGCAGTAAAAATATAAAAAAATATATATATAAAAAAATATTTTAAAAAAGAGACAAAACTTGTTCGTATCCATTTATATTTTTAAAACAGTTTATCGCTTTGTCACTGTGTCCCATTTTGCCAGTAAAAATATATAAAATTTTCGTGACTTGCTTAGTTTTTAAAATACAGGGTGACTTTTGTAATTTGAAGTTTTGGGGCACCCCTGGTATCTCGGGGATCCTATGAAATGTTGAAAAGGTGAAAAGAATTCAGTAGCGTAGTCAGTTTTCTTCTAAATGGTTTCGCCTTTTTGAAAAAAAAAATTATAACAATTATTCAAAAAATTAATATTGTAAACTTTGTATGTGATTTTAAGATCTTACAAATTTGAATTATACAAATTTCAAAAATAATGATAAAAAACACTTTTCAAATGGCATTTATGTTTTAGTATCAGCTTAAAACAATAGCATTAATAAATCTTAGTATTCGAAAGGTAACGAAATTAAAATATTAATAAGCCAGTGAATTTGAGTGTCGAAAATTCGCTTCTCCGTGACAAACTTGCTTTTATAAAGGAAACAGTATGTCGGCGTCAATCAATTTTGATATTTCTGCTATTTTTATTATTAGATGAGAATTAAAAATCTTTTCTAATTAAAAAAATACAGCTCAGTGAAACCTATCCAATAAAACATTCAAAACTGAGCCATTCATCAGGAGTAACGGTCAAGCGAACTTCATGGAAATTTATATGGTTAGGTTTCATGTAGTCGCAAATAATGATAAGTTGACACTTTATTCTTAACGAAATCCTTAATAGCCCTTGTCGATATTTGACATCAAAAATTAGTACCCGTCGGGCACGACTTTTGGTTAACGTAAAAAGAAACACAAGATTTTAGTGAGTTTTTGAGAGACCTATCCAGCAAAATATATATATATATATATATATATATATATATATATATATATATATATATATATATATATATATATATATATATATATATATATATATATATATATATATATATATATATATATATCAAAATCAAACCGTAATCAAAGATATTTCAAACACCCTGTATTGAAATATTATAAAATCGGTATTTCGGTTCAACTATTCAATTTTTTTCAATTTCAACACTTTAACGTACATCCTGTTCTATAAGGAAATCAATCCCAAATTTGGAGAAATTGACAGGTATATGACATAAAATTTAAAATAGTTCACAAACGGTAAAATTTAGGTAATAGGACATTGCCTATAAAGTATGGTCCAGAAAGTTTCGAACGATTCAAAAATCCGTTAATATGCAGGGTGTCATACTTAAAAAAAAATTATTAGTCTTCAAAAACCCTGTATAACAATATATTATTTTAAAAGTATATGAATTTTTCTCTTAATTTTTTTTAATATTAATGAGCTAAGGTATCATACCATTAAAAACGGGCCATTTCATATCATAATCGTAATCAACAATTTTTTTTTATGGTTCGCAAAAAAGATGCACATTTCAACAAATGATTGTAAAAAATGTCAATGGAATAATCTAGGCTTTTTTGCTTTGAAATTATTTATTTTGTTGCACTTAAGAATACATTACATGTGACTAAAAAAAATAAAAACTTGAAACATACAATTACTGGTGTGGAAACGAACAATTTATACAAAAATATACAAAAGAAAGTTCAAATTCGACAGAAAATAACTAAAAGTAGATTGTTTTCCAAATAGAACCTGATTTGATACAAAAACAAGAGGCATTGTATTTTATGGTGCGTGAGCGCATCACTGGTAACACCCGGTTTAATTTTTGGTGACATTTTACAAAGTATGAAGTACGTAAATGCATATTACACTTATTACAAACGTGGCAGATTCTACATCTCCTTCGGGCTCTATTAGGTGACCTTGAGTAATTGTTTTATCAGTTTTTAAAAGTCGCAAAGCAACGGAAGATTTAAAATCAAATTAATCACTTCGTCATCAAAAAACATAAAAAATATTTAAAGCGGAGTTTTTTCAGAAAGCCTATTTTCTAGTTCCTCACATGATCTAAATTCATCGCATGTGAGTGTGTGTGTGTATGTGAGTGTACTCAATCTGACCTTTCTTCTATTTGACAGTAGAAGCAAGCCTGTCGTTTGCAGAAAGCATACGTCTTCTTTTGAATTCCAGGGTTTCATCATCTGATGAGTCCTATTCAGATTCAGTACTTGATGAATTACAGGACTGTTGAAGGACAGCTGTATCATTCGGTGTATGTAACTCGAAAGGTCCAACTATATCAGTTGGTTCCCCAAACTCTTGAAGATTTATGTTATCGTTCATATCTTCTTCGTCAGTCAAGGTATCCACGTCGGGTGGAATATAGACCGCGTCAATATGTTCTGTA